GCAATAAACTCTTTATTTTTTACTTTTTCTATAAGAAACAAAATATCATTTTTAATATTTTCTAAGATCTTATTATTAGAGTTAGTATGAGGAACATAATAATATTCATATTTTAACATAATCTCTTGTTATTATTAAATTACTTGATTTAATTCATCTATTTATTTTTTATATTAAGAAATAGATTATTCATATTTATCTTTATCTTTAACTTATTAAACTTTTTCAAATACTTATTTTTCAGTTTCTTTTTACATTTAAATTTATATTTTGAATTATTCAATATTTTTTATTTGATTTTCTAATTGATTTTATTATTTTTATAATTAATCATAAATTTAATTAATTTAAATGTCTAATTTATTTATTTCTTTTGAATCTATTTAAATCTATTATAATTTATCTAAAATATTTTAATTAAATTATTATTATTAAATCTTTTAATTTTAAATAAAATCTTATTATTCTTAAATTCTCTTTTCATTTTATTAAATAGTCATTTATAATACATTTTCTTAAGATTTATATAAAATAATATATTAATTTAATTATATTAACTCTTCTTATAATTTCTTATAATTCTTTTCTTATTATTCAATTAATTATTATTTAATTTATATATCATTTTATAATTATTATGATTATTATTATTATTATATTTCATTTTATTTAAACTTATTTATTTATGTATTTTAAACTTCTATTTTAATTTTGAAATCATTAATAATTTATTGTTATTTTGATATTAAATTGTCTTATTCTAATTTTTTAATTTCTAAATCAGATATATTTTATTTTTATTATTAAATTATATTAAAAATATTTTCATTTTTATTATTTTAAATCTAAATTTATTAATTATTTTCATTTTTTTAATTATTTAATGTATTTTCAATTTAAATTTAAAATAATTAAATTTATTCAGATATATTTTATTAATATTTATCTTATTGATCTTATAAATATTTTAATTATTCTTAAAAGTTTTATTTTTCTAATATAGATAACATTTATTAAAGTAAATTATTTTATTCTAATTATTTTTATTCTTAATCTTTTAATTATTATTATATTTATAATTAAATTTATGGATTAAATTACATTTATTAATTTATAGGATTTATTTAAGCAAAGTTTATTTACTATTAAAATTATTGATTTACTTACATTTTTTATTATTAATTGTTATAAAATATCAAATTCTTATTTTAATTCTAATTATTAATTACATTATTAAAGTATTCTGTTTACATTTAATTTAGTTTACCTACTACTTCTTGAATTGTTAATCTATCTTTAGGATTATNTTTTCTAAGATCTTATTATTAGAGTTAGTATGAGGAACATAATAATATTCATATTTTAACATAATCTCTTGTTATTATTAAATTACTTGATTTAATTCATCTATTTATTTTTTATATTAAGAAATAGATTATTCATATTTATCTTTATCTTTAACTTATTAAACTTTTTCAAATACTTATTTTTCAGTTTCTTTTTACATTTAAATTTATATTTTGAATTATTCAATATTTTTTATTTGATTTTCTAATTGATTTTATTATTTTTATAATTAATCATAAATTTAATTAATTTAAATGTCTAATTTATTTATTTCTTTTGAATCTATTTAAATCTATTATAATTTATCTAAAATATTTTAATTAAATTATTATTATTAAATCTTTTAATTTTAAATAAAATCTTATTATTCTTAAATTCTCTTTTCATTTTATTAAATAGTCATTTATAATACATTTTCTTAAGATTTATATAAAATAATATATTAATTTAATTATATTAACTCTTCTTATAATTTCTTATAATTCTTTTCTTATTATTCAATTAATTATTATTTAATTTATATATCATTTTATAATTATTATGATTATTATTATTATTATATTTCATTTTATTTAAACTTATTTATTTATGTATTTTAAACTTCTATTTTAATTTTGAAATCATTAATAATTTATTGTTATTTTGATATTAAATTGTCTTATTCTAATTTTTTAATTTCTAAATCAGATATATTTTATTTTTATTATTAAATTATATTAAAAATATTTTCATTTTTATTATTTTAAATCTAAATTTATTAATTATTTTCATTTTTTTAATTATTTAATGTATTTTCAATTTAAATTTAAAATAATTAAATTTATTCAGATATATTTTATTAATATTTATCTTATTGATCTTATAAATATTTTAATTATTCTTAAAAGTTTTATTTTTCTAATATAGATAACATTTATTAAAGTAAATTATTTTATTCTAATTATTTTTATTCTTAATCTTTTAATTATTATTATATTTATAATTAAATTTATGGATTAAATTACATTTATTAATTTATAGGATTTATTTAAGCAAAGTTTATTTACTATTAAAATTATTGATTTACTTACATTTTTTATTATTAATTGTTATAAAATATCAAATTCTTATTTTAATTCTAATTATTAATTACATTATTAAAGTATTCTGTTTACATTTAATTTAGTTTACCTACTACTTCTTGAATTGTTAATCTATCTTTAGGATTATATTAAATCATTTATATTAAAAGACTCTTTAAATTTTAAGGTATATCATTCTAATTTAATTGATCCTCCAAATATTTTTAATCAAACTATTAAATTTATTGTGTAACCTTTTTGTGATTAGTTTCTAAATGATTAATTAAAAATGAATACCTTTAAATAATTGTTAATTTGATAAAACATAATAAAATACACAGCCTAGTGACCATATATCTACAGAAAAAGTGTAACCATGACTATTTTAAACAATCTCAGGTGCTTGATATGGAGATGCTTCTTGACTAATAGTATTTCCTATACCAAAAGAATTTCTCACAAAACCAAAATTAATAAGTTTGAATTGATTTCCTACTATAACAAAGCTTTCAGGTTTAATATCTTTATGTATTTACTTTAACTCATGTAATTATTAAATTGACTAAGATAACTAATAAAATAAATTAAAAACTATACTTAAATTAAAATCTTAAGCTTATATTACATTTCTAATTACTGATATTAATTTAGATATTTAAGTAAATCTTATCCAACTTCCATAACTATAACATCTTATTTATTCCATTAAAAAGTATCAAAAATTTTGATTAAACCAGAGATATTTTTCATTTATTAGGTTTAATTGTATTAATTTTCATTAGTAATAAGATTTCTAATAAATGAAATTTCATCAGGATTAGAATTTTATAAAAATTTCAATGCAAATTTATTTTTATCATTAATTCCCCAATCAATCGATTAACATAAGTATAATTTACCTTCTCCTCCTTATCCAAGTTATTGTATTATTTTAAATTTCCTATTAGGAAATTTAGTAGAATATGCACAAATATTTTCATCTTAGATAGTCTAAATTATTATATAATTTTAGAAGTTACCTTTTTATTAACTGGAGTATTATTTAAGTATTAGTTTAATTCGTTATAAACGTATTGAATTGTTGGTCGCTAAGATTCTTCATAAACCAGCATTTTAATTAAAAGAGTTTTAATTTATTAGGAAGAGTTCAATTAATTGATTTTAGTAAGAACATAATTTTTGTCTAGTATTTATGTATTTATTTTCTAATAAGTTTATCCTCATATGATAACATTATAATACCATCAAATAATGGCAAACCTGATAATACTTCATAATAAACACATGCCAAAGACCAAATGTCGACTTTTTCTGTATACATATTGCTATTCTCTAAAATTTCTGGTGCTTGATAGATCAAAGAGCCAATTTACTTTGTTTTTTAGTCTGAAGGATTTGATTACTTAACATAGCCAAAGTCAATTAATTTAAAAATATTACCTACTTTGATGAAATTTTCTAGTTTAATGTCTCGATGAATATATTTTTTTTGATGAAACCATAGTATTGGTAAAGTAATCTATTAAATAAATATTAATATGTTTACTTGATAACAAATTCTTTCTTTTTCACTTATTGATACATTTTTGTTTTAAGTAATGTAATCTAATAAATTTTATTAACTAATTTCCATAACGAGGATGTGATGTTATTAACATTCAAAATAGTCATATATTTAAATTATGTGATTGGAAAGTTAATTTTAATCATTTCTTTTCTTATTATTTTATTCTTATATTAAAAAAGAAATAAGAGTTTTCTCATCATCTCTCATCTCCTTTTGTATTTTAAGTGCATATTATTAAGAATTATCTCCCCATTCTTATGCATTTGCAATATATAATCCTCTTTCATTAGTATTCTCAAGTTACTTTATTATATAAAACTACCTCTTTGGATATTATATTGTTTGAGCATCTATAACTTTATTGACTAGTTTATACATTCTATTTCTATTAAATTTTATTAAAAATTATAATTAAAATGATTGAGAAGAATTATATTCAAAGTATTTGATATAAGAAATTGAATTAAGATATTTTAAAACAAATTTTGATACTTTTTAACTCCTATGATAAGGGATAATATATTTTTTTAAATAATAAATTCTAACATAATATATATACAGGATGAAGAATAAAAAATATATTATGTATATTTTTATTTCATAAAATGAAAAAAATCTTTATATAATAGAATAATTTAAATATCAAGGAATTTACTTTAAAACTAGTTATATTATTTTAATTCTTAACTTAATTAATATAATAATTGTCTCTTTATATAAAATTTATTCTCAAAGTAAAGATTTAATTATTAGATTCATTTTATTTCTATAAAAATAATAAAAGATTTTATGTAATGATTAAATCAAATTATATATTTTTAAATATTTAATAAATAGATGATCAATATATATATTAGTTTGTTATTCTTAATCTTTTTGATTATTCTTACAACTTAAAAATATTTAATCCATTTATCTTTTTTTATAATAATAAAAATAACACATAATTTAGTTTACTAAAATTATATAATTTGTTTAATTGATTTTAAATCAACCACCTAAAAATTTTTGGTGAATTCTTTTCTAAAATTAAGACATGTAAAAAATCAATCAAATATCATATATTTTTATTATTCCTAATAAATTTTTGATATTAATAATTATATAATTTTAATGATTTTCAAAATTTTAATTTAGATATTTTTAGGGGTATTTAAGTGTTGCAAATATATTCTAAGTGACTTATTAATTTTCTTGTAATTAATAACAAACAATGATTGTTAGAGTGATTATAAGTTTACTACTATTGCTTATGTAAAATTTAGTAGAAGGTTACAAATTAATTTATATTTAGCCATGACGGATGCATCAAGAGACACAACAACAGATGCAGTTGTAATTCTGTCAGTTTCTACTGTATTGAGCAAAGAGAAATCAAGTCCAATAGGTTCAATTATGGGAGGCACAACATTATATATGAAAGTAAAAATATCATTAAATAGAATAGGTTTAAGGTTTGGATTAGACTGCAAGCAACAATGCAGTATATATTGGAAAGTATCCATGCCTTATTTCAGATAAAGGTGTTAACGGATTGTTCATGAATTGTAAAACAACAAAACCTGATCCAAATGACCATAACTTATCAGGGTTAAAAATAGTTGTAAAGGTCTTGGATAAACCAGATTCTGTTTGTACTTACAGTAGTGGGTCCTGTAGATTTACTTATTCTGATAATATGACACCAAAATTATTTTATGTAGTTCCAAGATCAAATTACCCTAGAAGTCTAAGTTATTGGAGAGCTAAATGGACAGTATCTAGCAATGCTGTAGAATATTTAGAAGGATAATTTATGGATGCTAATAGATGTGATAGATTCACAGTTTAAGATATGTATCCAAAGGAAATAAATTAATTGGATGATGGAGTAGTTTGCTAGGTTTCTGCAGAGATAAAAGCTGGATATTATGGTTATACAATAAAATCATAGAGGGGATTTTAAAGTAATGAAATTGGAGTAAAATAAAAGAAGGTCTATTCTGATAGAACCTATGATTCAAAGTAATTATTTTATAATATAAATTTAAAAGAGTAATCCCATTAATTACAAGTATCAGCACAAATTTTATATCACCAGAAGGATAAATATTAGAGATTGTAGGTCTTGGATTTAGTCCAATATCTTCTGAGAATTTAGTAAAAATATCTGGACAATCTGAAAATATAAATGTTTTGTCATCTTCACCCACAAACATAATTGTAAAGATACCCAAATTGGAAAACTTACCTAGGTTATTGGATGCAACAGAAAATTCTTTATATATATAAGGAAGTGGATTACATTATACTAGATGGGATGTGTCTGGTTTAAATCTTAATTGTCCTTCATTTAGATAATAAATAATTACTGATAAGACTATCTTTGATAGTAGAATTAAATTTGATGGAATCTATCCAGAACCTGATGTTCATAATATATTTGGTGTTAATTATGGATAATATTTCAGAGGTTTCTTAAAGGCCCCTTTTACAGCCAATTATAAATTTTATATTTCCTCTGATAATTGTGCTGAATTTTATATATAAACATCTGAGACACTAAAACCTATTAGATCTGATAGTCCAGTTGCATCAAGTAGTTGGAATCCTTACAAAAATTATTGGTATGAATACTTGAGTTCATAATCACCAATTAAAACAATATCAGAATCTATTCCTTTAGAAGAAGGTTAAATGTATTATATAGAGGCTTATCATATTAATGGGATTTAAGAAGGTCATCTAACTTTGTCAATGGAAATTGAAAGTGAAACTAGAAAGTCCAATTCCCTTAATAGCATCTATTAAATATCTACTTCATACACTCCTGTTAAAGAAGTGATAGAGTTCTCTCTTTATAATTCAAATGGAAATACTCTATTAATTGGTAAATATAGACTTTAATTTGCTCATGGAACAAAGACTTACCCTTAGACTGAAATTTATTATTTATATACAACAATAGAATTATATCCAAATTCAAATGCAAATACAATGAAAACAGCAATATAGAATTGCGGTGCAAATTATCTAGTTACAGTAACAATAACAAAATTAGATAACACTGGAAATGAATTAGAAGAAACTGCTACTACATTTGCTGGGTACAAATATACAATTACATTTGATTCTCATAGAGGAGGAACACTTTATAGAGCACTTCCAAAAATAGTATCATCAACATTAAGAGGAGGTGTAGTGGAATAAAAGATTGAATGTACTTAATCTCCTTTAGATCCAATCAGTGGTACATTTCAATTAAGTATGACTATAAATGGTTAAGATAATTTATTCTAAACATCAGAAAATAATTATGATTTGAATTTTAATACAGCAACTACAATAATAGCTGATAATGTTTAAAGACTTACAGGTTAAAGACCATTAGTATGGACAATGGGAAGAGCTTAAGATGGATGGACTTGGTTTATTAAACTTAGATCATATTTAGAAGATCTTACTGATTTTAGAGTATCAAGTAGTTTATTAATATCAGGTAATGGTGATGTCTCTATTACACTTACATAACCATTACCAAACAGCAATAATTTATTATTTGAACCTATTCCTAATGAATTGTTATTTACATATAGTTAACATCCATAAGTTTAAGTTGAAGTTTAATATTAATTAATAGAAAATGGAATTGTAATTGAATCTGAATAAATTCTGGCAGGGTGTGCTTAATAATCAATTTGTGACTTAACCTTGAATGATGAAAAAACACCAATAGTGACAGCTTATTCAATATCTGGATCTGTGTTATCTCTTACAATAGAAGAAGGAGTTGATTTAACAATAATTTCAAATGATCTTATAATTTAATATTTAGGAGCAGATTGTAATAACATTTAAATAACAAATAATGCATCTCCATACACATTAACTTGCAATTTAGAATAGTAGGATGGACAAATAGTTAAAGAAGCAGGAGATGGATAATTGCCTATTGTTCATCATAAAGATATAGGATATTCTAAATTAGATTAAAGTTTAACAGTAGAAAACATAGATTTGAATATTGTGTAAATTTCACCTAATGCAGGATCTCCTGATGGAGGTACAACCATCACAATTACTGGTACTGGATTCCCTAAAAACTTAAATAGAGAATTTACATTTTAAATTGATGGTTAAAATATTAAACCATTATCAATATCAAACACTTAATTAGTTTTCATGACTCCAAAAAAAGTAAATGGAGGTAGTGGAAGTATTTCTCTTTCATTTAATTCAAAATTAGCAACAAGTATGTTAACATATGATGATTCATTAAAGATTCAAGTTACAGGTTTGTAATTTAATTAAAAATCTCCAATTTTCAGAGGTGAAATGACAATTACAGGAATTAATTTTGGAACAATCAAAGAGGATGTTAAAGTTACATTAATTGGAAATAAATCTTATAATGCAAAAGTATTATTAATTACTGATACTTAAATTACAGTTTATTTGAGAGGAGGAATGCCTGGTAATTATAGAGTTATTGTAACAAAAAAGAATTTTGGTGATTCATTTGCAAATAATGATGATAATTTATTTAAATATATAATACCAATAAATAGTGTAACTTTAGAAGATGGAATTAGTTAAGCAAAAGGTTCTGAAGCAGGAGGTACAATTATTAAAATTACTGGATCAAATTTTGTATAAGGAGAAACTCTTGTATTTATTGGAAGAGCTGTTAATTGGATATGTGAAATAGATGAAACTAGATTTACAAGTGATACAATTTATTGCACAGTTCCAGCTAAAAATGAATTTTATACTTAAGAACCATAATTAGTAATAGTTACATTATAAATAACACTTGAATCAACTTGTTTAGATAGTACTAATAATTGTTAATTTACATATGATAATGAATTGACTCCTAAACTTGAAACATATCCTGAATCAGTTACTTAATATACAGGATCTAGAATATTAACAGAAGAAGATCATTCAAAACCTGATTATTAAAAGTTAATATAAAGGAAAAGATTCTTATGGACAAATGAATCAAAATAAAAAGGTAATCATCACATTTTACATGTTGGTAAATCTTCAAGAAGAGATATGCTCACATCAACAGAATTAGTTTTGAATTAATAAAAAACTTATAAACCTGGTGATATAGAAACATTATCAGGAATAGGATTAACATCTACTGTCTCAGTTGTATTTAAAGGTCCTATAACATAAACAGTAACAACTAATTTAATAGATAATACTTTTACTTATACAATTCCAAATCTACCTTAAGGATATTATACTACTTACATATTAACTGAAAATGGCTATGCTGATAAAATATGGATTAGTATAATCGAATTAAGTATTACAACAATTGACAATGCTGCTATAGGAGGATAAATATTAACAATAAATGGTATAGGTTTTAATGCTAATCAACATCCAAATGTAAAAATTGGATCAACAATATGTACTGAATTATAAGTAATATCGAGTGTATAAATTAAATGTAGAATGACAAGATAATCAGGAACTTCAGCAATTTTAACTTTAACTTAATTACCTTCTGAGAATAATTCAGCTACTCCTTATACTGTTGAATTTACTTTATCTATTAAATCATAATAAAATTCTCCTGTTATCACATCTATAAATGGTGCTATCTATGATAGTAATTAAAAGGCTTTTAATATAGCTACAGGAGATGTTACTTTAGTATTTACTGGTAGTAATCTAACTGGTACAAATGTTTTAGCCACATTGGAATATATGAGTCGTAAAATTATTGGTACAATTTCAGCATAATCTGATACATAAGTAACTGCTACTTTTACAAATGTACCAATGGGAGTTTATTCAATAAATTTATTATTAGATAATATGTATGCCTATCATAATGATATTAATAAATAGAAATTAATTATTAGTGCATCTCTACCAACTTCAAATAATCCTATTATATCTTATGCTGGTGGTGCCACAATAACATTTACAGGCACTGGATTTGATACTTAAACAGATTTTAGCTCTATTTAAGTTTGTGGATTTAATTGTCCTATTACTAGTTCATCATACACAACTCTTTCTTGTGAAGCTCCTAAATTATTGACAAATTCAGTTTTACATCAATATTCTGCACTTTAAGAACCACCTCGATATATAAAATTATCAGATATTTATTTATTAGCTGATACAGTCTCAATAGTATAGACATTCTTTGATTTGTAATAATCAACCTATTATATTTCAACTGCAGCTTCTAATTGTTTCTTATAAGTTGACTTTGGTTAAAGTAAAAGTTTAAAATTGAATCAGTTGAGATATTTACCTAGAATTGATATAGAGGCAATTTATTTGAAAGATGCTGTTTTTTAATATACAATAGATGGTTCAATTTGGGTGGATTTATTAATAGTCGATTAAACAGTTCATACTGGTTGGAATATTTATGTTCCTAAAGATGAGATTTCTGGGATCAAAGCAATTAGACTATTTGATTCAAGAGGAATCACAGGTTCATAATGTTAATTAGCTGAAATTGAAATAAAAGGATGGGTATTATCAAATAGTAAAAATGACTATTTAATACCGACTTCTTGTAATGTAGATATCCAAATAAATGGATAAACCATAGATACAATTTAAAATGCTGCTAGTTATTCATCAATTAATGTTCCTATCATTAATACAGTCAATCCCAAGACAGGTAGTTTTACAGAAGAAGCTGTTATTACTATAAGTGGAACAGGATTTGTTAATGGATAAACATCTGTTACAATTGATGGAGTGACATGTAGTATTTAAAGTGTTTCTTAAACTGAAATCATATGTAAGACAGGAATTAAAGATTTAGAATAAACATAATTGAATGGAGTATTTTAAGTCAGAGTTAATGGAAATTTAGCAGTTAATAATTAATAATTTATATATGCTACTAAATGGTCAGACATAAATACTTGGGGAGGATATGAATATCCTGGGGATGGAGATTCAGTTATTGTAAATGCAGGTTAAACATTAATAGTTGATGTTAAAACACCTAGATTGATGTAATTATTAGTGGAAGGTACATTAACATTTTCTGATGAACTTGATACTTCAATTGATGCTCATTATATTGTTATTAGAGAAGGCAAATTCAACATTGGAACTGATTTGATAGCTCATTAACATAAAGTATAAATTACTTTATATGGTAATGAAGATGATATTTAAATGCCTGAAATGGGTAATAAAGTGTTAGGATGTCATTAATGTTAGTTAATAATTCATGGAAAAGAGAGAACTCCTACTTGGACATTATTGTCTAATACAGCTTTAGCTGGAGCTACTTAAATTACAGTAGATGATCCAGTAGATTGGTAAATTGGAGAATAAATTGTTATAACTTCAAGTGAAGTTTAACATTTGTAAAGTGAAAAAAGGTATATTGTATAGGTGAGTGAAGATAAAAAGACATTGCATTTAGATTCTCCACTTTTATTTAAACATTATTCAGCAATTGAAACATATGGAGATGAATAATTTCATATGAAAGTTGAGGTTGGATTATTGAGTAGAAATATTGTTATATAAGGGGAATAATCAAGTTTTAAATATGGTTATCATTTGATGATTCATGGTAGAGCTGAAAAAGGATCAATAGGCAAAATTTCATATGCAGAATTTAGGTATGGTGGATAACCTAGAATTATTGGAAGATATCCAGTTCATTTTCATTTGAATGGTGAAATTGATAACTCTTATGTTATTGGTAATTCTATTCATGATTGTTATGCTCGTTGTTTAACTATTCATGGTGTTCATTATTTAAAGGTTTAAAAGAATGTATGTTATAATACATTTGGACATGCAATTTTCTTAGAAGATGGTATTGAAACCAATAACATTATTGAAGATAATCTTGTTGCAGGTACTAAATAAAGTTGGATAATGTTATAAACAGATATTACAGTTTCTACTTTTTGGATAACAAATCCCTAAAATATATTAAGAAGAAATAGATCAGGAGGATCTGAATGGTATGGATTTTGGTATGAAATCAAAACTAATCCTGATGGACCATCAGCTACATCAGATATTTGTCCACCAGGTCTAAATATACTTGAGTTTAAAGATAATTGGTCACATTCAAATGGTAGATTTGGTCTACGTATATTCTAAATGGCTCCAAGATAGTATCCTTGTATGGATTTAGCAAATTGGGCTAATGATTAACCTTATATTGATAATCCCAGTTTTTAAGCAATTTTTGAAACATTTAGAACATGGAAAAATCATGAATGTGGAATTTTAGGTGAAGAATTAGGTAACATTTATTTCAAAGATATTATGATTGCAGAATCAAAATTTGCAGGTTTTTAATCTCATAGAACAAATCATTCTTATGAAGGAGCTGTTTTAGATAATGCTTTGATTATTGGAAAATCAATAAACAATGCATAATCAGATGCATATTATAAAGGATCTAGAGCATTAGTTGTACCAAGAACAAATGGATTCCTTGCTAAAAATATTAGAATCTATAATTTTGGAAGCAATACTGCATTAATAGAATCTTGTTCTATGTGTTGGAATGATTTTGTATGGGTTCAAGGTGGTAAGAATACTCATTTCTAGAATGTAAGAGTATACAATTCAGATTAAGCTAATAGAATATATTGGTAGAATCATAGAAGAGAAATATTCTGGGATTTAGATGGTTCTATATCAGGTGTAGAAGGAGGAGCTTATATTATTCCATATAAGAAACATATTGATGGTATTCCAGGATGTGTTACTCATCCAGAAGAATATTGGGATAATTCTATCATTTGTGCTATGAATTAAGTTACAATAAGGGATGTATTAATTAATAATCCAACACCTGAATAAGACTTCAGTGGTGTGGATTTAAAGATATATAGATTAGATGATTCTAATATTGCAAATAAAATGGATTAATTAATTGATGAAACAAGATATATAGAAGCTGAAACTATGATGGTTATTAAAGCAGGTAGTGATGATGTTCCTAAATCATTTGTTAGTATATTTGCTACTGGATTCACATACAATGTGCATTTTAAATTTGGAGCAAGTGATCCTTTGAGCATGGGTATCTTTGCATCACCTTACTTTACAGAGGCAGATAATGCTGTAGTATTACGATTTAATTATTCAGCTCATAGAGAAACCTTCGATATTATGAGACATATTGAAAAATAATTCCCAATTAATTACACTTCATTAGAATAGATACCTGATACACATGTTTGTAATCAAGGTGATTGGTTTAATGATAAAACAAATAAATTATTCTTCATATGTTTATCTGGTAAAAATAAGAAAAAATATGAATATGTTGAAGTAAGAGGAGTTATATGCAGAGATGAATGTAGTTCATTAGGAGATGTAAAATAAGAAGATGGATATAGATACTGGAGTGATCCTAATACTTGGATAGATAATAAAGTACCAATTGAAGGTGATAGTCCAATTGTATAAGCAGCCTATCAAGTGATATTGGATGTTGATACACCTAAATTAGCTAATTTAACAATTTTGGGAACTTTAATTTTCGATGAAAGAAGAGCTATGACTAAGTTAGAAGCAGAAAGAATATGGATTAGATCAGGTAAATTATTAGCAGGTAATATCACTCATCCATTTCCTGGTAAAATTAATATCATTTTGAATGGAGAATTTGGAGATAATCCATTAGTAATTGATGCTAATTTAGATGTTAGTAATAAAGTATTAGCTGTTACAAAAGCATTAGAATTATATTCAACACCACCTTAAACAGTTTGGACTAGATTATCTATTTATGCTGATGCTGGATCTACAGAAATTTAAGTTGTAGAATGTGGTGGTTGGGCAGTAGGAGATGAAATTGTATTTGGTCCATCAGGAACTAATCCAGATTAAAGAGAAAAGAGAACAATTTAATCTATTTAAGGATGTGTAATAACATTGAATACAGCACTTGAATTTGATCATTATGGAGCTCCATAAGTAACTATAGATAAGGGAGAGATAGGTTAATTAGATATGAGAGCTGTAGTAGGTCATTTGACTAGAAAGATTAAGATTGAAGGTGGACCTAGTGTACATGGTTTAGGATGTAGAGTTTTAATTTACTAATTTGAAGAACCTGAAGCAAATTTAGGATTTCCAAGAAGAGGTTACACTATATTACATGGAGTAGAATTTAATAATTGTGGATAATTTGATACTTAAAGAAGTGGATTAGATTTTAGAAATCTTAAAAGTAAGATCATTAAAACTCAAAGTGAAGTTATTGGTTGTTCATTTCATGATTCTACAGGTATGTTGATGACAATACAAGATTCATAATATATTACAATTAAGAATAATATATTCTTTAATGGAATTAAAGCTTTAGTATAGATTAATAATAGTCAATATGTTAAATTTTAAGATAACGCTATGATATATGTGAAGAAAAGAATGATATAAGAGATGGAAGGTGGTATTGCTAATTGGGCAGTATTTGGAAATTTCATTTATATGGGTGAATATATACCAACTTAAATGACTAGGGATATAGTTGATATATCAGGTAATGTAGGACAAGGATCATAAGATACAGGATTCTTTATTATGGGTAATAAATGTAGTGATGCTTAAATATCATCATTCTATAATAATCATTGTTCAGGTACTGTGTTGGTTTGTTTTGCAGTTAGATAAGTATCTAGTAAATGTACATATTTATCAGGATTATATGCACATCATAGTGAAGGAGGAATAATGTATGCAGTTTAAACTGAAGAAATTTAACTTGAAAATAGTATAGTTGCTGAAAACAATAGAAGTATAATATTAAAATTAGGATCATGGAATTATTATGAAAATAACATGAAGCTTAATAATATATATATTTCTGCTTTGGTTAGACCAGATTGTGTTAAATGCTATTCAGCTTCTCTTAGTCCTCATTGCAGAGAATCTATAGGGATATAAATGGGTACTGTCTCCACTACAGCATTTCCTCCTATTGATACTCCCATCTCTTCAGAATTTGATGTTATTTGTACACCTTAAAAGATTGATCTCAAAGTTTATTTAACAAATGTTGAATTCCACAATTTTAGACTCACTTATGATAATATACCATAATGTGGTTATAATGCTGCCTTTAGATAACATAAAATAGCACATGATATGTCAGGATAACATTACTTAATTAATTCACCATGTACAAATTGTTAATTTGAAGCTCTATTATATAATACATTAGGATTTGAGGTTAGAAAATTAGGATGGTTTGGAGGTTGTGGTTCATTTGGTTGTTCAGGATTAATCAACTTTTTAATTGAAGATTAAACTGGACATTTCTTTGGATAAATAGGTTAAGGTATTGGTAATAATACTTATTTTGGACCTAATGTTACATATTGTACTAGATAAGATTCATGGAATGGATATTGGTGTCCAGATAGAAAGATTACAGTCTTGGGATTTATGAGTGCTGCTCCTGATTATAATAAGAGATTATATTCACCAATTAAATTAACTGATGGTTAATTCTTTAATGAAATTAACAGTTAAATTGAATGGCATTGGTAGGGATCAGAACCTTTGAATTTAAGAGAATCTAAATTTGTAGCTCTTGTATCAACTAACACTATTATAAATATGACTAATGCAGGAACCAACCCAACAGCATCAGAATATTAATTAACTAAAAGAAGACAATCTGGTAGTCCAGAAGATTTTGTTATATTAATGTGGTAATTTTAAGAACCATAATTTATTTAAGTTTTTGTTAATAATAAAGCTATATAACCAGGATTAACTACTCATTCTAAACATCATAATCTAATGATGATGACTGATTAATGTGGAGCTAATAATTATTTCTATGAAAATAAAACTATCCATTTTGTTGTAAATGCATAATTAGGATGTAAAGTTAAAATTGCTCTTAAAAATACACTCTAAATATCAACTAGATTTGAATTATCTACTGAAGAATTTTATGGTGATAAGTTTTTATAATATGCTAGAGCATAATTAGGAGGAGATCCTTATAATTATTTTATTATAGGTATTAAAAAATCAACCAGAAGATTTTTGGAAGAAAGCATATCTTATTAAGTCTAAATTGAATGGGGTATAGTTGATAGTGCAGAAATTGGATCTGAATAATCATAATAATCAAAAGCAAACTTAGAAAATTTAGCCAGTAAATTAGAGTTTCTAAATCCACCACCTGAAATTGGTAAGATTTTAGAATTGAGTGCATCCATCTCAGTTATTGATAAATTGAATTATCCAACTACTGAACCAACATCAAGTATTATTATATATAAATATTATTTTAGCTTCTCCATAATAAGCAGGATCTAATAATTAGAGTAATGGAAATACAAATAGTAATACAGGATAAGAATAGAATAATAATAATAATAATAATAATAATAATAATAATAATAATAATAATAATAATAACTAAAATGATACAGATGTATTATTTACAACAGATGAATCAATTAATTAAGAAGAATCAAAGGATATATCTAATTAAGATAATATAGGAACAATAAAAAAATCGATAAGCTCAAGTGAAACTTAATCTAATACAGTTGTTATTGTAGTTTCTGTGATTTGTTCAGTAGTAGGTATCTCAATATTAATTGCGGGTTTGTTATATTATAAAAAGATTAAATTAGCTAAATTAATTGCTGCAAGAAATCAAAGAGTTGAAAATGAATTTTATAAAATCAATCTCACAGAATAGCAATTGCAACCATAATGATTTATTATTAAATAAATTAAACATAATAATTATATATAAAGAATATTTATATTTGACAAATATTTATTAATTAAACTAATTTCTTATTTTTAAATTTATTAATTTATTAACATCTTATCATTAAATTCCTATAAATAATAAGAATTAAAGTTAGTTATACAAAAGATTACTCATTTATTAATATTAGATTTATATAAAATTTTGTAAGATATCTATTCTTAATTAAAAGAATCTGGAACATCTAATTGGACATTAATATTATAATATTTATTTATTAAATAATTATTCATTTAACAATTATTATATTTAAATATAATTAGAATAACATTTATAAATGAGATAAAAAATTCATTATAAATAGTAAAATATTTAATAATAATAAATTTACTATTAAAAATAAAATTGCAATAAAATAAAATAATGTTAAATACAAGTTCAATGAATTTAGGAGACACTAGCAAAGTTTATAAGTAAAGCAATCAACTTGGAATTTTATCTACTGCTATTAGTAAAATAGGGAATTCAGATCACTCTTTTCATAAAGGAGTAAAAGCAGCAAATACTACAAATGTATCTCCTGTAAGAATGAGATTGTTTAGAGAATCACCAGAACGAAAACAAAGAGGACTCGATGGATTAGTTGTAGGAGAGTTTCAGTAATTTAATTAGTATTATACTATTAGTCCTCGTAAATAAACATAAGTTGTGTATAGTAGCATTCATTAGAGTTCATCTCCAATGATTCATAAACCTTAATAGAAACAATAATTTTAGGATTCACCCACAAGAGCTAAATAGAAAATAGATAGATTTAAGAATTGGGACTCAAAATTAGACATTGAATTATAATTACAAAATACTGGGATTACTAGAATGGGAAATGATATAGTCTATCAATCTGGTCCATAACTTAATTATACAAAATCAATATAATTTAATGAGAGATTAAATAGAAATAATCCTTCAATTTCACAATCAGATATTGTATAATTAACAGCTAAATTAAATGCAATACCAAGAACAGAATTAACTAATTTTACAAGAGGGTATTACATAATAATTATAATTATAGACATGCTCATGAATTATCCACACTTTAATAATCATTACAAAGGATATTGAAATCAAGCAAAGCCTATTGAAGATGTCTGATAATTTTTTATATTAATAAATTTATTGCTTAAAAATTAAATTTGATAATGTTTGATGGATATAATAAGATTGTAAAGAATTAATAAATACTATATGATAATGGTGTTTATATTTGATATTAATTTAAGACTCTAACTATCATTATCTTTTAGAGTTCTTTCTGATTGATTGGAAATAAGGATGTAACATTGCTTCTTTGGCTGTAATTCTTAGATTCTATTATTATATAGATAATTGTATTACATGATCATAGATAAGCATGCTCTATAATAATTCAATTGCATCAGCCTTTGCCAAATATTCATTATCTTCATTAACAAATTTATTGAATGGTTTTTTAGGATGTTATCCTAATACATTCTCAAAGTTTGGACCCAATGAAATGTTGTATTTCTAGAGATAATTCATCAAATCATCTGTTCCTAATACTCTTGCTATTTTATCTAATTGATCATTATTATCTTATCCATGAAAGAATGGCTCTTATTAAAATATGATTCCAGCAAATAAGCATCCCAAACTCCAAATATCTAAACTATAATCATAATATTAATAATCTAAAAGAAGTTCAGGAGATTTAAAATATCGAGAAGCTACTCTACAATTATAATTTTTATTAGGGAAATAGAACTCTGCCAATCCAAAGTCAATCAATTTTAATAACTTCTTTTCATGATCAATCATTATATTATGTGGTTTGATATCTCTATGCATTATACCCATACTATGACAATGATCTAAAGACTATATATATAAATGTAATTTAAAAATTACTTTCAAAATTTCATACATATAAAAGCGAACATCCTGATCCTACAATTAAGGATATAACACTCTATAATCTGTGTTATTGATGAATTCAAGAATCAAACTAGTAGTCTTTGAAGCAGGATCAAATACAACATCAAGTAATTTCAACACATTGTTTTAACCATTCAAATTTTGTAATATTTTGATTTCTCTCTTTATCTTCTTCTATCTTACTATTAAATATTTAATATTTAATACTTGGTTTTAAAGCTTTGATAACAACCTTTTATAGTGTATTAACATTGATTCCTTCAAAAACTTCTGCATATTTTCCTCTTCCAATTTTCCTTACAATCTCATAATTATCAAGTTGTCTAAAAATAAATAATCAACATACCCATAATGAATATCCATGTTTTCAAATTCGAAGTATGATGGTCTCTTTTTTAAATTTGCATCTCCATAAAGTCGTGGCTTAATGTTCATTGTTGGTATTTTGATAAAATTTCAAATTAATATTATAGTTTTTAGTATTCAATTTCGTTAATATATATACAAATGTAATCTATATTAATAAATTAAAGTTATCTAACTCAATTAACATACAAATGATCTATAATTTATATTTTAATTAACTTATTCTATAATAGATAAAATGAACAGTATATTATTAGAATATCATTTCAAATTAATATACAAAATTTAATTTAGACACCTATATAAAATAGAGTCTAATATGATAATTATAATAATAATTGAATAAATTTAATTATTTTGTATTGATCTATTTAATTTAAAATTAGAGTAATTTATTTATATAATAGTTATTCAGACTTTTTTTATCTATTAATCTATAGTAATCTATCATTTTTATATAATTATTAATTTAATGATATCTAAATAGATTTATTTATATTTGAGAATAGATATGATATAAATATATATTTAATATTTATGAATAATATAAGTATTTATTATTTTGAGATAAGTTCAGATAAAACAGAGAAATTAATAGTATAGTTTATTAGATATATAAATTATAGATAAAAACTTAATATTGATTTAAAATGAATGAATGAATTGAATAATTAATAAAGAAATGAATTTTAATTATTTTAATGAGTTAATTCGATCCGTTTTTAATTCAATATTAAATTTACATGTAAAAATTAGCCGTCTTGGCATTAGTTCTTGCTATCACAGCTGCTAAGTTCGTTGATACTCATACTAGCTTAGCCTAAATTAATGCTGATCCATTTGGACATGTCGTATTGTCAGCTATCAAGGCTCACCTTCTTGCTTAGACTCCAGCCAATGAAGTTAATATGTTATTAAATGGTGTTGGTGCTGGTATTGTACAAGACTAAAATGATCATGATCATGCATTTGAACTTGATACAACTACAAACAATAGAGTAATGATTTGTGTAATATTCAGATTGTTGAAGATTTAGAGAAAGAGATCTTATATCATCAAAATCAAATTAGCTCTAACACTTAATTGAGAGACGATACTATTGAAGCATTAGCAGTCTCAGAAGAAGATATTAGAGTTACTATCTAAGATATTGCTAATAATGAAGCCACTTATGCTAGAGAAGAAGCCACAAGAAATTAATAACATGAAACATTTGTTGCTAAAGTTGCTGCTATTGATGATGTTATTGATGCTATTGATGAAGCTGCCAAATTGATCTAACATTTAAGTCTTGGAGCCTCATTTGCTTAATTAAAGAGCAAATATGATACACTTCACAAGAAGCTTTCAGATAATACTAGTCATAGTGCTTTATTATAAGTATTTAAATAATATATATATATAATTATAGCCAGTTATCACAGCTCTTACAGAACTTGCTACTCATGGAGTCAATCAAAAAGCTTTGACTAAGATTGCTTAACTTTTGAGTGAAATTAGACAATAATTAGTGAGCGAGAAAGCTGCCAAGACTGTATTAAATAAATTTTAATAATTAAGGATGTTGAAGATAGATAAGCTGCACATTGGGCTGAATTCTCTGTTCATTTATCTAATGAACATACTAGATTAGTTGAAAGAAAAGCTTAATTAGAAGTCTAAATCTAAGAATAAAAAGATACAATTGAAGATGCATAATCATGGATCGAATTCCATACTTTAGAATTAGAAAATAGTGAAGAAAGACTTGCTGGATAATAAGCATGGTATGCTGTTTAATCTGAAATCTATGAAACTTAAACTGCTGAAAGGTATTTAATTAATTTTTAAATTAATTTTATAGATAAGCTCAATAAGAAATAGTTGACAGACTCTAAGAACACATTAGTGAAAAATTGTCAACCACTGCACAATTCATTGCCAGCAGAAACTGATTTCATTAACCCAATAATAACAATTATCATTAACATCCTTCCAAATTAATTGTTAAATATTAGCTATTCAATTTTCTTAAATATTTTTAATTTATACTCAAGATTTCAATCATTTTATATGCCTTCAACCCTTAAACCCTTTACAAGATAAATACTGTTGATGCTCTCTCATTTCCTTACCATAGAATATAACTAATCGAAGTTAATTCATATCCTCATCCTCTTCTATTAAATAATTCAACCTACTTCTTTCATATTTTATAATGCGTAACCTTAAATGGAACAATTAAATCATAGTCTAACAAAAATTACTATCATTACAAGACTTTATGTATACATTACTGACTCAATAGTCAAATAATCAATATTTTGGATTATGGTTTTTGTGCAGAATTTTATTATTTTCATAGCTGCAATAATGGCATACAAAAATTATTACTCAAATCATATTCAATCTTAAATTGGATAGATATTTGCTACTGTATTCTCTATATTTATTTATTATGTTTCAATAACATTCTATCCGATCGTTTTAGAAATTAGCCTTTGTTATTCTTCTAATTTAGCTGAATTGATTGTAGCTACAATACTTATGATTGAAACTATTAGTATTATGTTTATAGGAGAACTCATTTATAGAAGAGGATTAACACTTAAATCAACATCGATTTTATATATCAACATATCAACATATTCATACGTAATAAAAACATTCAAAATATCTTAAATCATATTATTCTATTATTTAGATTCCCAATCAATGTTCCCTCTCACTATTTAATGCATCCTTAATATCTTAATATAAATAAGCCTTGTAACTGAATTGTGTAGAATGAAAGTATATGCTTATCAAATTTATTCTAAAACTGCTCTAATCTTAAGTTCCATAAGCATAGTATTATCATTTGAAGTCTTGTTTACATAAACTACTATCAGTAATAATTATTGGATATTAATTTCACTTATTCTAATTAAAATATTATTCATTTTTGATAATTATATGCCTAATTCTATTCAAAACTTTGAAATCCATTAATTAAAATATTAATTTGCATAATTAGAATTAAGTAATCCAGAAACTACATCTACTAAATTACGTACATATATTCTATGTAGAAGTCATTATTAAACATGTGATAAAAGATAATATTGTATATGTTTAACTACAAAAGAATATTCAAAGAATCATTATTAAACAGTCCTTAAATTAATTGAAATAAGATTAGAATAAAAATTTTTTGGAAGAGTTGAAAGTTCTAAAGATTCATTAGCCATTGATTATGCCTAAACCTTACTTAAAAATCATTAATTAGTTAAAGCTTAATAACATATCATTAGATGTCTTACTCTTAATTAATCAATATATCCATAAAATAGATAAAGATTCTCTGCTATTACCACTCTATTATTAGAATTTTTAAAAGAATAAGTTCTAAATTAAGTACTTATTTAAATATCTGAAAATGTTGGTTCTAATATATAACATAATAAACTTATAACAGATTCTTTAAAGTCTTTTGTACTTAATGAAAGTACAGATCAATAAATTATTCAACAAATGAAGAAAATAATCTTAGCCAAAATCTAATTTTATAATAATTTTCTAGAACATCAAAATCAAAATTATGGTAATATTCATTATGCTATTCAATTTATTAAATAAATTAAATAATTCAAAGATGTTCTCTTAAATAGATATGAATAATTTCCAAGTAATTTATATTATATTATTAAAGCATTCTCTAATCAAAATTTACTGAAATACTTTTGTTTGAATATCTTAAATGATTATATTGAAGCATTCAATATTAATAAAGGAAAAGCATTCGATGATGATAAATATAATACATTTCAAGGATAAATATACCATAAAATATTTGGTGTTAATCCTGCTTATTTCATTACTGAACTTACATCTGATTTGGATGTTCTTATAACTAAAAAATCAAGTTAAGCAGTCTTTATTTTAGAATCTTTAAAAATAAATTAATCTAAAAATCATCAAAATAATGAAATTAATATTTTCTTACCAGAATATGTAATTTCATATCATCGTCAACTTGTAGAATCTTTCTTAAATAATGGTAAAAATAAATATTATCAATAATAAAATCTAGCCTTTCTTAAAATATAAGATAAAGTTATGTTACCAATTCAAATAATGGTTAGTATAAATCATACAACTTCTGATAAATTTTCATTTATTTTATTCTTTTATGATAGTCAAGAATACCGTTCCTATTTAGCTGTTGATAATTAATTAGATATTATTAATATTAGTTCAGATATTTAAGATAGTCTATTTTTTAGTGAAACCAAAACACCTTAAACATCAATCTAAAAAATTATACCTAATTTTTAATAATTTATATCTACTACTCAAGATATTTTTTTAAATTAAGAAATTAAATTATTAAAAGATTATCATAATCAATAAGGATTTTTTTTATATAATGCAAATATCAAGATTGAAAAGAAATTTCATAATTAATTTTAATGCTATTTCGTTGAATTAGACAATATTAGACCTATATCTAGAAAATTAAGAGAAGAAACTTCAACTGTTTATAGAACTTCAACTTCCTAATTTCCTTGTTCTACTTAAAAAATAATGAATATTAATAGTGAAGTTGATTATTCATGTGAAAAAATGATACCATATTCAGATACTGATAATAGAATCAATCCTGAAGGATCATTATGTATATTATAGTAGGATCCTCAAATTGTATTTAATACAGATATGAATGCTATGGGTACATAGTAATTAATGGATTATTATAAAATCTAAAATTTATTTGAACCATTATCATAAAATAGAATATTACATAGTTCAAGATTTTCATAAGATGATGATTTAAAAAAATAAATGAATAAAATTGTTCATGAAGAAGAAATAAATGAAATTGGATCTACATCTTCAATTACAGCAATAAAAAAATCAAAATATTATAAAAAATTTGAAATTATATCTGTTTTAATGAAATCAGAAAAGCAATCTAAGAAAATAATTCAAATGAATAAATTTATTGCACTTTATATATCAATCATTTTGATTGGTCTAATTATAGTATAATTATATTGTAATTATATTTTAGTTTATAGTGATGATAGAAAATCTTGAATAATTTATATTTGATATTCAAATTCTATCAGTTAGATATGATGTTGTAGAACCATATGAATCATTTTATGTATCTCGTTTCTCACAAGTTAATTATAGAGAACAATTAGCAGGTGGTTTTATAAATATTTCACAATATAATCAATTAACAATATATCCATTTTCTACATTTGAATTAATGTTTAATCATTTAAGAGATAGTATGTATAAAGTTTAATAAAGAGAAGAAATAGATCAATTATCAGTTAATCAAAATATTAGTATTTATTTTTTAGAAAATTCCTATTAAGGAGAAATAAGAAATGTAACAATAAGATCATTAATTAATATACTTACTAATTACCAATATGATTTTAAAATTGGTCTAACATCTAAATCTGTTGTATTTGAAAGTCCTTTCTTTTATTTCACTGCCAAAAATTATTTGACTATAAAATAAACCTTTGATGGTTTAAATTAAATTGTATTAGATGCTACATTGTAGAGATCAACTTTAGAGTAATAAAAATGGTTATCAGTTTTATTACCATTTACTATTTTTAGTTTCCTTTTGAGTCTTATAATAATATCACATTACAAAGATTATATTTCTATAATGCATAAAATATTCTTATATTTAATGAGCTTAGATTCAGTAATTATTGATGATGAAAAATAAAGATTATAAAAACATCTTAATATTATTAATAATGAAATTTAAAAAATCAAATCATATGAATTTGATATTGAAGCAATTGATATTGAATTAGAATAATCTCATCCATCTAAAACTAGACATCTAACCAAAAAAGAATAAAAAAATGTTTATCTTTATAATAATGATTTAAAAAACTGCATAATTATTACCTCATTTCATTTTATTTTACAATTATCCTTCTTTTTGTCAATATTCCTTATCATATAAAGATATTTAGAAAAATATGAAAAAACTGCTGTTATCTATTAATAAATTAGTGATTTAGGTGTAGATATCCCAACAATCTATGCCTAAAGAGAAGTCTTATATAGAAGAACATTAAGATACTTTTTTTTATCAGATCAAGAAGTTGAAGGGATTTATTAAGTATTATTTAAAGCTTATGATAAAGTTGAAGAATTTTCAAAATAAAATTTAGATTTTAGTTCAGATCAATATTTATTCGATTAAAATGCCATTACATTTTATAAGAATGTTAATGAAGGCAATTTATGTGAATATCAAACAGATTAATTTAAAGATCTTTCCAAAACTATTTGCCCTATTGTTATGAATGGAAATCTTTAAAAAGGATTATCTTAAATTTTAGCTTATATTCTCTAAACAATAAAAGCATAATAATATGAAACAAAAAATTTTACTTTATTACCCACAGATACAAAACTTGAATTAGAAGGAGCAACTATCTTAGGAAATGTTATGTCAACTATAATTTATAACTTATATCTTACTTTGCTTGATTCTTGTTAACTTTTAATGTTTTATACTAAACTACCCTGTATTGCTTTCTTAACATTTTAGTTCATATGTTTTGTTATTTATATAATTTTTGGAAATAAACGACATAAATAGTAGTTTTAATCAATCAAATAAACTATATTTTTATTTCCAAGACAAACATTAATTTTTGATGAATTTTTTTATAGAAATTTCAAGTCCATTATAAAAGATGAAGGAATATCCTAATGATTAAAATTTACTATAAATTTATACATAATAAAATTAATTAATAATATTTATCTATCTATATTATTTTTTGTTAAACTTTAATATGGTAGATTACATATTTAAAATATGTTAATTTCAGTTTAATAATATTTTTTAATATTGATTCTTAATTATTATTTAGATTATGCTAATAATCTTAAAGAATCAAAATTTTGTAAAATTCTTGGTTAAAATAAAAATTCTCTCAGTCTTATGATTTTATAATAAAAACCTATATTTAATTACAAAATCCAATAAGAATTACTATCTGAACCCTTGGATATTCTTTTGTTTTAGCATCCATTATTTTTTTAATGTAAATTAATTTATAATTAATATGTATATCTATAATTAAAAATTTATATAAAAATTACACAATAATGGTAAGATTATTTTTGCATTTTATAAACAAAATCAAAGTATATAATAAAGAATCATAAAAAATTGACATAAATAATATAAAATAATTATTATTTCAATTGTAAATAGAATTACTAAGATTTAAAAATTCTATACTAATTCATTTTACTTTTTTTTTTAAATCTTTAATTACCCATTAAGAAATTATATTAAATTAATGAATAATTTGTATAATTCTAGAAATTTGAATATAAAAAAGAAGGATAAGCACACTCAAAAAATCTTGTTATTACTCTAGATTTTGTAAAGAATATAAAATGATTTATTATAAAATGCATGATTAATGTGCCCGTTTTTTACAATATTAAAATTAAAATAATGAGAGCTCTTTTGATAATTTGCTTAGTGGCTACTATATTTGCTGTAGATGCAAACAAATTCGCTGTTTTACTATAAACAGGAACAAGAGGAAATGATGCAGTCGAATCAGTATATAACCTTTTGAGAGATCTCAAAACAGAAAACGTTAATGTTTAAGCTGCTGCTGACAAGAAGAACAATACAGATGAAGGTATTAAGTGAAATATCTTTAGAAATCTTCACTTAAGTTATTGGGGATTTGACAAATGTTGCCTCACTTAATAAATAATAATGGGAAGCTCTTGGAGCAGTTAGAGGTGATGTTGAAGCTTAAATTAGAGTATTTTATTTATAAAATATAATTAGGATGGATATTAATGGTTAACTTGGGCTGAATCTAGACTTGCTGAAATTGAAAGAAGAAATGCTTAACTTTAAGATTAAAGATGTTGGGCCAATGGACTTTTTGTTAGGTCTCTTGCTGATCATGCTGATGCTATTGGTGTTGTTTAACTTTTAGAATAAGATGTTGCTGGTTTTCTAACAAATAATGCTGGAGTTGAACTCGTTTAAAAGGCTGAAACCATTGCTGATAAATTATCTGCTTACAGTCATCTCTTCTAATAAGATGCCTTATAGAAGTTCTAATCCCTCGCTGAAGTTAAAAGAGAAGGAACAACTGGAGAATAAGTCCTTTAAATTTTATAAGACTTATAAGCCGAATTAGAATCTACTCTTGCAACACTCTAAGAGTAAGAAATCCATGCTGCCTTCGCCCTTGCTAAATACGTTTCAGATACTAATGCTGAAGTTGCATGGTTGAACTCAGAACATGAAAGAAGAACAGGACTTGTTGAAAAATTAGAAACTGTAATTGATATATCAAATTTCATAGTAACTCCCAGCTGTTCTTGCCTAATAAGCCAAGGCTCTTAAATTATGGAAAGATTCATTAAATGCAGTTGCCGGTGCTACAGCTGATTTGGAAGAAAAGAGAGAATTCTATGCCTCAGAAACTGCTAGAAGATAAGGTATTTTATTATGTAATAATTATTATAGAGGAAAATGCTATTATTGATGTTGTTATCCAACTCTTTAAAGATTAAGTAAGATCATTGGCTTCATAAACTTCTCTAAAGAGAAAGTGATCTGTTCACATTAATATAATAATATAAGCAAATTCATTTTTCATTTAATTTTGCTTCATCTTACTCATCATCATTAAAGTCATCTAATGTTTATTCTTGATTTTTCTCTCTTATACCATTCATTATTTCATAATATTCATCATCATCCTCTAATTCAGCATCAAATTCTTCACGAAGCTCAAATTTCAATGTTTAGTTATATAAAGTAATCAAATGCTCTCCTTTTTAATTCAAAATTTATGAGCTAATCATGAAATTATTTTTTATTCCAATTAATTTTAATGAAATTGGACAAATGTAAACTCCTGGAATATCAATATAATAGGGACTTAATAATATGTCTTTTAAGCATTTGTAAAATTAGTAGAATGTTTTATCATAAAAAAGAGACCCATAATCATCAATCTACTATTTACATTACTTGCAAATCATTCTTTCTGGATCTATTATATGCTATATGTAATCAAAACTAGAATTGACATTACAATTTAATGAATGCAAGTATTCAAGAGAAACAGCTTTTATTTATAGACTCTCCACATCTCTTTTAGAAGGATATTTTTATTTATATAAACTCTGCCAATATTCTTAGAATTCTTTTGGATATTCTTCTCTATGTTTATTTTGAACAAAAGTCAATCCAGAACCTATTTCATCTGATGGGTAAAAATTAAATATTCTTAATTAAATTTAATTGTTTTTCTCTAAATATTCTTCAAAGTAGCTTATATTTTTTTTTGTTTCTGCATAGACCTTACTATTTTATTCTACAAACCTTTCAAAATGTTAATGATTAAGGTAATAAGGTTTTTGATTATCTATTCTAATAAAATTAAAATTTAATAAAGAAGGATATATCTAAATTTACAGTTTTTGTTTTGCAAATTCTTAGAGAATATCTCTTATTTCGAATAAATATATTGCTAATTAATTGGATATTTTATTGTATTCTTTCAATACTTTTTTTTATTTATCACTATCTACACTAAATATATAATCAAAAAATGTGCTTTGATTAACTAAAGCTGGAAGAATTAAAAAAGAATCTGATTTCAACCAAAGTGAGGGATGTACTAGTTCATTTTTTGTAACATAATCATAATCTCTGACGAAATAACTATATAAACGATGCTTATTTATTTCATCATTCATTATCCATTTATGTTCATTAAATAGAATATAAGCAAATTAAATATACTTCCAAACCAATTCAAACTTAATTTTCATGTTATCATTATATTATGAAAACAATCCTAATATTTTTTTTTTGGATTCTATAGGATTAAAATTATCAAAAGGTTAAGATAACCTATCTTATATAAGCTTTATCATTTCATGGTAATCTTATTTTTTATTATTAATATTTGGTCCAAAGTAGATTTAAAAAAATGGAGAATCTTCTTGAAATGTTATATATAATCCAACAAATTCCAGTTTTAGTTAATATGCAATCATTATTCTGTTCTATAAGTATCTAATCTGAGCCTTTCCTATATTTTTCACTATTTAATTGAGACAATCTGTAGTGAGAAATTTTTTATATTTCATGAATAGTATTTAATTAAAATTAATTATTAATGTACAAATGCCGAAAAAGTATTAAATAGATATATATTTTATCATAATAAAAGAAGAATTAGAATTATCTCATTATGTTATTTAAAATTAAAATATTTAATATATATCTTTTAAAGAAATATAATTATCTTAAATACTTTCATATACAATTCTAAGTCAATTAATCATCATTTTTAATAGATGTAAGGAATCATTAATTCTATATCTTAGAGGATTAATGCAAAATAATCGAACAGTTTCATCATTATTCATTTACTCCAAACACTCCAGGATAAAATTATGTCCTTACCCTTTTTGAAGAAGACTTTAACTATTATCTGTAAAGATTGAGTAATTATTGCTAGAGATTAAATAGTTAGTTGTAAGAATATTATATTACAATTTTTCATTATAAGTTGATAACTGTATATTATAACCTTTTATACAACTAATGTCTTTATTTATTAAGTTCATTAATGTTTTCTTTATTTATGGGTTTTAAGTCATCTAAAGTTAATCATGAAAAAACTATTTAATGTAATAATATGGATCTGTAAGAGATTATTAAATTAATAATTGCAATTGATGAAATATAACTTCAGGAGTTTATAAATGACATTCTTATTAATATAAAGCAACTTCTTAATTTTGCATATTGAATGGCAATTATCTAAATACATCTGGTGTACTAATAGATCCATGGATAGCATATGATACTTTTATTGATAGTACATTTGACTATAATTACAAAATCATAGATCTAATTAATTATTCTACTATTTTCTTTTTAGAAGTGCTTTTTCCACCAATAATCATAAAGTTTTTTTGAAATTTATTTTGATTATAAAAATTATCTATTTCATTAAATGTTGTAATTAGATTGTTTTTGAATGTATAAGTTTTATAGGAACATTAATTACGACATTTATCTTCTTAATTGACTTTTATTTTATTTTTGGCCATTAATTAAATGATGGATGAGTTACTTAATCTTGAGAATAAGCAAAATAGATAATCATTAGATTATCCCTATTAAATATTATTATTATTATTATTCTCATTTTTTTTAACTTATTGAGCTTTATTTTTCCATTTAATATATGAATTAGATATTTTTTGATCACATTAAGATTTAGGACTAAGATTCTATTATTTTTCTATAACATAATTGCTAAAATTCCTAATTTTTGAAGTATGATTGACAGAATTATTTGTGTAGATATGTGACAATTTTTAATGCATTGTTTCTAAGGTTTTAGAACTTATAATGGAAGGATTGTTGCTTCTATTTCTACCTGAACTTACACTGTCACATAGCTTTAAGTAAATAAATTTAATACTTTTAATTCATTTTTAACAGTCTCAATCTAATTTTTAATAAAGTTTAACTCCTTATAAATCTACTCATCAATCTATATTTAGATATTTGTATAGCAATACGTGACTAATTTCTTATCTTTTTGAATCATTATAGGCTATATCATTTTCTGCTTTTAATGCAATTATTCTATTCAGATAATATTCATCATCTTATTCTTTGATTTGGAATCTGAAATTTCTACCTTCACTTGCTATTCTTTTAATTTCATTTTTTCTTTAATTCATCAATTATTCCTTATTGATATGAACTGCTTTTTTATTTGAAGGACTATACAAATTCATAAATTAATTATTAGTAGTTATTAATAAAATAACAATTGGCGTTTAATCTGTAAAATTAACAAAAGACCATTATAGAATTCATTTTGATAGTAATATCATTTGAAACTGTATTGATAATTGTTTATTCTTTATTTGTTTGTAACTCATTTATGAATAATATAAAAATAAGTTACTTTGTATAGATATAAGGAAAAGAAGGTTAGTATTTTAATAAATAGAAACTAATTATAGATTAATATATTGAGAGATTCAATAAATAAATTAAATTGATTTTAAAATTCTTAAATTTTAAAGATTGTAGTAATTTTTGAGAAGAATTTTTAAAATAATAAATTTTCTATTATTAATGAAAGGCTTGGGAATTATGAAATTTAATTAATCAATATATAAAAGTGAAGTATTCGTTTTTGACTTTTTTAATAATAATAACAAAATATGTTAAAAGTAGCAGTCTGCACATTGCTCGTTCTTAGCATAACAGCAATTGATATCAAAGCATCAGTTTGGACAAGTCATGACTAAAAGATGTTTGCCCAAATTAAATAATCAGGATGGGGAAACTTTATCTTGAATTTTGGTGAGCTCCATTTATCAACAGGTGGTATCCTTGCAGAACTCAACACAGAGATTGCCAAACTTGTATCATAATGTGTCTATTTAGATTGATGAATTGGATGAAGAATTAGCAGAAGTCCATCATTAATATGCAAGAAGAACAGATGTTCACAATAGAGAAGTAACAAGACTTGAATAAGAAATCTAAGATAAAGAAAGAGGTAATATTATGATTAAAATCATCATTAGAGGTGTTCAATGCTCATGATTTCTATGATAATGTCCTTATCCCATAAAGAGATAGATTTGCTGCCCAACTTGAATAATTATAAGAAAACATCGCTTAAAATAGAAAAACACTTAATGAAGCAACAGTCTAAAGAGCTAATGATCATGCTGATTTTGAAGCTAAGGTTGCTGAACATAATGAAGCCATAAGTGCCATTGATGAATCCCTTGGTTTACTCAGTCAATTATCAGCTCCATCACTTGTCTAAATCTAAAAGGTATAGAAGAATTTGACAAAAATCTAATAAACCCTTAAAAGACACAGCACTTTCTAAACATTCATCAAGACTCTTATTGAAATTGCTGTTGAAGCTAACTTTGCTGATTAAGGAGCTCTTAAAGAAGTAATTTAATTTTATAAATTTTATTAAAGATTCTTGTTGCTTTCAACAATTTGAGAGTTTAATTAGTTGATTCACTTAACACAATCACAGCTGATGAAGCTGAAGCATAAAAAGATTTTGAAGCAAGAGTTATTCAATTAAACTAAGAACATGCTGAATTCTAAAGAGCAGTCGTTGTCAAAACAGCTGAAATTGAAGCTAATGCCAGTATATTTATTAATTAAATATAGACAAAATCGAATAAACTCTTGATTTGATTGATGAATTACATGCTGATTTGGATACATTGAATGGATAATTGTAAGCCGAAAATGACGATTTTGCTTTCGCCACCGATGTTTACAATGCCACAGTTGCTGAATACAATAAAGAATTGAATGCTGCTCATTAAGCCTTGGATTTATTAAATTAACCAAGATTCACCGATTATGTTAAATCATAACTCAAGGGTGCATTCTGACCTTATTAAATAAAAGTTAAACAAATTCATTTTTATATCTAATTTCTTTAACTATCATAAACATGATTGTACATAATCAACTTTCATCAAGTTTCATATTAAATGAAGATGAGATTTCAAATACATCAATAGATCTACAATAGGAAATGCAAGATTCAGTTTAATTGGAGAATAGAGACAATTTCAATATACAATTTAATAGATAATCTATAATGTATGACAGTACAGAATTATGTGATACCATCAATAAACAATTGATTGAAGAAGAATAAAAATAATTATTACTTAATCAGATTACTGAATTACGAATGAATAATCAATAATTGGTAGAAGAAATCAAAGATTTACATATTGCTGCTGTAGAACATAATGAGCATCTTTAATTAAAGAACACTGAGATTGCTGAATTAAAATTGGTCATTCATGAACAAAAGTAATAAAATAGAAAAGCAGATGACACTATATAACAACTAAAATAATAAATTTAAGATTTTGAGTATAATATTTTTGAGAAAGATGAAACCATGTAAAATATTTGTTATTATACTTTAGAGTTGAAATGGGAGAACAAATTAAGAAAATAGAAATGAAAAAATAGAAATTAGAATTGTCTCTCAAAGAAAGTCGGAATCATGTGGCTGTCTAAAAGTATTTTTATAGTTATATATATTATTTAGATAATAAATTAATAGTTTATTATTAAATTGTAATCAAATCAATATAGATGAAATTAAAACAGAAATTGATAATGAATAAAATAAACATTTATAATCAGAAATGTAATCTATCTTAATTTTATTAGTTAATTGTTGTAAGAGAGTTATGATTAATTATTAAAAGAATAAGAAGATTCAGAATTAAAAGAAAATCAAAAATTAGATTAACTCAAAAAAGATTAACTTCAATATTAACATAATCTAGTTGAATTAGAGTTATTGAAACTTAATCTAAATTAGAATGCTTAAGAGATATTATAGTACGATGAATTAATTAAAAAAAATGAAATAACCATTAAATATTTAGAGGATACCATCTAAACTTAAAATGATAAATATGCACAATTATAAAAAAAATTCTATAAATCTAAGTAAACAATATTGTTTTATTTTAGATTAGTTGTTAATGAACTGAAACATAAGATATAAGATTTAATGCTTTTATAATAGAATGATAAAGCAATCATTCTCTAACAATAAACTCAAATTAATTAAACTAAAAAAGATTTAGGCAAATTTAGATATTAAAGGGATAGTCTAATTGAAGTTTAATCTAAATTATTGAAATCTCAATATATGGAAGAAGAAATCCCAATTAAGTAATTTGATATCTATATGTAAGAAAATAACTGGATATTAAATTAAATGAGATGCAATAATTATAGAATGAGTTGAATCTTAAAAAAGATGAATTAACTCAAGAATAATAATTACACTTTAAATCACAATAATAAATTTTAGAAATGAAAACAAATTAATCTACACTTGAATAGAAACAAATCAGATTGGAAGAAGAATAAAGTTCACTTAATATGATTATCAATTAATAAGAAAAATAAATTTAAGAATATATCCAATAAATTTAAGATATTAAAAATCAAAATTAAGAATTACATTTAAGAATGTCCTAATTTGACAAATAAACATCACAAATCATCACATAATTCAAGTAAAAATACTAAATTTATTTGAAAGTTAAGAAATTTAAAATTTGATTTTCAATTATCATTCATATGAACAATCATATAAGGATCTAGAAAAATTGAATATAGAATTGAATGGTTAACTAAATGGTTAAAATGAATTGATGCTAAAATTTTAGAAATTAAGGTATTAAGTTAAAGATATAAATTTTAGTGAAGAGAATAATGAATAGAAGATACTTATTACAGAGCTATAAGAGAAATTATTGTAATTAAATAAAAGGTAAGTCAGAGAGTAATTTTAACAAACTTATTTGACAACTAAATCAATATCAGTATAGACAGATCCAATAATTGATAAATAAGTTATTTAGAATGAAGAAGATAAATTAAGGGATGTAGAAAATACAATTAATTTTATTATCAATAATTTGGATACAATGAAGGAAAAGATTAATTTAAATCAAACAAATATAAATGAATTACTTAGTTTTAAATAGATAATTTCTAATTTGATTTTAAAACAACAAGGTGTAATTTAAGAGAATGAGTAATGTTATGAATCTACATAAATTCACACTCCTAGATCAATTGAAAAAAAGGACAATAAGGAGATAGAATAACTTAATTAACAAATTCATTCTTTAGAACTTTAATAAATTGAGAAGGTTTCAATGATAAATGAACTCTAATTGTAATTATAAAAATAAGAATAAAAGATAGAAAATTTAAAATTAAAAGAAACTGAAAAGCATCTTTTGGATATAATCGTTTCAGATAGACAATAATTATGTGAATGCAAATTATAATAGGAATACAATAAATATGTTTCTGATACTCAAAATTTTGATAGGATTAAGTAATTAGAAAGTTTGAATTTATAATTAAAAATTAAGGTACCTTGTTGATATTTTTTTGATAGCTTGAGGCATAATAGGAGATAGCCAAAGAAAACTTGCGCTTAAGAAAAAAGATTGCAACTCTAGAGAATTAGGATATGAGACAAAGTTCAACTTCTCCTTAAAAAATGTTTGGTAGCAAAATGACTTTTAAGACTTTTTAAACTAATTCTACATAGAAATCAATTGAGAAAAAGAGAAGTCATATAACAGATTAACATTATCATTCAAATTAGAATAGTCTTAAGCAATAATTAATTGAATCAGATACAATCTAATCTAAAAGATATGTTGAAATATTAAAAAAATGCATAGAGGAATAATAGATGAAGTTATAATAGAGAGAAGATTTAATGAAATAAAGCTAAGTTCTTTTAAATAATTTGTCGACAGATTTAAAAAAAAAATTAAATTTAATAAATAGTGAAGATTTAACAAAAAAAAAATAAGTTATAACATTTATTGAAAAAGTATAGTTGTAAGTCGATTTTGTAATGAAAAGACTATTATAACTTAAAAATACTGATTGTGTTTCACCAACTCGATTAGGCAAAGACTGATTATTATATATATTAATAATTTTTAATTTAATATCACTTATGCTGCCATTTGGGTACATTGTTTTGTAATATTTAGTTTTTAGTGATTTAAATACTTAGAATTTGAGAAACTGCAGAGGTGAATTACAAAAAAGTAGAAGTGCTAGAAATTTATGGAAAAATGATTAAAAAAGTCCAAGAGCAAATGCTTAATAGAGAAAGTTATTATTAAACATTTATAAATTAGAGTAAGAAAAAAGAGTACTTTCAAGTTTGAAAATGTACATGATAACATAATTTAAATTTAATTGGCTTCAGATGAGAGCTATGAAATGGATATTAATGAGGAGATAGAAATTGATAAAAATGCTATGTTTAGAGGTATGCAGAACGAACTTAGTCCTGATAGAAGGAAAACCTTTAAAGCTAAGCATTGGCAGATTTATAAAACTCTTCAATTATATATGGATGAAGAGTTGATTGATGAAGAGAAAGAAGATGTTCAAGAGTAAACCCCAACTCCTTTAGTAAGATAAAATCAAAAATTAAGTCCTGATGAGATAATATTTTAAAAGAATTTATAAATCCCAGATATTATAGCTGAATTTACAAAATTGTATGAATCTGATCCTCACAATGATAATTACAATTTATAATTAATACATGTATAAGGATGGGAGGAAATATGGCTAAACCATTAATTTTATAAAGATACTTATATATTACTATGGTTGAGAAAATTAATTGTAACATTTTTTAATTCAATATCATTGATTTGTTATAAAATTACAACTAACATAGTATCAAACTTTATAATGCTTTTATTAGTGTCAATAAATATGGTATTATATATAACAAAATTTTATGATGATGTATACATTTAATATAAATAATTATTTGATGGTTGGTCATTAAGTAATAAATATTCAAATTATAATAGTCTTCTTTTGGATATATGTTGTAGAACATGGAATAAAAATAGTTGGATTAGGATTAGTTTAGTTTATTAAAGTATTTTGGAATTGTTATGATCTAGTTAATGTAAAATATATAAAAATATTATATAGCTAATTCTCTTTGGATTATACATTTATGGAAGTTTATCATTTGATTTCTCTCCTTTAAGAGCTATGAGAATATTAATTTAATTAGCAAAGATTTCTTCATAATTATAAAAGACATTGAAAGCTTTAACTGAATCATTAAAATATATGATGGAAGCATCATTGGTTGTATTGATTTTTTGTATATTCTTTGCAAATGTTGGTGTTCATTTATTCAGTCAATTATTATTGAATAGATGTTTCTATATTGAGGAAGGAATTTAGGATTTCAATTAAAATATTTGTGGTTGGGTGAATTGTCCTAATAATATGAATTGTTTTAAATCTTTGAATAATGTTGATAGTGCTACTAATTTTGATAATTTCTTTTTTGCTTTTGCTCAAATTATACGTACAATTACAATGGACAATTGGACTGATGTTATGTATTATACTATGTATACATTAAGTCCAATGACATGGATATATTTTGTTTTAGTTATTTTTATAGTAGGTATGAAATTAAAATATTCTTTTAGGTTTTTTTGCATTTAATTTAATTATTGCTGTTTTGAAGACATATTATTCATAAATTGTATCTAATTATTAAGAAGATAAATAAGAATTATCAAATAAATAATCTTATATAGAACCATTAAATTTAAGATTTATAAAAAATATTGGTTTGTATAATTAAATTAAAACATTATAAAAAATACGTAAGAGAGGTTCTCAATAATCACTTTCTCAATCAAATGTTTCTTAGAATAATTCAATTCATAATTAAATATTTTCACCTAAAGGAAGTCAATTGTTACAGAAATCAAAAATAATATCTCAATTCACAAATGGATTTGGTTAAATGAATAAATTATAGAAAATGGTGAGGAGGGCTAAAACTGTAAAAGAGAAGAAAAAATAATAAAGATTGATCTTATCAGCTAGACAATAGAAACTATTATAGATGAGAGAAAATGAAGATATGGGTATAAGTAATAGCAATGAACAAAGTATTTTTGATAAGTGTTCTTTGAAATCTATTTTGTAACCACAAAGAAATTTTAATATTGAATAATCAAAATATGAATAAACAGTATAAGGAGATATAAAAGGTAAAAGGATATTGATGAGTTTAAAATATAATGATGTTTTGGCATGGAAATTAGATTTAAAGTATTCATCATACTATTCAACATCCAAAAGAGATGTAATAAGTGAAATTAAGGAAATATTGTAAAAAGAGAAAAGGCTTAAAGAATAATATGAGAAGGTTAAAAGATAAAATTTGAAATAATATTATATGTTAGACATTTATGATAAACAAAGGGAGAAGATATCATAATAATAATTGTAATCTTCTGATAATGGTAATCCATCTATTCAAAGACTCTATAGCATAAAATATGATATAAATACAAAAAATAGAGATTAAAATATTACATCTAGATTGAAATTGAAATTCCCAATAAAATCAAGTAGAAGAATCTTTAGTTCTGAATTAGATATTGATAATTCAAGAAATGAAATTCCTAGTAACAGATCAACAAATACTCGTAAATCTTATTATGATCAATTAAGAAAATAAAGGTTATTTTTCTAGAGATCTCAAACTAGAATGCATAGAGGAACTTCAGATGCTTTTATGGAATTTCCAGAATGGCAGGAAGGGTAATAATATATAACAATAAATGGTATAAAGTGGAATCATGATGCTTGTTCTATTTTAATTAATAGAAAGATTAATGATTTAGATGAAGATGATGATGATGATAATTCAGATGATAATCAAATTATAAAATTAGATTGGATGGATCAAAATTATGAACATTATATTAAGATTAGAGTAATAAATTTAGTTTTTATTAATAGAAAAAAGAATTAGAATAAGGATTTATAAGAAGACATAATATATCCATACTAAATATTTTGAAAAATGTAACAAAAAATAAATTAATATCTATACTTAAATCATTAAATAAACATGATTATAATATTTGGATATAAGGATTTTATGGATATTTGATTGTTATGTAATTTAAATTACATAAATTATTGGAGGAAAGGATGGTATCAATTATTTTTGATTTGTATACAATGGTTAATTTTTTTATTCTTTGTTCAGATGGTTATTTAAGTTCTGATTTGGTTGATTCAATTAATTCAGTTATGACATTTCTATTATTGGGGGAAATAGTTTTAAAGATAATTGGTTATGGAATTAAAGATTTCACTAAAAAATCAAGTAATAACTTAGATTCTTTTGTTATTGTTTTATGTTTATTATAATACTTTATTTCAATAACTTAACCATTTTGGTTGGTATAATATAGTAGTGAAATAAAAGTATTAAGAGCATCAAAAGCTTTTATGTTATATAGGGTGATTAAATATAATAAATTTATTGTAAGAATAATGAAAATTGCCTAATTAACTATGAAATCATATATAAATATTACATTTTTAATGTTTTATGTTATTTTTATGTATGCTATAATGGGATTATAATTTTTTGTGAATAAATTTGATGAATCTTAAAGATTAGCTTAATTGCATTCTTTTAATAGTATAGGAAAATCTTGGATGACTGTATTTAATATTATTACAAATGATGATGCTGTTGGAATGTTAAAAGTAGCTACTTAATATACAGATACATGGATAGGATTACTATTTTATATTACAATGGTATTTGGATTGAATTATTTAATATATGGTTTAGTGAGTGCAGTATTATTAGATGCATTTTCATCAGAATTAGAGAAGGGGAATTAATATGAAGAGAAAAGAGAAAGGATATTATAAAAATTAGGAATATAAGAGAATATTAATCAAAATGATACTTAATTAGATACTTTATCATCAAATAAAAATGAGAAAGATGAAAATGATGATATACTTAATGATATTAAGATATAATAATAATAGTTTATAAAACGATAGACTCTAAATAGCAAGAAAAGTATTTATTAATAAGTACCTGAAACAGTTAAACATATATTCAGTAAATAGAAATCTTTAGAAATTTAGTATTATAAGGATATTGAATGTGAATATTCTTTATTCATATTTCATTTTAATAATCAATTTAGAAAGTTTTGTTATAGAACAACTAAATCTTTCATTTTCAAATTTATATTGAATAGTTCAATTTGTTCATCTGTAGCTACAATGATTATAATATCATTTGATGACAATTTACCATCATTACATACTAATAACTTAAATACATTTTATGAGTATCATTTATTAGCTGTTAATCTAATCATTACTATTACTTATATTTTAGAGATTATATCTTAAGGAATGCTTTTAGATTAAGGAGCATTTTGTAGAGATATTTGGAGATTCATAGATATCTTATATTTGATTAGTTATTATTTGTCATTTATGACTCTATCTCCATTTTTGAAATTCTCACTTTATTTAAGTATATATATTTATATATATTTAGTTTATTTACGTCCTTTAATGATGATTAATATGTTTTAAAGTATATAAGGTATAAAAAATGCAATGAGTTTAAGTTTAGTGTAGATTCTAAATATTATAGGAGTTATTTTATTAGTTTTTTTAATATTTGATGTAATAGGAATGCATTTATATTAAAATAAAATGGGTTATTGTGATAATTTAATGAATTTCTATGTGAATAAAAATCAATGTTCTTAATAAAACAAGACTTGGAGAATTCATCCATATAATTTTGAAAATATTTTAAATGGATTATTAACATTATTTTTAGCTGCATCTTTAGATGGATGGGGAGAAATCATGTAAGTATGTTTTAATGCAAATGATTCTATATATGGTCCAACACCTCTTAATACATAATGGGCTACTTATTTATTCTTTATATTATTTATATTTATTGGAGCCATGTTTTTTATGGGATTTCTTACAGGTGTTTTATTCACAGAGTTCTAAAAATATACAAAATAACTAGAAAATAAATATTTAACTAGTGATCAATCATAATTTCTGAAAATCTCAGAATTAATATTATAATAAAGTCCAGGTTATAGTAATCCACCTAAAACTCCTCTTAGAAGATTATGTTATAAGATTGTATTTAGTTTATTGTATCATAAATTCTTTATAATTGTGTTATGTGTCAACACAATTGTATTATGTCTATTTTATTCAGATGCTTAATATGAATACATGGCAAATCTGAATAAAACTTATTAAGTATTAACAGGTGTTTTTGCTCTAGATACTATCATTAAATTATTGGCTTATGGTCCAACAAGATATTTTGGTATATTTAAATTTAATATTTAAAGCTACTAATTGGAGAGTTATTGAATTGTCTCTTTCTTTTATAGCTGTTGCTGATTTTATATATGATAGTTATTGGGGATGGTTCACTACTTTCTTAGGTGCTAATTAATCAGACTACTACTTCACTTTCTATAGAATTTTATTTTGTTTGAGAGATATTCGTATTCTATTGATTATTCAGGAATTCAAAGGTCTATTAAGATTATTAAGAGTACTTTGGTTTTCAATGCCTTTATTGTTAAAAATCTTATACATTCAAGTTATAGCTTAAACTACATATGCTCTAATAGGAAAGGAATTATTTTCACATATTACTAATGGATCTGTAATTGATGATAAATATGCTAATTTTAAGAACTTTATTAATTCTGCATTATTAATGTTCAAATGTACTACAGGTGATGATTGGAGAGCTCTACTTATTGATTGTTCTCCTTAAAACTATTTTTGTAAAAGTGATAATAATTAATGTGGATCTTAGTGGGCCTTGCCATTTTTTCTTTCATATTATTTATTTTCAAATATTATCATTATGAATTTATTTGTATTAGCTTTAGTGGATTAATTTGAAAGTAATTAATAAATATTATATTATTTTAGATTTCTTTAATGCCTCTACTAATGCTATCCAAACATTTGTAGAGAATGTAGATCATTTTTGTAATGTATGGTGCAAATATACATATGATACAAAAGGAACTAAAATGCATACTCGTTTTATAGCTCGATTTTTATTAGATTTACATGAACCATTAGGTGCTCTTGAAGGAGATAATGTATGGGATGCAGCCAAGAGTGCATCTAATTTTAGAATCAGATCAAATAAACAAGGTTATGTATACTTTAATGAATTACTTTATGAGACAATTCGATTTGTTTTTAAAGATAGTATATTCAAATCAGGTTCATTAATTGGTAGAGCTTAAATGAAATAATTTGATTTAGCAATGAGAAGAAAGATGAAAGAAAATAACATAAAATCAGAATCATAATTAGATTAAGATTATTTTTAAGAAGAATAAATTTCCAAACATTAAAACTTCAATATACTTTCAGAATATTTAAATGTTTTAATTGCTCTTAAAACTTGGGAAGCATACACAATTAAACTGATTGAAAAAACTAAAAATCTTGATGAATACACAGAATAAACCAGTTCCTCAGAAAGTGAAAAGAAACTCTCAATTAATATTGTACCTTCAATTTAAAGAACATCTTAAAATAGACTGCCATAGACAATTGACTTAGATGATCATAGAATACAACGAGATTATTGTCATCTGAATATTTACAAGGAAACTAATTTATATCAATACTATTAGCATTGTATATTATTAGAACCCATTAGTAAATCATCATAATAGGATACAACAATTTAAAGATCTCCATCTACAAATCTTGAAAATCAAAGTATTTAATCAATCATTTTTTAGGATAAGTGAATCCAAAGAAAACTTTAATTAAAAGATAATCATCACTATTTAAATAGAATGTACAATCTTTCAAAGATGTTTTAGATAAAGTATTTTGATATTAGATTTATACTAATAAATTATATAATAAATTATATTATAAACAAATCAAAATGCAATTTATTATTTCTTTCTATCTTCTACTTCTTCTTCTTCTTCATATTATAATTATACTCTTGGTTTCTTCTTTTTAATATCCTTTATTTCATCATCTACTATTTTTATTTAATATTTACTTTCTCTTCTTAATTAATTAAATGTCTATTTCTAAAATAATCTTTAATCATCTTCTTCATCATCTTAATCTTCTTCATCATCCTCTTCTAAATCATTTGGATCGAATATCAATTCCTCATCTGAGTAATCTTCCTCTTCCTCTTCCAATTCCTATTACTCTCTCTTTATAAATTATTATTTATTATAATATACTTCTTCTTCATCTTCCATTTAATTTTAACCAACCACTTTCTCAAAAGCTTTAGTATTGTAATTCATAATCTCATTATATACTCCATTTTTTAATCTATCTATCAATTCCTATTCAATGGCATTCTCTAAATTAGCAGCTACTAATGCTTTTTATTCTCTTATCTTATCTCTTCTTTCTGCCTTCTTTTTAATTGGAATCAATTCCTTACTATTATAAATAATTGTTTTATTACAATCCTTTCAATCTCATCTTCCTTATTCTTATCAACATCTGTCTTAGCTTAGTTAATCTTTGTTTATTTTTGTGTATCATAAAATTACTCCAATATTTTAACTATTCATCTATTTAAGCTAATGCCTATAATTTATATTTTTCTATGTTTACTTATTCATAATTCTTTGATAATAGTATCTTCTCCCATAATTCTTTTGGTTTTTATGCTCTTTCTGCTGTTTTTACATAAAGATAACACAAACCCTTTTCCTCTTTAATTGTGGCATATTATGAATTTGCCAATGGACAAGATTATTTAGAACATAAACCTGTTACATTATACTCATTTCTACAGAAATTCTATGAGATTGTTCTATTCTTAATTTTTTATTTCTTACTTAATCTTAAATGAACAATGTCCTCGATTTATCACCTACCATACAACTTCGTCAATTTACATAATTTATTAATAATATTTAAATAAATAAAGCATTTTCAATGAAATGTGTAGAATAAACTTCATTATAATCCCTTCTTCTTCTTTTTCTCTAACCATATCTTCTTCTCTTTCTTTTAAAAAGCCTCTATTCTTAATTTATAATTCTCTTAATCTACAATTAAAAATGGCTTAATATCTTCATCATTATATTCTAAATCCTTATTCTTATCATCCTTATCTAAATCTCTTTTTGTTCTTTTCTTCTTTACTTCTTCAAAATCTTCAAAATATTTTCCCTATACTTTGATAGTAAGATTTTAAATCAATTTTGCTAATTATTTATCTAATTCTTTCTAATACTATTCTTTTTATTTTTTAGTTGTCTATCTCTAATTTTTAGCATACTTTTCAATGACATTCAATTACTTTCTCTATTTTTCATCTAATAATTCTAAATTCTTTCTAAACATTACAGCATCTCTACTTTCCTTATCATCTGGATTCTAAGATTATTATAGAAATGCTGTTAACTTATTAATCATTCTCCATCTCTTTAAATTTGGTTCAGTCTTAATAATGATAAATTAATATATACCGTCAATCCTAATTTTCGAGATATATTTTAAATGTCTTCTACATGTAATTTACGTAAATCATTTTCAGTACCCATTACTTAAGGTTTCTTCTCTTAAATAGCATTCTAACCTTTCTCACCTCTAGCTTTAAGTGGTTTCTTAATATAATTCAAACCTCCATGTCCAGATGTAGGATCTCCTATTCCATATAATAACATTCTTCCTGTTTAATTAGCTGAATGTAGAAATGATTAAGATAAAGACCATGCAGTCATATTTAATTCATCTTCAATCCTTCTAGCAATAACCCAACTATTAAAATCTTAAGGATTTCTTGATAAATATTCTTAAAGAGTTTTCTTCATCTTATCACTATTCTTAAGTTCTCTCAAACCAAATTCTTATAATAAATAAGAAGAATGTAACATAGATTCATATAAACATACTTAATTTGCAGTTATGTCATATTTAAGAACTTAGATATCATCATTACTACCTTTTTGATATCTCCAAGTTTTTTGATTAGAGGAATCCTATATACCTTTACATTCTTTCAATGCAGATCTAATATTAGTATGACTTTATTTTTAGAATATTTATTCTAATTCATCTTATTTGACTTCCTAATCCATCTTAAATTGTTTCTTAATATAAGTTTTTAAACAATTCTTTAAAAATGTTCCCAAAGGTCTTGAATGAGGAGTGAATATTTCTACTTTTGGTTCAATTTAACCAACTAAGTAAATACAATCTATAGGTCTAAGTGTATATTTATAATGACAATTATCAACTCTAGTTCTAACTAATAAGAAATCAGTGATAGGTAATTTCTATTTAAAAATAGGTGCTCTATAAAGTTCATTTTCTATAACTGCTATACCTATAAATCGTTCATCTGTAAGTTATCCCTGAAGTGGAATAGTTCCATTCTTATCAAGAAATCGAATTTAACCAATATTACCTAATTATTCAACTAACATATTTTTGAATTCCCAAAGAGTCATTTCCTCATTTGAAATCTATCCCATTTAACCATAAGTACTTTTATATGTTCCTTAAAGACTATTTTCTTAAAAGTTATTATAGTTGTCACCTTCATCTTTAATTCTTTTTTAATTAAATTGTAGTAATGCTCTACTAGGATAAACATACCTAGTTACTTTAGAACACATTCCAGTATTATTTAATAATAATGGTCTTTATTCAATATATTCCATCAATATAAAATTACCTTTTGATAATGATAAGTTTTCTACTTATTTATAATATTCATGACTATTCTATTTCTCAGTAGATTCTTCAAGTAATATCTCTCTATTATCCTTCTTTTATTCCTTTATATTTACTAAAGGAACCAATTCTGTAGTCCATGGATCAAAATATTTGACTTATTCTCTTTCTAATCCTAAAAATTCTCTTTTCTCTTCATATAAATTATCAACAATATTATTTCTATGATATCTTGCATGTTTTGTTAAAACTTAAGAAAAATCATTTAAAAGAAATGATTCTGCTACTTAAGAATGATTATAGAATGGTGTTGTTTAAAATGCTTTCATTTTAGATTCAATCAAATTTAATAATTCTTTATTTCCTCCATCTTCATTACCAAATTATTAATTAAAATCTTATTGTTATTGAATTCCATCTTCAAACTATGATAAATCATAAGACTCTTATTAATCTTCAACACTCAATAAATTCACATGAGATACAGCACTTCTATTATCTTTTTATCTTGAAACTATAGATGGAGCAGCCAATCTATTAGCTAATTGTTATTGTGTTCCTATTTTCTCAGGAAACTTCTTTTAATGCAATAAAACTTCCAATTTCTCACTAAAAAATTATCGATTTTATAGATCAATTTCTACTCTATTATATGCTTAAAATGATTTAGATAAGAAATTATCCTTATGACCCATGCAGAATTCAACAATCTCTTTATTATAAAAAGAATAATTATCTAAAGCCTTTTAAAATTCTTATTCCTTCTTATCAATTTCCACTTATTTATAACTTTCATCAGGTTATTAATTTTACTAATTTTATTATTCATTCAATTTCTTTTCATCTTCTAATTATTATTAAATTCTTTGCATTAATCCCATTCCTGGTTCATCAATCTATGCTTAACATTTTAATGCATTAATATCTTATTATGGACATTAATACAAAAAAGATTCTTTATTTAAAATCCTTTATTATTTTTAATTTTGAATTTCTGTATTTAAAAGTTCTTATTATTCATTCTCAAATAATTTGAATTTATTTGTAAAGAACCTCTTCAAATTTTCACTATCTTTTTATCTAATCAAAATTTCTAATTCCATTTAATTTTTTTTTGGATCCTAATCTATTTAGATTTATTATTAAAATTCTCCGTTCTCTTCTACAGGATATACATTATTATCATTAGTAGGATTTTAAACATAATTTTTCATTCTCTCTTAAATTTCTTTTTTATAATTTATACCTTCCTCTAATTTTATTTTCTTATGTTTTTTATTGATTAATTCATTTAATTCCTAAAAGTATTTAGCTGTTAAAAGAGGATTCTAAAAACTTTGAATCATTCCATAAGGATTATCAACTATTTCCTCTTAACATAAGATTGTATAATTATCTTTACTCTCATTTTATAACTTTGTATAGAGAGATAATCTTTTCTCTAAACTCTTTAAACATTTCTATTTTTTAAAAGAATCTAAGATAATCTCTGAATCCTTATTTAATTATAAATGTTCTCTTATTTATTAATCAGTCAAAACTTAAAAATTCTACATCAAAGAATCATAGTAATCACTATCAAAGGATTTACTTTTCTTATATTTGTAGAGAATGTCATTTATTACTTTATCATATATCATTTTAACATCTTCACTTGCAGCATAATAAAAATCAGAAAATGCATATACAGGATACTTAACATTTTATGATTAACGAGTATTATTAGTTTATCCAGATGATAAACTATTTCTTAAATCAATTTGACGTAAAAATGTTCTTAATTAAGAATTGTTTCTCAAATATTAATTTTAATCCATATCAGGAGGCAATGTAATATTCTATAAATTAGGTTCATTGATTTTAAGATTCTACCTTTATCCAATTCTCTTTTACTCTACTTCACTTGCTTCTTCTTCTTCTTCTTCATCATCACTTGTTTCCTCAAATTATCCTTAAGGTCTAAATCCTGCAATTAATGCATCACAGTCTAAAATGTCTTTGAAATATCGCATTGCAAAATTTAAATCTAAACTACTCTTATCTCTTTAATTCATTTCATTGACATCTTCAAATTAAGCGAATAAAATATCTAAAAGTGCCTCATTTAACATTATTTATAAAAATATTTACAATATATATATATATAAATTAATTATAATATAAGTGAATAAATTAAGTCTAGTTATTACTAATATTTGTTTTTTAATTTTCTCATCTATATGATTAAATGAAAAAGATTATTAAATCTAATAAGATATTTGAATATAAATATTAATTTATTTGATTACAATCATCTTGACTTTTTAATTTATGATTAATCTATGTTATTTTAATTTTTAATTCATCAATTATCTCTTCATCAGTAAGAAATTCTCAAATTTAAATTACATAAATTTGAATCCAAAATTTTTATTCTAACATTTTAAGAAAAGATGGAAAATGTAATAATTCCTTAAAATTGGGTTGATATATATTGAAATTAATTTAATATTATATCAATTTGAGAATATTAAAATTCATGAACCCCTTTTTTCTATTTACTTTTGAAATCAGATAAGAGATAGTTTCTAAATATGTAAATAGCATTGCTTATATAATAATCCATTATTTTATCCTACTAATCAACCATTATCATAAGTAAGTAAAGAAATAATTTTAATTACTTAGTTATATGATTATAGCATAAACAAGAGGTTCTAACAGTTCTAATTTATCATCATTATTCAATTAGTTAGATGTCAGCAATATCATTTTTTAATACAAAGAACTTACTTCTATCATATCAATAACTGAATTTGCTTTATCATTATTTATCACAATTCTTATAATTATATTACTTTTCAAAAGAAATAACAATAAATCTGAATAAATATAGTTTAGCAGTCTTGGAAATGTATTTATCTAATTTATATAGATTTTTATAAGATCCATTAGAATATTGTACTGGATTCTATGTTATCCATTATTTTTGGTATCAACTTATAATGTCATGATAGCATATGACTTTAGTTAATTTTTATCTATGTTCGTTTTAATATTTGTTATATTCTTTACTTTTTTTCATGACTTTGTATTATTAAATGATAATTTTAATAAATAAGACTTTTTGAACATAGCTTAATCTAGACCTTATATTTTGAATAGTTGGATTAAATTAGTTTAATGTGGATTTTCAAGTTATTATTATAAAAACCAAAATTCTCATGTAAAAATAATAAATAATAATTATAGATGATTTATTTACTTGTTAGTTTTACATTATCAATTCTAAATTACATTTAATTATAATATTATATGGTAATTTTTGGAAAATATGATATAGATTACATATTTCATTTAGTTAATGTAGTTTATTTTGGATAAAGTTTAGGATTATTGATTCAATATTTCATAAATATAGAAGATCCTTATACATTAATAACAATTTTGATTATAATTAATCTTGTTGTTGTTCATAAAAGTTTCAGAAAGTGGTATTTTGAACATCAATTTACTAATTCAAAAGATATAACAATTAGAGTATTACTTTTAAGTTGGTTTAGAGAATTAGAATGTTCAAATGTATATTATATGGGAATTATAACTAAACATTATAATCATCCAAATAATAAAAAATGCTTCTTAAGACATAAGGCTATATATTATAGTGGTAAGAAATTTGCCAAGTACACTTATATAACAACTAAGAGACACAATATTGAAAAATACAAAGGATTATTTTAAAAATTTTTTATTAAATGTTTGTTAGAAACTTAATTAAAATTAGAACCTAATTCATCTGAATTAAGATTATTATATTCAGAAATCTTATTCTATAAATTTAATTTGATTAATGAATCATTTAAATAATTATAGAAAATTAAATCTAATTTCAATTTTAATTAATAAATGAGAATCATATAATTAAAGTTATCTATTCAAAATAAATTAAAAGAAAATAATTAATTATGTTATAGATCTAAATTACCTTTTGAAAATATGTTAAAGTGTGAAGAATAAATGAAGGATTTTCTTAAAGCTTTTCTAAAAATAACAGAATTATAGATTTTCTTTTGGAAAAATTAACTCTAATAATTTATCTCCATTTCAGAATAAATTAATATAAGTTAATAAATATTTAAAGAAATTTAAGTTTGTCAAACAAATTGGAAAAGTATTCATTTTACTAATCCAATTGATGAATAAAAAATGTTTATAAGATTTAGATGGAAATTCTTCTATTTATATTTTAAACTTTATATACTACATAAAAAATTAAAAGTACACGAATTAAAAGAATTACCTGATCAAAATCTTAAATCCTAATAAATATTTTAAGATGAAAAAATAGATGAAAGATCTTCAAGTGAAGATGAAACTTAAACAAAAACTTATTATTAAACAAATTGTATTATTTCTTCTAATAACTTATTTTTTCGTGTTGATAAATTTGGAGAAATCATTACAGTTAGTTAATCATCACTTTAAATCTTAGGTAGACACTAAAATGAATACAGAGGTGTTAGGGTTGAAACTTTAATGCCAGACATTATTAAATAAAATCATAATGATTTCTTAAAATAATTCTATAAAACTGGTCAATCTGAAAATTTATTTAAAAGAAGATCCATTTTAATTAAACATAGCAAAGGACATTGTTTTAAAGCCTAAAAATATTTAAAATATATTTTTAATTTAGAATAAAATAGATTTGAGTATTTAAGTATGTTGAGAACAGTATCAAGTAGATCTTAATATATTATTTTGAATTCAAAATGGGAAATTGATTCATCTAGTGAATTCATTTATTCAATTTTAGGAGATTATAAACTCCCTTTCCTATCTTTATGTCCAAAAGCTATTTCATATACTGAATTTGCTTAATTTCTTACTACTTATGACATGAAAATTTTAAGTTTGAAATTATGTTCTTTTGGTAGCAGAGAGAGAATTCAAGATAAGAAATTTACATTTAGAAGATAACATGATTAAACATTTAGTAATAAATCAATAAACGAAATTACAAGTTTAGTTTTTAAAAGAGAATTGGAAGAAAAATAAAAATAGAATGTTATTTAACTCTTTTAATAAGTCCTTGATGAAGATAATGAAATTGAAGGAGCTACTAAATTGACTAAATTAAATCATATAAAATTAAACATTAGAATTCCTATATACAAGTCTGAATTTTAAGAAGATTATAATAAATATGATACTTAAATGAAGAATATATTTTATAATGGGGAAAGTTAGAAAAGATTAGTTTTCAGAAATGTCAACGGAAAGATAAGAGTCGATAAATTTGAATTCCTTTAAAGATATAGATGGGTTAAACAATAAAGAATGATGTTTATTTATTCTAAAATCAGTAAGTATATAAATTAAAATAGAATATTTATTTGAACATTATTGTTAAGAGTCAATACTTGAGAAAGTATTAAAAGTTGATGCCAATATCAAGTTCTATAAAACTCTCAATAAAATCTCCTTTTATATTTTAAAGATTAATCGTTTAGAACTTTATGATGAGAACACAAATAACAATAGCACTGATAAATAGGAAATTTTATTCTCTAATACAAATTCATTTAAACCGTATACTTCAACAATTGTTAGAGAAGTTGTTTTAGTTACTTAATCTTAGACAAATACCTTGAAAAACTAGAGTGGCTATTAATATTCTGGTAAATATTCTTTAGAATTATATAGATATGGAATTGATTTCAAATAGAGAATATACTTTAAAACCATTTTTGATTGGTCATGCATTAAGAGAAGACTTTTTAGTATAAGGTTCTAATACTATATATAGTTTAAATGAATAAAATAATCCATTTATTAAAGAAGAAATTAATAAAATTTCAAAGAGGAATTAAAAGTTAACTTTACTTATCATTTTAAATAGGTTTTTATTTTTTTTTGAACTATTACTTATATCATTTACTTACTTTTTTTGCTCATTTTATTATAATCCATTAACCTTACATAATTCAGTAACTTTATTGGGTCATATATTTAAAATATCATTAATAACTGTTCAATCATACAATTACATCATTGATGTGGCTCTAATGAATGAAAATAAATTGACAAGTTTATTAATTATAAACCCAACAACTAAATTTAATACAACAGATTAATTTTTAGAATTTGTTCATACAGACATCGATGAGTAATACACTTTCATTTATAATATTTATACTAATTAAGAATTTGTATCAATGGTTTATTCTGGATTTTATATTTATGACAAGAATGTCAGTGGTCTAGATATATTCGATCAGTTTTAGCTAAATTTATTGTAATTCAATTTTTCAGATAAGGCTTTAATAAATTTAAATAATACTATATTATCTCATTTTAGAGACTATATGGCTCCATATGGATAACAATTAATGGAAGATTCAATAATTTCTAGGATTAATGAAGCCATACTATATTAATCTCAGTCTATTGATAATCTAATACTATTTATGATATTTTAATTCTCACTTATGATTATTGATTCAATGCTTTCATTATTGATTAAATTTAATTTTCGTAATGATGTCAATACTATTTATAATATTGTTGCTAATATACCTAAAGAAGATAAAATTAAAGCTATAAAATAATATCAAACATTATTTAGTTAATTAAATTGTTTATTTGAAGAAGAATGTAATATACATTAATATATTATAGAATATGGATACAAAAAGTCAACTATTCAAGCTTTAAATGCAGATACAGTAATGTATATATAATGATTAAACATAGATAAAAAGATTTTGAGATGAATGAAGTAGAGAAAGAAAATTAAAAAAGAGATAAAGTACAAATAAAAAAATTATCTAAATATTAATTAAATGTATTTATCTAATTTTTATCATTATTAGACTATTATTGCTCTTATATGTTATTTAGCAATCATTCTTGTTTTATTTATACTACTTTATTATTTTATTTTGATATAACAAGTTGAAACAAAGTAATTCTTTATGGATAACAATTACTTAGTTTAAACAAACTATTTTTGGATAATTACATTGCTTAAAGAAGTAAATAATAATCAAATAATTAGAAATTTATTTTTGAAAATTATTTGAATTCCTCCTATTATCCAAATATAACCAAATAAAGATTCCAAGAATTTCTTAATGATATGTCAGTAACATCCCCTCTCTTATATTAAACAACAATAAGTGATATCTAACGTATTTTTGATGAAACATTATGTGATTATTCTTTTGGTATAATTTACAATAAAATATTTAGATGAAACTGTAACTTATATTTACTATGATTAATTCTGTTAAGAAATATTAGACGGAGCATTGAAAAGAGGATTAAAATAATTTAATATACTATTATCATAGGTAGTAATAAAAGCATTAAACCCAAATGATCAAAGATATGATGATTTTAAGATAGAAGATCTTGCTCAATATTAAATTTCATTTCAAATTATTTATGAAATATTTTTGACTACTTTTCAGATTTGGGCTTAAAATGCTTAGAATTTATTAAATAACACTTAAGATTTAAGTCTAGTATCTTAGTAATTTATATCTAAATATTTTTAGTATAATTTAACTTTTAGTGATCATCATCCTATACTTTAGTTTACTTGAATATTATTTATTTACTAAGTTATAACAAGATTTTGATTTCAGTAAAAACTACTACAAATATTTCATGTTAAACCAAACTATGAATTAAGTCAAAACTATGAGGGTAGATGTGATAAAAACTGGGTTATTATCAAAATGATATTAGATAATTATTACACTAAATTAGTCTAAAATATTTAAATATTATAATTTTATAGAGTATTTACAATATTAATGAAAAACTATTCTTCATTCAAAAAAATTTACATTCTACACTTTATATCTGATACTTAGATGCTTACTACAAACATTCATACAGTAATCTAAGTGCTTAATAATCTAATTCTGAACTCTATTGTTGTCCATGATAGTTTTCAATAAAAAATACACTTTCTCTGGGAATTTTAAGAGATTAAACTATTGATTCTATTCTTTAATCAATATATAATTAATAATCATCATGATGCCTAAATTTATATTCTAATTTATCTAATTAAGTTAAAATTATAAATGGATTATCATAACCCTTTTATTTGACAAGACTTAGAATTTATTAATAAAATTCAATTTCTTCTTTTCCATTAGGAACTTTATCTAAACTACCATCAAATACTATAAGAACTTAATGAGGAATATAGGTTCCACAACTAATTATTTCTTAAGGGAATAATTCACAATCTTATTTCCAGAACTCCCATAATTTATAAGCATATCTATAAGTTCGTTATTCAACTAGACTCATATTTTTTACTTTCCCTTCTAACATTAATTCAACTTGTTTATTTTCCTTAGAACTTAAATTAATCTAACCTCTAGTATCGAGAATGTTGATTTAACAATTTTAAATTAAATGTGAATTCATTTTCGAAAATATTTAATTTTTTGTTGACTATAGCAAATTTATACTTTAAAAATGCTTAGTACCTTCATTATGTAATAAGTCTTTTATACACAATGCTTCAGGTAATGTTTGTGTTTAATTTAAACTAGTATTAAATGTTCGAATTAAAGATGACTTTCCAGAGCCACTCGGTCCAAAGATTATTATATTGCATCTTTATAATTAATTAAATGTTTTTATTTTCTATCTCAGATCTTCACAAGTCTTTTTATAAATTTATTCTTATCTTGTTGGAATTGGTTCATATTGAGCTTATTATTCATGAGTTTTAATGAATGGAGATCTATTAGTACCACTTGAAGATCTTTTAGCTATTGATTATTTAGGTTTTTGTGCCTAATTAACGTATATCATATTCATTAATTTTTAAGTATATATTTTATATGAAATATTAAAATTTTGTTAACTATTTAACTATCCTTAAAAATTTCATTTATAGAACTAGAAATCAATAAATTACTTATCATATTATCAATCAATATTTAATTATTGATATGTAACATAACTTTATAACTATTACATCTATCTAAGTAAGATAGGATTAAATGTATTGAATAATTTGATGTTCAATAGGAAAATTGTTTTAGATTTAAATTATCATCATAATAAATAAAATTTGTATACAAACTTTGAATTAACTTAGATGCAATATTTATTAAACATATAAGATAAATTTATTTTTCTATTCCATATGTAGGTTTTATAAATTATATTATATATTGAATACTAAAGATTTCAATAAGAAAAAATCCTTTTAGAATTTAGTTCTAATATGAGTACATATCCTAATCAAATAGTCAAGTTTAAATATGAATAATAAATAATAAGTTCTTGTTATAGGAGGGAAAGATGATGATCTTTAAACAATAAAGAAGACTGAAAATGAAGATTTTGTTTTTTAATCTAATTATTGTACTGATTAATCTTCTTAATTTGGAAATAAATTAAAGAAAGGTTAATTGATATGGTAAGAATTCTACAAATAGAAATTGATTTAATACAAAAAGAATAATCCTTAACTTAATCATAATGAATTAACATCATAAATTTCAAAAAAATGGAAAAGAAAGAAATAAAATAAGAAGACTGTTAATAAATTAAAATTGAAAATAAAACTAGAAAGTATTACTAATTAAGCTACTTTAAACAAGAATATTAAATAGATAGCTATTCTTAATGAAGTAGAATAAAAAGATGAAATTGCTGAAAAGCTCAAAACTTTAACTTTTAAATTAATTTATTTAGATAATATTTGTGAACTTAAAGGAGAGACAATTTTAGAAGCAATAAAAAGTAATATTAAACTGATTTACATAAATAAATCTAATGATAATGAATAATAAGATATTTTTATTGAGGATATATCTAAAAGGATCAAAACAAGTAAGGCAAAAAAAGAATAAAAAGAAGTCTTATTTTAATCATAAAATGATTCAGAAAATGAACCTGTAAATGATAACAATGAAATAAATTTTGGAATAGTAAATAAGATAATGAATTATTTATGAAATATTATGCATATTCAAATATAATTATAATATTATTACTTTATAAATATGTTAATAATTAATAAACTGAATTTTTAAAATAATGACTTCTTTTTTATAATGAAAAATTTGAAAAATATAAGTAATTAAAATTGTTGAATACAATGTTTATTTTAAAGATTAAAAAAATAATTGATTAATACATATTAATACAATAATAATTGTATTTATTTTTTGAAAATAGTTGATTATTAAGAATAATATTCTTTTGGCAATTTGATGAAATTTTGCAAATTATTTTTAATTTAAAATTCATTAGTCATTCAAATAAAAATTGTATTTATGATTTTAATTATAAGAGTAATATATAAATATATTTATAGATGGATTAACAAGAATCAGCAAGATCAATTAACATAAGTTTATGATGAAATTATTATTAGTTTAGGTTCATCAAGATATTCTGATAAATTTTAACCATAATTAATACAGATGAATTAGAAGCAAATTAAATTAAATAAGGAAGATAGTTAAGAATTTAGTCCTATTTACGAGAAATCTTAGGATGACATAGTCCAAGAAAAGTAATAGAGGAAAACTAGAGGAAATTTTAAAAAATCATTAAATTACAATGTATAAGAAATTTAAATTAATTTTAGTCAACCTCAATTAATCCATAAGATAAGGTATAAAATATTAGAGGTAATAAAATAATGCAATTGATAAAGCAAAAAAATTTATTATTAAAATTTAAAGAGAGATTATTTTAATTAGGACATATATATCCAAGGAACCCTAATGAAAAGCTATCTCATTTTTTGGAAGAACAATATATTCACTAAAATCATCATCATTCTAAATTTAGTTAATAAGAATAAAAATTTGAATAGGGTATAATAGAACAATATTAAAGTGTTGAGAATGTTTAATAAGGTATAAAAATACCAATCATAAATCCAACAGGGAAATTTTATCTATTTTGGTAATTATTGAGATTGATACAAATAATGTTTTTGTTATGGTGGGTTCCATTTAAAATATCATTTAATCCACCTAAAACTATTACAATGTCATATATTGAAAATATGTTAATTTATCTATTTGCAGTTGATTTATTAATTAAATTAAATAAAGGGATGATTGATTAAGGTTAAATAATTTATGATAGATTAAGAATATTAAAGCATTATGTTATTTATGAATTATATGAAGATGCAATATATTTAATAACTTTAACACTTGTAATTGGTGGTGATCCTATAGCCATATCATTTTTTCCTGAGATGATAGTTTTGATTTAATTTACTTTTAATTTTATTAAATTAAAAAAAACTATAAATAGATATGGAGAGATGTTTGCAATATAATCTACATTTACAGAATTGGTTAGTCTTTCATAATTAATAATACTAATATTTTATTTTGCTCATTTTATGGCTTGTATTTGGTATTATGTAGGAAACATTAGTTAGGAATCATTCTCAAATTCTTGGATTCAATAATAACATTTAGAATTTTCACCATTGTTTCACAAATATGGATACTCTTATTATTGGGCAACTGCAACAATGGTCACTGTTGGATATGGTGATGTCACTCCTTAAAACATATATGAAGTGATATGTGCAATAATAATGATTTTTTTTGCAAGTGTTGTTTTTGCATTCTCAATAAATGCTATTGGAGTAATATTTTCAAATATTGATTTATAAAAACAATATTATAAAAGAAATCTAGTTTTAATAAATCAGTATATGAATTCTAATGAAGTTTCATTATAATTATAGAGTAGAGTTCGTAATTATTTGAAATATTATTATGAATAATAAGTAAAAGGCAATAATACAGAAATTAATTCTATTATTGAAAAGTTATCCTATAATTTAAAATAAGAATTATTAGAAGATGTTTAAATAAGAGCAGTCACTTGTGTTGACTTTTTCACAAAGAACTTCTAATCATCAACAATTCAAGAGATTGCATGTAGAATGAATATCTAACAATTTACTCCAAGAGAGATAATATATTAATAAAATTCTGTGGATGAACATTCTGTTTACATTATATAAAAAGGAGAAATTTAATTAATAGATGATAAGTCAGGCAAAATTGTATCAAAACTTATAAAAGGTTAATGTTTTGGTGAAATTGAATTTCTAACAACTTAAAAAAGGTAATACAAAGCTATAAGTACAACATTTAGTTCAATATATAGAATAACAAGAGAAATGTTTTTGGATATTATTTCAGAAAATTCAATAGATTTTGAAAAATATTGTGAAATGAGAGATAAAGTAATATTTCAATATGAAGATATCTCAATAAAATGTTTTGGTTGTGATGGTGATCATTTATTATCAAATTGTCCTTATTTAACTTATAAACCAGAAAAAGAATTTTTAATAAAACGATAATTATATCATTCTAGATAATAAAGATGTGAATTTAATAGAAAGAAACTTAGATATTTAAGAATATTTAAATAAAATGAAGAACATGAATTACCTTAAAGAAATTCAAATAAATAAATTGAACATGAATCATCTTAGGTTTCTTAAGAATCATTACATAAATAGGATTCAAATTTAACAGGGAGTGAACATTAAAATTATACAAATAATAATAATGAAGATGTTGCTCAATAAATAAAAAAAAGAATTTCATTATGGATAACTAATCCAGATCAATCTTTTATTGAATAATAAAGTAATTAAAATCATTAAAATAGAGTCTTTATAAAAAACTAATCGACACAATAGTGAGACTCCAACTCATAAACCAACTAGAAAATCATTATTTAGTTCATCTTAAGATCATTATTCTAAAAGACATATGAGTAATTAATTACTTTAAGTTAATGAATAACAATAATTAATGAGTTCTTCAAATAATTCTCAAACTAAAACCAACAAATAATAAAATTTCAATTAGTTAGAGAATTTATAATCATATCATACATTTAATTATGATTTAGATAAAATAGAAACATTTCAAATTTATTTTCCTTAAAATAATATCTAAAATGTTATTAATACATTCCAAAAGTAATAAAAACTTTCAAAATTCACAAAAATATAATTAGCAAGTAATAAATATCGATTTATTTATGTATAAAAAATACCTATTTAATCATTGACAAAAAAAACAATTCTTAAAGTTAATAGTTAAAATTGATTAAATTACAGTATATGTCTAATTTATATATAAGATAACATCCATAGGTAAAATTTTAAAATATGAGTATTTCTTATTATTTTAATTATGTCATTCTTAAATTTTGAATTAAAATAAAACACTCGTGATTATGAAAAGGATAAATTAGGTCCTGATAAAACTTCAATTATGATAAACCCAAAATAAGGATCTAATAGTGAAATCTAATTTTATTCTGAAATAAGTGTTATAGATAGTAATAGGCCAGTGCAATAGTCAAGCTTAATAAAACCTTTAGGATAAATAAAAAAAGAATCCTCAGGGAGATAACTTAGATTTAATGTAAAATTATTTTCAAATAAGTATAGACTTAATAGAAAACTGTTAAAATTGATTAAGTGGCCAATAAAATTTCTAATTTTCGTAAAGCTATTCATTAGAATGAAGAAAACATAAAAGCTATTTAAACAAAATTTTGGAATAAACTTTTAGAAGCAGCATATATATGGAGAAAAGATATATTCAATTACAATAAAGATATTATAAATAGTTTATTTTCTTTTGATTCTAAAGAATAGAATAATGGCGAAATAATTAATTCTCATTAAGGAATTTTAGGACTAAAAATAGAAGTATTATTGCCATCTTAAATCTTTGTGAAATTATGGGATTTGATAGCAATAATAATAATTGCAATCACATTATGGTTTTCTTCATTTGTAGCTACGTTTAATTTATTTGAATAAAACTTTTACAGAGTAATAATTTACTTATTCATAACATTCTTTTTTATAGATGCTTTTATAATCTGTCATAAAGCAATAATTTTATAGGGAGAATTGATACTAAATAAAAGAATAATAATTTAATAATATATTAGAGGTCATGTTTATGGTGATATAATAAATTGTTTAATTTGGGTAATTTAAATATCACATATTGATGATATGCATGCAAGACAACTACTTTCTTTAATTTAAACAGTGTTTATAATAATTAAATTATACAGTCGTTTAAATAACTATATTGATTGTTTATATATGAGTGGAAGTTTGAGTGAATTGATAGATTTGATAATCTTGATTAATTGTATATTCTTTTGTATTCATATATTTGCATGTTATTGGACATACATAGGATTTGCAACAGAAGATTAAGGGATTAATTGGTTGATAAAGAATTCAGTAGAAAATAAAGGACATTGGATTTAATATAATGTAGCAATATATTGGGCAACAATGACAATGGTAACAGTTGGATATGGTGATGTAACAGCTGGAAATTAGTATGAAATTTTGTATTCTAATTTTGCTATGTTTATAAGTAGTTTAGTATTTGCATATTCAATGAATTCAATTGGAATTATAATTAAGAATATTTAAGTATCATCAAGTTTCTATAAGTAATTATTTGATATGTATTCTTAGGAAAAACTTAATTTTAATGAATTCTTATATGAAAAATAATCTGGTTTCAGATTCTATTTAAAATAGAGTGAGAAACTTTTTGAAATATTAAGCAGAAAATAATTAATAAGCAAATACATAAGATGTATTATATTTATATTATATTGATAGATTCATAATATTATTGATGATTTTCCACCTTTACTTTAAGATGAATTAAAATAAGATATTAAATTAAGAATACTCAAATAAATTAAATTATTTGATATCTTTTCTGAGAAAATTAAATATGCTGCTGCTAATAAATTAGAATATGGTTCATGTATTCCTAATGATATATTATTTGATCATTAGATAAATAATGATAATTCTCTGTAAGATTATATTTAATAAATAAAGATATTTTATAGAAAAAGGAGAGGTAATCATTTAAGAGAGTGTGACAAAAAAATAATTAGAAACATTTAAATCTGGATCTTATTTTGGTTAATATTAGTTTTTTACTAATTGTTCATTACCAATAAGAGCAGTGAGTTAGACTTTTACATAGATATATAAGATATCTAGAAATGATTTTTTAAAAGTATTGAATACTAGTTCAATTGATTTTGAAACTTATCATAATATAAAAGATAAGTTGCTCCATGGAAAGGAAATGAGCATTATAAATTAGAAATGTAATATTTGTTCTTCATTTACTCATATCAATGTGTTTTGTCCTAAAATTAGTTATCAACCAGATTTAGAAAGATTAATTAAGGCAGAGTATTTTGTAAAATAAGAAAGGAAATTGATTACTCGAATAGATAGATAAAAAATCAATTCTTTAGGGGATTATGAGAATATTGTGACTTCAGTAACTTAATATTAATAATAACAATTTAATATGTAATCATAAAACAATTATGAGAAAATGTCTTAAGATTATAGTGATAGTTAAATAAATTAAAATAATAAACATAATTAACCAAATTAACCTAGTTTATAACATTTAGCTCCCTAGTAATGTGAAAAATAATAATGTAATTTAATTATATTATCTTAGAAATTTTAGTAACTTAATATTCTTTAGGATCATAGATGCAAAAATAACATTCAAAATAATTATTTTATTAAAAATCTAGAGAAATTTAAAATAATGAATAAACTATTGATATAGAAAATGTTGTTATTGCTGGACCAACAATATAAGTTTAAAAATTTGCAACTAAATATGCATTTTAAACTTCTGATTTAGTTGAAGATTAATTATAAGTTCATTATTGTGATATTGATATTGCCTTAAAATCATAGATATATTTACCATAAAATCATATTTCAGTGGTTATTGCTTAAAATAATTAAAGGCGTAATAAAATATAATAATAATAATGGCCTTTAAATTATAAATATACATTCCTATATTCAGTAGCTCGATTTTGTAAATTAGAGAAAGTAAGTCAAAATAATCTAAAAAAAAAAAGATTTGTTATGAAGAACATATAAAAAAAAGAAAAATAGTGATTTTGTTTTACTTAATTTAATAAAATAAATAATTGGATATTTCGATTTAATTCTTTATATAATGGATAAATATTATTTAATTCTTAATATTTAATATTAGAGTTTTAAGCTTTCATTATTTCAAATATTATTATAATTAAGCTATGTCAAGATTTTACAACTCTAATAATGATGAAATTCTTTCTTCTAAAATTATAATTGAAGGAGCCACTCCCTAAGTTGAACCTAAGATTCTATCAAACTCAGATATTTAATTTTAAAGTGAAATTAGTAACATGGAAAGCATGAGGTCAATAAATTAAGAGACCAAAAAAAAAATTAAGCTCATCTAAAAGAATTCTTAAATCTTTTCTCTCAAATTTTAAGTAACAGTACTTTTAATATAAGCAACCTGCTCTTTTAAATAGCAAAAAATAAATCTAACACAGCTTATTTAAGATTGAAAAAAATAGTCAAGATGGAAAATTAAAGTAAGTATTGAATAAATAGATGCTCAAGAAATTCAAAGATAATTTATTATAAAATGCTCATATTTTATCTCATAATGTATTATAAGAGAAAAAACCTCTACTCAATTACTTATTTTTAGATTATGTAGTATAAGATGGTAGGTAATTAAAAAAAAATAAACTCGCAAATAATATAGAGAAACTTCTATTCTTCTAAGTTTTCTTACCCTAAGACAATTTTGTGAAATATTGGAATTTATTTAGCATTCTATTTAGCTTTTTTATTCTTTGGTTTTCACCATTCATTACCTCGTTTTAATTATTATAAAACTCAAGTGTTTAATAATCAATAGTATTTATTTTCATTTTTTTATTGGTTGATGGATTAATTACATGCAATAAAGCATATCTTAAATAAGGAGAAGTAATAAATTATATAATTAAATTAGTTAGTTATTAGTAGAAGATAGATAATAAATAATTATTTAAGAAATCAAGTCTTAAGTGATTTTTTAAATCTTACTATTTGGATTTTGATGTATAATGGAATAGAATACTTTTAAATAATTGAGATGTTATCAATTTTTTAGATCATAATAATTATTAATACTGTTTATAAAAAAATCAATAATTTTGTTGATTATTTATATTTGAATGGCAACTTAAGTGAAGTGTTAGATCTAGTATTTCTAATAATCTCCTTATATTATTTTGTACACATTATAGGCTGTCTTTGGCATTATTTAGCAGTAATAGGAGAGTAATTAAATGAAGTTTCATGGATCCAAAAACATTCCCTTGAAAATCAATCTTATATAATAAAATATGATTATGCTGTATATTGGGCTACTATGACAATGGTGACTGTTGGTTATGGTGACATTACTGCATCAAATCCTATTGAAATTGTTTTTTCAAATTTTACAATGTTTATTAGTAGTTTTGTATTTGCTTATTCAATGAATTCAATAGGGATAATTATTAAGAATCTTTATGATGTAAGAAATTTATACAAGTAAAGTATCTCTATAATTATAAAGAAGGTAATTAATTTTAATTAATGCTTACATGAAGAATAATTTGGTTGATGATTCTATATCCAATAGAGTTAGAAATTATTTAAAGAATTAAGTTGATCATGAATCTAAAAATAATTAAATTGAAGTATTAATTGAATTATTAATCATAGGCTTAACAAATTATTGATAATCTACCACATGGATTAAGAGATGATGTTAATATAAACATTAAAACTAGAATATTATCAAATATGAAATTGTTAGTAAACAACTTTTCCAAATAAACTCAATCTCAAATAATTCATAAACTTGAATAAGTTAATTTTATACCTAATGATATAATTCATGAACCTGAAGGATTAAATATAGATTAGTATCTGTAAAATTTAATCTAAGTACATAGCTACTATTTAGATTAAGGTTCAGTAAGTCTTGTAGAAGTGCGTACATAGAAAATTATATAAGAATATAAAGAGGGGGATACATTGGGAGAACATTCATTTATAAGTGGAATATCATAAAAATTCAAGTTAATTAGTACAAGTTTCTGTTAATTATATCGAATTTCTAGATAAGATCTTTTGAAAGTACTTTAAAATAATTAGAAAGATAAAGAAATATTCTATTCTTTATAAGATTAATTACTATATCTTTCTGATTATAGTCTAATAAACAAGAAATGTAATTTCTGCCATAAATTTGATCATTAAAATAGTGATTGTTTTATAATCTCATATAAACCTAATTTAGAGAAAATAATAAAGATGTAGGAATTTTTATCATAACCACGAAGTTAATTAAATAGAAATGCACGTTAAAAATTAAAAGTAGTAAATTCAATTTAAGTACTATTATATTAATTTATAAGGGAATATAAAGTACCATTTAATAATTTTAATAATGTGAAATCGTATCTAATCAAAATGATTCTTTAACAATTATGAGTGGTACTAAAAGAATAAAACAATATTCTACTCATAGATAGAGTGATAATAAAATTGAATAGCCAGAATTATCATCTCTTAGTGAATAATCTCCAGATATATAGATAGATAAAATGACTCATCGTAAACCTTCATCTAATTTTACTGGAAAAATTAATTTATAAAACCTTTAAAATATTGATAATAAAGATGCTTAAAGAAAGATATCTATAGCAATATTAAAAGAATAAACTTTAAATATAGAACATCCAAGTTAATAAATCATTTAATTAAGATCTATCAAAAATCTATCTAATACAGCTATATTAGAATATGAAGATCATATCAAATAAGTCAAATTTATTAATCTTGATATTGATAAAGGTTATGAATTTTAAAATTATTTACCATAAAATAATCTTTAAAATGTAATTCTAAATTACAATAAATAAAAAGTTAAATTTATACCTATTTACTCAAAAAACATGAATAAATCTTTGAAATACACTTTTTATTATAAAATAGCCAAATTAGCATGTTAAATGAGAATGATATCTGCTCCAATTACAAGAAAATTATTAAAAGGTCATCAAATGAAGAAACATTAAAATGATTTTTGAATTGGTATCTGATCAAAATTATGAATTTAAACATTATATTTAATAATTACATAAGGAATCATATTAATTTTTTACTAAATTATTAGTCAGAATTTATTATCTTTATTCTATTAACATATTAATTATTCTACTTATTTAAAATATCTGTGAATGAATACTTTAACAACTAATTCCTGTTTATAAATATTAATAGAATACTTAGAAATATATATATTCTAAACAACTTTTGCATTTTAATTCAAATATAATATATAATTTTATATTATAGTCGTTTAAAATTTTTATAATTAATTTGTTCACATTTAAAGGTTAAAAAAAATGAAAGAATTAATAATAATTTGAAAAATTAAATGTTTACTCTTCCAAACTTTGCTGCTCATACAGCCTTATATAAAATAGCTAAAATCATGTCACGAATATTTTAGTTATAAGAAAAGTTAAAAATAGAAAATACATTAGAAATCCCGAAGTCAAATTAAGTAAGAATCTCTTATTAATTTTAGAAAATTAGTAAAACATTAAAGAACCTTTATCAAATGAATTTAAATGATGAAACAATTATTCTAGCTTTTTATTTTGTTGATTAGATAACTTAAAAGCTAAGAATATTTCTAAACTTAGAAAATAGTACTGGATTATTAATAGGGGCAATTATTATTGCTGATAAAATTCTAAATGACTAGCATAGAACAATTGATAGATATTAATTGGCTAGTGGACTTAAAAAATAATAACTTATCTAAATAGAAAAATACTTCTTAGAAATTTTGGATTATAACTTATTTGTTTCAGAAGAGAAATTTGAATAGTACCAAAAAAGAGTTTAAAATTATTGATTTAAATTTTTACTAGTGTTTGTTACTTTAATACATAATCCTTGACATTTAAATTTATATTGTATATCTAAATTATTATATTTTTAATGAGTCTTCTATTTTTAATATAAATAAGAGAAGAGTTTAATTAGAATAAATCAATAACATTTGATTATAATAAATTCTTATGTACTAAATATATATAATTCAAAGCTATTCTATATTAACTAAAACGTTAGATGAGATTTTTCATTAGTAAGTGATTAATTAAAATATCACAATATAAAAGATAATAAAAAGATTTTTGATCAATTTAGTAAGCACTATAAAGAAATAATATGGATTTTCAAATTATTAGTGATTCTAATCAGGAAAATTGAAAATCTTCATTTTGAATTTAATAAAGAGTATAAAATCTGCCATATTAAATATTATCTAGTTAAAGAATAATAAAAATGTTAAGAAGAGTTATAAATAATTAGTTTGGAATGAGATCATCATATTTAATTTAGTTAATTCTAATTTAAACATTCAACTTCAATTTCAATTAAAACAGCAAAATAAAGTTGGAACAAAAGTGTCTAGGCTATTTTATCACATGTACTTTTCAGGTACTCAAGATATTGATAATCTTTGTAAAAATTATGATTCTCAAAGGTAGTTTGAGTTAATAAGTCTTCTGAATAGATATCAAATAATTCATGATATCAAAGAATTAGCTATATAGTGGAAGAAACAATTGATTTATAAAGAATATATGATATAATCAAGATATAATTATTAGTATTCAATTTTATAGATTGATCATTAATCAAAATTTCACGATTAAAAAGTATCAATTATAATAGAAACTTATATAAAAAACTATTTGCTGTCTATCTTAGTAACTTATATATTTATTATTTCTATTTCATTAGAATTGTTGAATTATAATATAGAGATAAAAATATTAAATTTTATAGTCTATAGCTAATTTCCTTAATGTTTAAGTTTAATTACAGTATATCAATACTAGACTGTTTTCTTAAATAATTATCCTAATTTTACAGTAATTATAGATGCTTTAATGAATTTATTACACAATTAAAATAAAATTCTCTAAAAGTATCAATTACCTGATGAATTAGACAAATTCTAAATTAGAAAGACCATTAATATCTCCTAAACAATAATGTCTACTGCCTAGTCTTTACTATGATTATAGCGCAAGGAAAAAATAAAAATTAAAGACTTACTTTCGATAAGAGAAATGTATTTCAATAAGTCCTAAAAAACAGATAATAAAAACATAAAGAGATCTCTCGAAATAAATAGAAACTGAAAGGAATTCTGAATTTTATTCTTTTGAAGATGAGGTTAGCAGATCTGCTCGCTTTTAAAGAAAATCAAGACTGCATTAAGGAAATAAAATATTAAATCATCCAATTAAAACTAATAAACCTTTATTAACAGATACATAAATAGAAATAGAAACTCCTTATTTCAAAGACAAAGATTCATCTATTAGTAAGTCTGACGATGAAAATGAAGAGAAAAATGAAAATAAAATTGATTTAAAATTAGAGGGGGAGACTGGTAAAGCACTTAAATAGATCAGTCATAAAATAAGTAATTTTATTTTTCATTATCTAAGATCAAGAATTAAACAATTCATTTTATCATTTTATAAAAAAATCAGAAAAAATGAAAGATTTGATTCTAAATTTTTAGCAAAAGGATAATTTGAGTCTAATTCATTATTATTGTTTAAATGATAGTATATTTCCTAAAAGAATTGAATTGAGTAAATAAGATGTTAAAGAAATTAATTTATCAGATTTAGGATTGACTCCAAAATATATTCCATTGATTCGTAATTTATTAAGCTAAAAACGAGATAAAAATATTAAATCAATTGATATAAGTCAAAATAAAATTAATGAATGGTCATTAAAGTTATTAATTGATGTTTTCCCTTTAAAAGTCAAAACCATTGATTTATCGCATAATTAATTAAATCGTAGAGGAGCAGTGCTATTGTCTGAACATTTGAAAAACTTTGAAAAGTATAATACAATTATTTACTCAGTCTGAGGTTCTTGAATTTAAAAGGAAATCAAATAGGAGATATAGGAACTGCAACAGTTTTAGAGAAATTGAAATCTAGTTTGAAAATCAAAAAATTAAATTTATCAGATAATGCAATATCTGATGCTATTAGCAATGATATAAAAGAGTTTATTATGAAAAACTAATCAATTTAAGTTTTAAGTTTGAATTGGAATTAATTAGGCCCCATTGTTGGAGTATCTATTGCAAAAGGATTAAATTACAATAAATCTATTAGAGTAGTAGATTTAAGTTATAATAAAATTGGATAGAGTGACAATAATTATGAATGTATTAAGGAATGGTGTTCATTATTGAGTAATACTTATACAGAATTAATTCATTTAGATCTCTCTTACAATTAATTTAATGAGAAATAACTTTAATTAATAAATTATTCAATTCTTAAGAATTCTCGTTTATATGGTTTACATGTTGAAGGAAATAAATGTTTGGCTCATGTAGATCCTTTAGGGTTTATATCATTTCCTTAATAAATAAAAGGAAAATAAAGTATGCAGCCAAAACATTAAAATATTGATGGTGTTAACTTTATACCTATGTTAAATGAGAATGAAAATGGATCTGATTGTTGTTGGATATGTTAAGGATGGATGGAATATCATTTTATTTATGAACCTGAACCTGAAGAATCTAAAACTGATTCTATATATTTACATTTAGATTTTTTAGAGTAAAAATATATAAGTATTTTAGTTTCAAACCAATATCTATGACAACAAGTAAAGAATTATGGAAATAAATAAGCAATAAATTTAATAGTACTGCAGTTTTAGAAGATTTAACAACAGGAGAGATAATTCATTAATTAAAACATGCTTTTAGTGCTGGTAAGATAATTACAATGACAGCTATAAATGATGCTTATACAGAAGATACTAAAATGAAAGATGATATGAAATCAATATTATCAGAATTAAATTCTAAATTCTTCTTCACATCTTATTAGATGTGTCCTCCAAACTAAAAAATACTTTATTTTTTTTCTAATCCTACTGGAAAAGGAATATTTATAAATTCAAGATTTCCAATAATATAATTACAAACTGCTGAAAATATTGAATTGATTATGGATAAAGAGAAAGTATTTTTTTATCCTGATGGATCTCAGATTTCATTATCTTAAGTAGATTAAGTGAATTATTTTTAAACTAAATAAATGTTTGTTATAGATTAAAAGAATTAATACAAACCATTAGTAAAAGTAATTCCTAGATGTTTAGAAAATAAATACTTTTTAAAAAGATTTGCTGTTGATGCATCAAAACAAAAATCAAATTTGATTTATTGGTAAAAGGAATAATCAGCCTTTAAATCATATTAAGGAGACAATGATGATGTTTTGGATGAATGTTTTTAATTTGATTGGAATTGTATGGGTATTTAACACTTTTTAAAATCAGAATAGGAAATTGAAAAAGTAATAGAGATTATGAGATTTCATTATTCTAAACTAAAAGATATTTATAAGTATTATTCTAGCTTTGGATATAATGCTAATAAATAATAGAATGGTTATTAAGTTGAAACATTTTATATTCCAATTGATTTAATTTATAATTTAACCCAAGAATTATTACCATAAGGCATACCATTTGAAGATATATAATCTTAAGTTAAGTAAATTAAGTATAATTGTGATTCGAAATTTATATATAATCCAGAGAAAGGATTTGTTAGATATTAATTTATAGAATTTATTTTTAGAATTGCTTTATTGGTATCAAAATAAAAATAGAAACCTAAACAAATAGTAGATGAAGTTTATAGAACTTTTTAAATATTAACAGAAAGATTTGCAGCATTTGATAATTAATAAAAATGGAGAGAAGAACGTTTATGGACAAAAGAGTGTGGCAATTTAATTTATATAAAATAAGGTTTTATTTAGAAATTACATGATTATGCAGCATCAATTAAAAATAAGAAATGGTCATTCAAATTAAAGTGGATAGCATTGACAGAATTTCTAGACTTTTGTAATTAAATGGGATTTCAATCATTTTTGAGTGAAACTTAATTAAAAATCATTTACAATTTCTCTATGCAAACACATTAAGATGAATTGACATAAGATAGACATTTAAGAATGTCTACTGTAGAATTTACAGAAGCTTTAGCTAGAATAGCTGAATTTATTAGTCCTAATGGGAATGAGATTGATAATACAGTTACCAATAGATTAATACTACCATTGCATATCAAATTAGAGAACCTTTTAACACATATCTATATTAATCTAAGAACTCTTAAGTATTTATAATTATATATAAAGAGTGAATAACTTCGAGAGTTTTAGTATTTACTTTAGCTATAATTCAAATCAAATATTACCTATAGCTAATAATGAGCTTTAATTAGATTAATATGAATGTACAACTTCAGAATTGAGAATTTATAATACTCTCTCTTATTTGAGTAACATTTTTAATTTATTTAATTAGAATTGTTTAAAACCCCTTATTTGCATCCAAATTATAAATAATTTTTAGAAATACCCTTTCAATTAGTTTAAATTCTTAAATAAAAGAGAAGTATGGTTGAAAGATAGATGACTCAAAAATAAAAACTCTTAAAGTTGAAAGCTACATTATAATTACTGTGATTATGATTCATATGTTAATTAATTATTTATAAACAAATGAAAAATAGTGTTGAGAGATCTAAATGCTCACTTCCTAGATTGAAAGATTATTCAAAGGAGAAGGCTGAAAAACTTAAATATTTTTTTCGATCAAATAGAAGCATTTCAGAAAATAAGATTATTCAAAGTAAACTAAAAACATCTAAATTGCTGTATAATAATGAATTTTCTGATGATCATAATGTGATGGCGTATTATATGAAGAGTAATGAAAAATTGATTGGAATGAGATAGATGATTAATAGTACTTCAGTAAGATTAGATCATGAAGAAAATAAAAAAAAGAATTTTCCTTTAGGATTGTTAAAACATAGTTTTTCTCCTTTTAAATAGATGAAAACAGACATAGAAGTTGAATAAATTAAGGATGAAGATTCAAAGGATATTAATGAAATTGATTAATAGTCATTTTAAAAAGAATTAAGCCAAAACGAGGATTAAGATTATGATATATTAAGTGAAGAAAATAGTTGTGATGAACCATAAAGGTTTGATGGACTTGAGTTATAATAGGAAATCAAAAAAATTCAGCATAAATTACGTAATATATTATTGTTTAATAAATAGATCAAGAAATTGATTAATCATATTTTTACTTCATTAAACGACAAGATAGGTTAAGAGATTTGGCGATAAATTTCAATAAAAAAAATGTAGATCCAATAAATTTTTATTGTCTTAATGATAACATTTTCCCAAAACGAATAGATCTATCAAATTGTCTTGTAAATAATAAAGAAATGCATTTCTCTGATCTTGGATTGACTGAAAAATATTTTCCATTGATAAAAAATTTATTATAATCAGTGAAGAGTAGGGCAGTCAAATAACTGTTCTTATGTAATAATCAATTAGATGATAAATCATTATTATATTTAATTGAAGGATTTCCTATAGCATTAAAAGAAATAAATTTGGGAAATAATGTTTTAGGTAAAAGAGGAGCTAGTATTATTGCTAGTCATATATCAAAATTTCTTAATTTAAAAACCTTAAATTTATAAAATAATTTATTAGGTGATAAAGGAGCCACTATATTACTTAGTAATATATAAAGAAATATGACTATCATAAAATTAAATTTGTCAGAAAATTAAATAACTGATTCTTGTTCTACTGTTTTTTATTAATTTTTATTGTAGAATAACTTTATTGAAAATTTTGTGTTGAATTGGAATTAATTGGGTCCTATTACTGGTACTATGATAGCAAAAGGTTTACAATAAAATAGGTCAGTAAAAGTTTTAGATCTTAGTTATAATCATTTAGGATAGAATGAAAGAAGTAATTGTATTCAATGTTGGTGTGAATCAATAAATAATTCATAATTCTCTTTAGTCCATTTAGATATCTCATACAATTAATTGAGTGAGAAATAATTAAGGTAATTCAGCCAAGCTTTATTAAAAAATAATAGTTTGTATGGGTTACATATTGAAGGCAATAAGTGTTCTGCAAAAGTGGATCCTTATGGGTTTATCCAATTTACTAATGATAAAGAAGAATTTAAAGTAGTATAATAAAAAAAAAATGTTATAGATGGAGTAAACTACATTCCAATGTAAGGGGATAGTTTATTTGGGAATGATTGTTGTTGGATTTGCTAAGGGTGGATGGAGTATCGATTCCAATATAATCCAGAAAATGATAGCAATTAAGATCCAATTTTTATTCATCTTGATTTTCTAGAGTAATATTATGATTAACTATTAGTTATTAGCCAATACCTATGACAAGTAGTTATGAATTAAGATAATAATTGATTGAAGCATCTAAAAGAAAAAGTAGTTATCTAGATCTTACTACTGGTGAAATAATACATTAATTAAAACAATTAGTAAACTCAGAAAAAAGAATAACATTGGCTGCAATAACAGAAGCATATACTGAAGAAACTAGTAAAAAGAGTGAAGAAATTACTAAATAAATGATATAAGAATTAAGTAGGTTTTATTATACTACATATTAAATGTGTCCTCCAAAGAAGAAAATATTGTATTTCTTTTCTAATCCTATTCGAGAAGAATATTTTATTGATCCTAGAGTGATGAATATGCCAGCACCTTTAGATAATTTAATATTATAAGGTAAAGATCCTAAGCATTCTATTCATATATTTTAAGATGGAACTAAATTAGCATTTAAGAAAATCTAATTTGTTAATTATATATATTCAAGATAGGAATATATAATTGATGATAAAGATAATTATAAACCTTTAATTAAAGTATTTCCAAGATCATCATAAAAGAAATATGTGTTGAGGAGATTTGCCAATTTTTTAGTTAGAAAATAGGCTCATCTTATTAAATGGAATAAAGAAGATTCTATTTTTAGACCATATATTGGAGATACAGAAGATTTATTAAATGAATGTTTTGAATATGATTGGAATAGTAGTAAAATAAGTAGATTTGTTAAAAGTGATTATGAAAAATTAAAATTAAAGGAATATTTCAGATCTAATTATTAACTTTTAAAAGATGTCTATAAATTTTATTCTAGTTTAGGTTATCAACCACCCAATTTTGATGTTTTTTGTATATAGATTCCTTAATATATGAAATTAGTTAATAAATTAAATATTATTGATGGTGATTTATTAAAATAGTAAGATGTAGAAATTGATATTGTTTCATTAAAAAATAATGTAGATCCTAAATTTATTTATAATCCTGAAAAAGCATTAGTAAGATATTAATTTTTGGAAATGTTCTTTAGAATTGCTAATGATAAATATATTAGAAATGAAATTTATAAGAGTTATGCTGATGCTCTCTATAGATTACTCAAAGAATTTAAAGAATAATATGAATACTTTAACATTATTTAAGAATGGAGAACTTAAAGATTATGGACAAGGGAATGTGATCATTTATTATAAATTAAAATGCCCTTTGTAAAAAAACTATATGATTATGTCACTGATATTGCTAATAGAAAGTGGTATTTTAAATTAAAATGGATATCAATTAGAGAATTTAAGGAATTCTGTAAATAATTCAATCTTCATGAATATTTATCAGAAAAACAATAGGTAATCATATATAATTTCTCGATGATGACTTAAGTGGATGAATTAACCTTAGATAGAAATATAAGAATGACTTTTATTGAATTCGTTGAAGCTTTAGGACGTATAGCTGAGAGAATTAGTGCTGCTCCTATTACTGATGTAGCTGAACATTATACTCTATTATAAAGATAACTATTACCTTTGCATATCAAATTAGAAACCTTATTAACATATTTATATTATTAAATGAAGTTAAAAGACATAGAATTTGAATAATTTTGTGATTTATTTGTATATTTCAAACCAGATCATTCTCCTAAGATTAGTATGCCTAAAATTGATAAAAATAAGAAACCTGAAAAAGATCATGATTATCACAATGTAATTTCTTCACTTACTCTTTATAATACAGTCTTTTATTTAAGTACTTTATTCTATTAATTTAAGATTAGAATAAATTACCCTATTTGAATCCAAAATATAAACAATTCTTAAAACAAAATGTTATTCAAACTGCTCCTATTCGACCTTTCTAACATATTTTTTAAAGTGATAGAATACGTAAACCAAGAGTACTTCCAGATCCTTATATTTTGGAATAAAAATAAAATTAATAATAGTAGAATAAATAATAAAGTCCAAATATGTAAACAACTCTCTCTTAAAATACATGATTATATATTCTAGTTTATATATAAACATCAATATCAAATAAAATCAAAAGATAAAAAAAACATAAAGAACAATGTTTATTATAAGAATTTAATATTATCTCTATTTTAAATATTGAAATAATGTTTGAATTATTCTTTTATGAATTCTTTATTTACTCTATTTGGTGAACACAAAGAATTATAAGAGTCCTTTATGGATTTTTTATTTTTTATCTCCTGAGAGATTTCTTACTGAAACAATTTTTGAATGTTCCAATATTCATTTATGATTAACCATAAGATTTAAAAGCAGATTTTATTCAATTAAAATTCAATAGGATAGTTAGAAAATGTAAAGAGATATTGATATGCTAAAACTATAAATAAGAGAATAAATTAGAGAATCTTAAAAAGAAGTAAGATATAGACATGAAATGATGATTACAGGAATTGAAAAATTAAAGATTTTCTGCATCACATTTAAATAGTAATTTTATATATGTATAAAATATATAGATAAATACAAAATTTATAATGGTCAGTTTTTTAATTTGATCAAATCAAACATATTTGGTAGATGAAGCATTTTAGTGCTAACACTTTCAAATTGTTTATCTTCTTCATCAGAAATACATAATGATGAAATTTATCTATAAAATTCTCTTTTAATAGAGGATCTCTCTAATTCAGTTTATACTTCTTGTATGCCTTCCAAATTTTGAGGTTAATGTATTATTATTTTAGTTTAGGTTTAGTTTTAATAAGATGACTCTTTTTAAGGTTACTAAAATTATTGTTAACTTTATTGTTATTAATTCATTTTTTTAATCTAGAATAATAATAAATCAATATATTACCCAGTCATATTAAAAATCTTTTTCATTAACATTAAATTACTGAAGTAAATTTCTAAAGAGTTTCTTTAGGAATTCATAATCACCTAATGGATATTATTAAACATTTGTCATTCTTATAAATTAAAAATATTATAGAATTTCTATAGGCATATCTTTACAATATTTTTCTGGAATCATTCTCAATTTTTATTCTTCCATTTTTTTAATTTTGGATCCATGTTCTTTAACCTTAAACAAATCTCCTTTTTTTAGAAAATACATTAATATAAATCCTAAAGATTCTAGATCATCTTTTGGTGAAGCAGCTATATATATAAAAATAGAAATATATACTTAAACCTAAATGCTGATTTAGACTAGAATATTTGGTTAATTTATTGAGATTAGAAAATTTAGAAGCATAACCAATAAATTTACCATTTTTATGTTTGTATTTTGTTGAATGTTAGAAATCAATCAGTACTAAATCATGTTTACCAAGTTGTGTTAATATTTTTTTAGGTCTAAGATTGCGATGTACAATTGATTGATTATGGAGTTTTTCGAGAATGTTTAACTAAATAAGAGATTTAATAATTTACAATTTGTATAGCAATCATACAAATGGTTGGTAATGTGAATTCTTAATTAACAAATTAGAAACACAATTTAAGACTTGGTCCATATTTGTCAAATACTTAATAATAATAATTAGTGTTCTAAAGACGAACATCTCCTGAAGCTTGTAAAGTTGGCATATAAGGAACTGAAAAATTATAAATTAAATATTTACCATTAGCCAACTTTTTAATGAGTTTTTCTTCTTCTTATAAACTGTCAATGTTTGTGTTTGCCTATCAGGTAAATGAACTAACAATAAAATTTAGAATATTAATTACATTACCAATCTAACGATGAAGTAATTACCTGGCTATGCTTGATTGATGGCTATGAATATAATTAAATAAATATAAATGTATTACCCAAATACCAGTTATGTTTTTTACCTCTGTAAATACAGGTTTTTAATACATAGTGTTATCCTATGATGATTAGATTCTATTTTTGATAGCTTTCCTTTGATTTAGTTTCACTCATAATTTATAAAATATAATGAAAAGTTTGTAGGATATTCATAAAAAGAATCAACAATAAAGAGCAACATTTACACTCATGAACTAAATGAATAATCGTACATCAATGGGTTGGTTCACCCCTCAACCTTCAAATGATTTATAATCTCCTTTTGGAAATACTCTTAGTTAATTCTCTTAATAAGGTTCAGAGCATAATATAATACATAATACTCGTGAAAATATACATTCTTGGAATTAAACATTAGAGAGATAAATATAATCTAGAGAAATTGCAAGGTAAGTTAGAAAATAGAATGCTCAATAATCAGCAAGATAAGAGAAACATTTCTTTGGAACAATAAATGGAATTCCTAAAATCAATTCACCTAAAACTTAAGCTAATTAAACAACTTCTATGTTTCAACCAAATTTAATAAAGGTTGATCCAAAAATAAAAAGATAACTTAGTGAAATGAGTAAAAGAAACTTCCTTCATTTTCTCTTAGTTTAAAAAGTGGGACAAGTAAATACTGTATATATAAGTAGAAAGATGAAAAATAATTCTATGAGTATTTAAAAAAGACTTATAATTTTGAACCACCTTAACCTATTGAAGAATAATAAATAAAAGTCTCTAAAAAAGGCATTAAGTATTTATTCACTAAAGAAGATGATGATGAAACAATCAAAAAAACAAGTTAATAAATTTTAAGAATGAATAAATTACATCATGGAAGAGAAGTCCCACTTGATAAATATGTTTAAGATACTTATGAATAATAATTAAGAAGATTCCCTAAAGTAAGAGAGAAAATAGAATAATCTAAAAAAAATCATATAGAATAATAATAATGATCTTAATTTAACATATCATATTGATTTTAACTCATTTTACTATTCTTTTCAATTAGATGAATTTCTCATCTTGAATTGTATAAACAAATTTGAAAGTCCAAACTTATTTTTCACTTGTTAGATTTACTTCAAAATTCATTAACAAATAAATCAATAAACATTTTATTTCCATTAATGCCATATGTTAACCTATACAATTTCTTTTTCCTATTGAAAATGGTAAAAAGATAAATGGATCAATATTCTATTAATTCCATCTTTCAGGATCGAAAGTAAAAGGATCTTTAAAATTCTTTGGATCATAATTATTTGGAAATAAACATAATGATACTTCTGAATTCTTTTTCAAAAAATAATCACCAACTTTATGATCTTATTTAACTTCTCTCTCAATAAAATATGGCACAGGAGTATACATTCTCATACATTCATTAATAAAATTAGTGATTTAGCTTGATATATTAATGTTATCACTGTTTAATTTTTCATATGTACCATATTGCTTTTGTATTTCTTCTCTTAATTTTGTTTACCATTCAGGATGAATAGACAAAGCATAACAACATGCACCAAATAAATTACTAGTTGTATCTATACCTGCAAAAATTAACATTATATATTATTGAATTGCATGTTCTTCAGTTAATTTTGGATTTTATTCTAAATTATAAATTCAATTTATACATATTGTATTTATATATGCTGTTAAAAAATCTGCTGGTTTATTTTACATCATTTATCTTTCTTTTATAGAATCACTCAACATGTCTTTGATTTTTTGAAGTCTTGCTAACAACTTTTGTTCAACTTTAGCTATAGTCCAATTAGGATAATCTCTTGTTCCAAAAATAAAAGTTCTTGTCATACATCTAATTGGTGCTTCTCTATACTGTGAAATGATGTTTATCATAACATCTACTAATTCAGATAAAAATGTTTTCCCATTCAAATCCTTAAAACTTTAACTAAAGAAGGATTATGTAATCACTTCTCCAACTATGTTACCTGATATGTTTATTATATCAATAGGTTCTTCTTCTTAAACTTATTGAAACTTCTCTTCACATAATCTTTTTATTAATGGTATTCTTGCTCTAAGTTATTCGAATTCAAAAGATTTTGAAAGCACATTTCTAGCTAATTTCCAATCTTCTCCATCTTGGAATGCCAAACCTAAAATAAATCAAAAGACATACCTTTATACAACATTCTTTCACCAAACAATACTTTTGATGTCTTTTTATAAAGATCTTAATTCTATAGAATGAATTTAATATGCTCTGGTTTAAAAAATACATGTGTCAAACCCAAAAATGTATTGCTCACCACAATTTCAATTTCAGGATGTTATTATGGAATCATCTTTTCGAAATGTAACAAATCATTATGTTTCTTAATCCCTCTGCTAAATTCAATGATTCTTCCCAACAAAGGAAAATACATCATATGCATTTTCCTTCCATATTTTATCTTCATTATCAACATTTGGAATAATGGTTTCAAAATTAGTAATGCTAGTATTAGAACTAGGTACAATACTATTTCCAAGAATGAAAACTAAAACATATTTTATATATCTTTTTAGTTTTATTTTATCACTTATAAAGTATTTAATTTTATTGAATATTCCATAATTATCATCATAATTAATTCGATTATTATCAAACATTCTATTAGATTAATTTTAGGAATTTACGAATCAAAAATGACGTGTACTATGGAATTATTATTTATTCAAATCATAGTATAAATATTTTATTATGCATAGTATTAAATAAGCTAAAGATTAATTATAGGATAGAGAATTAAATAATAATCTAACAATGAGATCAATCAGTGATAAAATGGATGACTTTTTTGGATGGCAAAATCATTATAAATAAGATAGTTTAATAAGAGGAATTATTCATGGATGTTATCATGGGATGTGGGGTGTATTAAAATATATGGCATAAAATACAGAAGGATCTAAAAGAGAATTCAAAAGAGCAAAAGATTAATTTTAAAGGAATGGGAGGATTAGAGAATGAAAACTAATTATTAATTTCTATTATATTATATATTGATTAATTAAATAAATAAAATTAAAAACAATAGATATCAATTTCTTTTTTTCTTTTTTTAATCTTCATATTATTTGGGTAATTTTTTGAATGCTATATAACCCAAAAATATAATAAAAGAAATAAATAAAAAGAACATAATGTATTGTAAAGATTTTACTGATTTTAAAGAAAATCCAAATACTTTAGGTTCTAAATCAAAATTTCTTTTGAATTATGAATCATCATCCTCTTCTTCATCCTTTGAATCCATAGCTTTCTCAAAATCCTGTATATATGACCATATTCTTTCTTCTGCTTAAGTAATATGCATATCAACTTTATCACTGCTATAATCTTCTAATGTCATATTTTCATAAATAAATCTATAATCATCAAATTTAAATTCTTTAGATTAAATTTAAGAAAAGATCTTAGATATTAGAATAATTTTACTTTGACACTATCATCATATGTTATACTCTTTTAACACTAATTAACATATGAAGTATATATTTTCTTCCACACTATACTTTATTCCTATTTAGTTTAATGACTATTTTGATAGATATGAATTACCTCTCTATAACTTTCATTAACTCAGACTTATATCTAGATAGTTACATTCTAGCTAGAACTATACAAGAATAATTCAAAGTCTTTAATAAAGTTTATAAAGTATCTCTTTCTTTGATTATTTCTTCCTTGGTTCTTTATTTTGATTTGCCTTCACTCGATGTGTTGCTTATTAATTCATCTTTAAGATTTTCAGATTCCTATTAAGTATTTTCCTTTTATTTGATGTCTTCTTATGCTTAAGCTAACACTAAAGAAACAATAAGAATAAGAACGTATAACTTCATTACACTTGTATAAATATAAATTAATAAATTTCATGGGCAATTAATATCAAATGAAAATTGATCAATAGTTAGTTAATCATATAGATATAGTATTATTTTTTATATTATTATAATCAAAATCTTCAAAACTGAAAGATCATTATTGATTTATATTGTCTATAAAACATTAATAATTATTTTTAACACCGTTAATGTCACATAATTTTGAAGATAGAAGTGTTAATAATCTTTTAAAAGAGATAGATGATCTAATTAATAGAATGGGAGATTAGAATGAAAGTTACAAAAGTGATAATTCTTTTAAAGATTAATTAAGATAGACAGGTCGATTTGTAGTGGACAATGAATAGCCATGTGATGTACCTAAGAAATTTAGCATGTCGATACCTAAAAAACAAAATAATTCTTAATAAAAGAAAGTTACTATTGTTGCTGAGAAGAAATCATCATCATCTTCATCTTCCTCTTCAGATGAAGAATATCAAGTGAATAAAAAGAAGAAATTTAAAAAAGATTAATAAAAGCAATAATCTAAATATAGTCCAAATAAAGCAAAATGGAATGGATCATAATGCTCTTATAGATCTAAAGCTAAATCAAATATTAAATGTGAAACTCAATCTTAATTATCATAATTAAAAACTTAATAATCTTAATTACTTGTATAACCTGTCAAAGATGTATTTTGTTTAATATGTGAAGAATTTATTCCCATTGATATAGTTAATATTCATATGACAGATTGTTAATAAATTTCTAATGGTTGTGATGAAGATTAAATATTAAAATTAAAATTAGAAAATTATAAAAAACTTTTAAGTTTAAGATTTGAAGCAAGCAGTGATGAAAATGTTAAATAATTGATTGAACTATTGTATAACTGTACTTAATAAATTCTTGATGTATCAGATTAATATTAGCTATCTTAAATTATTGAAGATTTATATGTCTTGAAAACATAATTAAATTAAAATAGTAATTATGAATCATATACTAAGTCTAGCTAAAGCCTATCATGTCTTGACAGTGGCTTAAAAAATTTAAGAAATAGCTAATAGAAAAATGTAAGTTCTTATTTCAGAATAAGAAAAACATTCAGAAGTTAGAGAAATATCACATTAAAATAAAATTAATTTCTAGAAATAAGAATAATTCATTGAGTATATTATTATATTGATTATTTATTAGTCGTCAAACAGTTATTAGTTATGCTACTAATACTACTTCTAAAAAAAGATTATTTGAATCACCATCATTTTAACATATGCCCAAATAATTGGTCAAAATATCTAGTATTAATACAAAGCCTATCTCACAAGTTTAAATTTAAACTAAATCACCTGTAAGATAAGATTAAATGAATTAAAAAAATGGTATTGAATTTGGAAATAATTATGATTCTTAAAAAAAGAGATCTTACATTTAATTATCTAATTCTAAGAATTAATCTAAAATTCAGACAATTTAAAATCAATAAGAGAACAATAATAGAGAATCTGAACCTACTGTTATTTCTAAAATTTAATCATATATTTCAAATGTGAAAGGCAAATTCTCAAATGAAAATGAATTAATAAAAAAAAAGTTCTTTCTTTAAGCATGCAAATGTAAAGATAAATTTCCTGTAAATCATCCTGCATAAAATATATTAATATCTGAAATGTTTAATCAAAGTTAAAGATAATAAATTCCAGAAAATGAATGGGAAGTATGGATTTGTAATGTTCTTTAAAATGCTTGATATTTTAACTAATATTAATTTTACAATATAAATAGATTATTAATAATATAATTTCTATCTTGAAATACTTACTTATATAATACATATTAAATGCAGATTTATCACTTTATTATTACTCTACTTTCAAGACAATGATATGGTATTGGTACTAACTTAATAACACAATTGATAGGTATATCAATATTTGGTATTTCATTTATTTAATTACAATGATAATAAGCATATAAACATCTAATTATATTAAAATATTTATAATACTTTAAAACAGCTACATGTGCTATAATCAAAACAGGTTCTCTTGATCTTTCTATTTCATAAATTATAGGTTCTACTCTATGTATTACATCTAAAAATGATTCACCACGAGGATATTTAAATTCAAGAGGATTAGCTTTCCTTTCTTTAATCTATTTTGGATATTTTGCTGCTATTTCTTTAACTGTTAATCCATCACATATTCCATAATCAATTTCATCTAAGTTTTTTGTTTTTAATGCTTTTATTCCTAGTTTATCTCCTACAATTTCAGCTGTTTAGATTCCTCTTTTCATTTAAGATGTAAAAAATGTTATCTAAAGAGTTTTTAAGATCTACTTACATTTTTATTTCCTTTTAATTCTTCAATAAAATAATCACCTAATTATTGACTATGTTATTTTCCTGTTGCAGATAATTCTGGATCTCCTCCTATTTTATCAAGTAAATGATATTCTGTTTAACATGATCTAACTAAATATATTTATCTATTGTTTGCATGTAAATTCAAAAGAAATGAAACTATTTTAGAACACAAATAACCTTCCAACATATGTACTTTTACTAATTTACCAATATTTATTAATTTAATATATGATAGATTTTCTATATTTTCGAGACTTTCGTAATCTTAAGCTAATACATTTATTTGATTCATAAATTGTTCAATTGTTTTTTCTTTAAATCTACTTAATTTAGATTCATTAATATTATTAAGTATTACTTAAGGATCATCACAAATTGATTCTATCCAAAATACTTAATATTCCAATTTTAGTTTCTCTTTAAATAAAGATTTCAATTTTTATCTATCTAACTTAGTACTTGTTAAACCATTATATAATGCTATATCTCCATCATTTTATAAAAAATTGACTAATTAATGAGCAGCTGTAAATGATAATTGTTATCTAACATCTACAAACTAAGTTTAAGATCTATCTTACTTACTAATTAGCTGGATCTATTTCTAATTCATAATCGATATTTTAATCTAATTAATCATTATTTTATTATGCTCCTTTTATTGAAAAGATTTCACTTTTATATCCAATCCAATTCAAATATCTATTTAATTTATATGATATATGTGTTTTCCCTCTTGCTGGCAATCCAACTAATACTAAAATCAATTTATTTTAGGTTTTTTTATATTGTTGCATAATTAATCAAATAATAATTAATTAATATAAATATATATGATTTCTTTATAATACTTATGAAAATTTAGTTATAAAACTATATACTATATAATTAATGTATATTGTATCATTATTACTTTTTCCCTTGAGCTTTCTTTTTTTCTCCTCCTTATTATGATTTTCCTTTTTATATTTATTATGATTATGATTATTCCTTTTATTCTTTTGGTTACTACTTCTTTTAATCCTTCTTTTCCTCTTTAATATCTACTTCTGCATCTTCTTTTAATTTCTTGATTCTAAGCATTCCTTATTTAGCAGATAATCCAGCTGGAGTACTAATAATCATTAATTCTTATACTTCACTTCCCAAGCTCCTCCTGCAATTTATAATCCAGTTTGAGTACATCTCCATATACCAATAGCCTATCTCTTTAATGAATGCTAAATTATATTATATCATTATAATACAGCTCCAGTAAAGGTATTGAAATATCTTTAATGTTATGAGATTTCAAATTTCTTTATTATTTTTCTTAATGATGCACCATATCTAGTACCATATTTTCCTGTAATTCCCACCTTCTTGGTCTTTTTAGTCATTATTAATAAAAATATTTAATTTATTTATGAAATTAAGAATATATATTTTAATAACTATGATCATAAATTAATCTTTTTTCCATGTGTTTTCAATCTTTCAAATTTTTACAATCTAACAAATGCATATTTACTTGGAATCATATGTTTTCTCAATAATTTGCATTTTTTTTAACATCTAAGATACCCTTCTATTATTTTATTATAATTGCCTTCTGAGAAATAATTACCATATATTATCAATTTATCTATTCCATCCATAATTTGAAATGGTTCTTAATTAATATCAACTTCATAGCCTGAAGATTATTTATTATAATTTTATGTTTAAATAATTGACGAATTTCTTTTAACAGATTCTCTTCTTTTAATTACAACATTGTTATTAATCATAGAATTATCTGGAAAGAAGTAACTTTTTCTTTATTTCTATCCATATCTTAGAATTTCTGCTGGACGTGCTTTAGGGGATTCTGCTGGTTAAACAGGAGATAAAACTAAAGGTCTTAATTTAACAGTTTTTCTCTTGTTATCATTAGGGTAGCAGTATGATAAAGTAAGTACTTGATCACTTTTCTTTTCATATTTAATACTTTCTTCCCCTGATTCATTAGATTCAGAGATTGAACCTACCTATTAAATCCCACTTGCAATAGGTTAGGTAATTTCAATCTCATTCGAAGTTCTAATATGTCTTGTACTTTAATAGATACTATCCTATCTAAATACTTTTAAGCGATCTCCTTTCCTTCTAAAATAAGATCTATCTTAATACGTTTCCTTAACAAACTCTTTTTTGATCACTCTCTCTATATCTGGTTTATAATGAATATAAGGACATCTCCAAATACAATGAGATTCCTGACAGCAATAACATTATAGAGGAGAAGATTAATATTAAAAGAGAATAGAATCCTTTAATTAATGGAATTACTAAAAGTCATTATTATAAGAATTGAGAATCTTAAGAAATTGCATTCTAGATATATTGTAAATTTGACTAAAATCACAACTAATTGCTGTTCCTTACCTTCTCTTATTAGTCAAAAATTCCAATTCTCCAAAACATTGACCTGTTGTAAATCTCTTTAAAATCTTACCAGAATTATCATCAATTAAATTTACCTCTCCTTTCCAAACTATATAAATGCAACATTCATCTAATTGATTTTATTAATAAATTATTTCTCTAGGAGTATATGATTAAAGATTTAATTCACATGCAATTTAAGGTAAAATTTCTTCAGAAAAATTTTTATTGAAAAAGGGAATGCATTACATAACTCTAAATTAAACATCTTAAATGAGTTCTTGTTTTAAATTAGAAGGCAATTTATCTATGATACCACTAATTTCATTTTTGTATAATTTCTCTTATTTATGAAAATGATATTTTAAATAATTACGTATTCTACCTTATAATTATTCTTCAACTTAATTGTTATTCATATATTAATTGATTAACAAAAGGGTCCTCTTATATTATTACTTTTGAGCATCCATATTAGTGAAGATAGACCCTATTTAGTTCATGGAGAATGCAAAAATACCACTAGAAAATATCATAAGGATTATGGCACATAAAACTTCATATATATTTTTACCAGAAATATCTCCATATCCAACTGTCACCATAGTAGTTGTAGCCCAATAAAATGAAAAAACATACATTTATAAAGTGTTAGAATTATCAAATTAGGAATCTTAAGTCCAAGAAATTTAATTTGATTCAACACTTTTGACACCAACATAATGCCAAACACAAGCCATAAAATGAGCAAAATAGAATGTTATTATGATTAGTTAAATTAAATTTAAGACTTCAGTTAAATATGAGGATTCCACAAAGGTTTCTTCATATTTATTGAGATATTTCTTAAGTTTAATAAAATTCAATCCAAATTAAACTAACACTATTACTTCTTAAAATGAATAAGTCTTAATTCCAATATCACTAATAACAAATATCAAAGTTATGAAATAAATGACATCTTCATATAATTCATTTTTTATATAAGATTTAATTATATGAATTCTTTTTTTGATTAATTTACCTTGATCGAAAATGCCTCTATTAAATTTAATAGCTAAATCAGCTCCAAACAAATATGTTAAAGAACTTTCAAAGACCTCAATACTTGAATTAGAGGATGGATTAAATGCTATTTTATAAGGAAGCCACCATAATAAAATTGTCAATTAGATGGCTCTGCAGAATTCCCAAAAAATCATAAGTTTACTTGCAGGATTAAAGACTGGTAATCTTTTTGAGATTGAATTTATAGAATTGTCATCTTGTTATTATATTTATTTTGACTTTCTCCAATTTTTTTTTATTTTAGCAAAAAATTCTGGTAAATGTTCTGTTATTTATTTACTCTTGTTTTTAGGGAATATGTATGCCTTTTTCTTAAGTTTTTCTATAAATGAATTGACATGATTATTAACAATAAGCATCTTTAACATTCCTGTACTTTTGCATAATTTGATTTTATCATTTTGATGAGGAAAGGTTTTAGAAGTAATGACTTCTTTCCCTTAATTATTTGAATTGCTAATATTTCTAAATCGAATATTTTGTAGAGAATCCATTTACGGTATTGAATCATAATCAGAATTTTCTTTAAATGGTATGTCCTACATATCCATTTAAATTAATTGTGGTCTGAAAGTATCAGACATTCTAGAAGAACCTAATTTGAAAAGCAAATAAAACCTTGGATTTTAAATTCATTATAGAGTGTCTACTCGATATCATCAGTCATTTTAAATAAGAAATACAAATTTATATTCAATTATATATATTTATAAATTTGTACATATATAATAAAAGAGAAAGAAATTACTAATGATCATGGATTCATAAAATTTTCACTTATTACTCTTTTCCTTGTAAAATCACCTAAGGTTTCAGCAACTTAAATTTTCTTTATTTTAGGTTGTTTTTTCTAACCCAACAAAACAACCTCCAAATTATTTTAGGGAAAATATATCTAATAATTTTAAATTTTCTCAAAGTCTTAAATTGTTATTTTTATATATTCCTATGCCATTTATTCTAACTAATTTAATGAAGGAATCTAAATTTAATGATTTGATAATGAATGTTTATGTTTTAAGGATGGTAATTCTAAAATTTGATTATAACTTAATTTATTTTGACTTTATTATTATTATTATTATTATTATTATTATTATTATTATTACTACTATTATTATTATTATTCATTCTAAATATCAAGATTACTCCATGGAAATGATGGACCATCAATTAATCTTTCATCTTCAATATGGAATAATTAACCAATATTCTTTATATTAATAGTTCTAGTTTTATGTCTTCTAGAAGGACTTCTTTCGGGTTAAGTAAGATCTTTAACAGATGATGACACATTTTATCCTGAAGGTTCCTCTTCTTTTTCTACTGAATTAGATTATAATGTTTGAAATTAACAAAATGTCTTCTTATCTGTTGTTCTTTAAAACTTTCTTCTTATTGATACTACATCTTATGCTTTTTACTTTCTTATTAAAACCTCAAGATTTGGTTTATATTAACAAATGGTACAATCCAAAATGAAATGATTTTCTGAACAACAATAACATGATGAAATTTAATCTATTTTTTCAAACATATATTAATCTTTCAATTTATGAAATTACTCAAAATCATAATCAGAATATTTTATTATTTTAAGAAACATTTCTCTTGATATTTTTAATACTTAACTTAAATCTTTGCTTATAGCTGTAAATTACCTATTTTATTAAGTTAAAAATTCAACTTCACCAAAACTTTATCCTTTAGTTAAAGTTGCTAAAATTTTACCTGATTAACTTTCAATTATTAATACTTCACCTTTCCAAACTGTGAATAGACTACAATCATCTAATTAACCTTATTGATAAATAATTTCTTTTGGAGTAAGAGATTGGATTTGTAAATATTAAGATATTATTGGAATAACATTCTTAGAGAAATTAGATTTATAAAAGGATATTTCTTACATTATTTTAGATTAAATATTAGTTTTTAAATCTGTAAAAATATTAGGTGGAAGTTTCTATAAAATTGAATCTAATTATTCTTTAGATGTTTCTAATTTAATTTATTCTTAATATTATAAATAATTTCTAATTCTACTTTGTACTTATTAATCTACTTAATTTTTTTACATATAATCATTAATTAATAATATTGTTCTCTTGTAATTCTATTTTTCAGCATCAATAGTACTAAAGATTTCACCAATTTAATTTATAGCAAATGCAAACATTCCTGTTGAAAAAATCATAAGAATTGTTGCACACAATATCTCATGATTATTTTAAGCAGATATATCACCATAACCAACAGTAACCATTGTTGCTGTAGCCCAATAAATTGAATATAAATAAAAAGATCCAGAATCTGATAATAAAAATTAAGTTTATGTTGTCCAAGATGAATCAAAACTCTTCAAACTTTCTACACCTATATAATACCATATACAAGCCATAAAATGTGCAAAATAAAATACAGTTATTATTAATTATATTAAATCTGCAAATTATGTATAACTAGTTTTGGTTGCAAATGTTTCTTCAAATTTGTGTATTTTTCTTTTTAATTTTATGAAATTCATTATAAATTAAAAAAATACAAATAGTTCAAAAAAGATTGAAATATCAATCATAATTTTATAAATAATAAACAGTTAAGTTGTAATATATAATGTGTCTTCTATTAATTCATTTACTATATAATGTTTAATAATATCGATTCTATTCATTATAAATTCTCCTTCCATAATATATCCTTAATTCAATTTAAGTAAAACATCAAAAATAAAAATATAAATTAAAATTGTTTCAATCGTTTCAAAAGAATAATTAGGTTTGAATGCTATTTTAAAAGGAAGCCACCACATAAGAAACATTAATTATATGGCTCTAAATAAATTCCAAAATAACATTAATTATCCAGTTGGATTAAGAGTTGATAAAGTCTACTTTTGCTGAGATTTTGAAAGTATAATTTTTTATTAATTAGAAATTCTTTTATTTTCAATGTAATTTTCTCTAAGGAAGTTTTTCATTTTGTTTGACAATATTTTTGGTAATATATAGGCTTACTTTCTTAATTTATCAACAAATCTTCGAATTAAAGCTTCTTTATAAAACATTTTTGATAATCTAGGATTTTTTTGAAGTTTTTAAGGATCAATAGTTTCCTTTTTGATATTAATCAAAGCCCATTCATTATTTTTATTAAGCTGGGTTATATCAAAAAATATATACTTTTTTAATATGAATACTCCCACGAGGATTTGCAGTCTGATGATGAAGTAGTTGAATTTCAGCAGATGGAAATTATACAGATCCAATTGATCCAGTATTATTTTTAATGGGAGCATTAGAAAAATCTGGTTTAATGTGTTATGGTCTAAAAGAATCACTTAGTTTAGGAGAAACTTTTGAAAATAAATAATAGTGTTTACATGAACACAAATCAATAGAATCATAGGATTCACGATTTTCTTGCATAATTTTAAATGGTTAATATATATAATAAATTGAAATTCAATGAAAAATTAATGATTGTATTAAATGAATAGGTTTGTTGTAAATTTAAGTACTTTAGAATAGAAGTATGTATTATAAAGAGATAATATATTTGAAATTAAATAAAAAAAATAAATATATATATGTATTAGATTTGAACTAAGTAATTTAGATGTCTAATTAATTAAATATAAAAAATGACCGCTCCATCCACATTTACAATTTTAACTTTTGGAGGATTCCTCTTTTTCTCTATAGTTGGAATTGCAATATCCAACAAGTAAGTATTATGCTTATATAGTTAAATTTATGATATTACTTTGAAATTACTCTTGACTATTGTGTTAGTTGTGATAATTTATGAATTTTTCTTTAAAAATAAAAATGAGAAACCTGTTATGATAAAATCACCATATAAATAAATAAATTTTAGTGCATTTGAAAGGAATTAAGAGTTCATTTAATAGCCAGAATATAGAGGTATTTAATTAATGCAATGATTAAGGATAATAATCAGAAATAATTCATACTCAAACAGAGTCTGTAGAAAGACAAATCCCTTAAGAAAGGGAAAGAATCTTAAGTAAGGAGTAAAGAAAAAATAATATGAAAATGTGTAATATATATGATTGTTATTATTTTAGATTTTTTGTAAGACAGAGAGAATGAAGAATGGCCTATGCAATACAAAAATGGTTCTAATAGACAATATTATGTTGATGATACTCGATCATAATATAGTATGGCTCAAACTTTGTCTTATTAATAAATTCAATCTCATGGTATAAACAGTTATAATAATAAATAATAAAATGGTACTCCAGATTATGAAATTCAATAAAAGAGTAAGAATTCAGAAGCAATATTATCTAAATTAATTAAAAAAATGAGTGATGCTCATTAAAAAGCAGAAGAATTATTTATGAAGTCATTTATTCCAACATTTGTTAAAGAATTTTAGGATCATCTTGTAAATGTGAATAGAATGATGAAAGAGCATTTTCAATAAAAAGTAATTGAAATTGATATCTTTTTTGCCAATAAACCCTATGATATAAATTCAAATAAACATGAGAAATCTATTGGACTTAAAAGTATTACAATGGAAGATGTTTTCTTTCTTAAAAATTAAATAAAAAGTAGATCTAGAGAACCAGTAAGAGCACCTGTTAATGTTGAGAAATTTGCAAAAGAAAAAGCAGAATTCATTAAAGAATGTGATCTATTGGAATTATTTTGTAATATATTAGATGTATCTCTTATTAACAGAAAAATGTTAAATGATAAAAAACTATTTTTAACTAAATTAATCGATTTTTCAGAAAATAATTGTAAACCCAAATATCTTTCTGATGGTTTAAATGAAAAAATGATTAGTGATTATGAAGTAAGATTATATTTATATAAAGTTACTCTTTACTGTTTTCATTAATGTTCTCATAAAATGTGTTAAATATGAAAAACAGAAATATAATAAGGATAATAATGAATTAAATTTAAATGCATGGAAATCTATTGAAGTTAGCTTAATTAGAATTGAGAGTTTAGGTAATAGTGAATGTATAAATTAAAATGTTTCATAAAATTTAAATGAATCATCAACTACTAATCAAACATCAAAACAAACTGAATAAATTAAGTAAAATATATATAATTTAAGTTAGAAATCTAATTATCAATTAAAGATTGGAATAATATGTAACTGAACCTCAATTTCATTATTATAGTGATTATATAGTCAAAGCTTTAAATAAGGATAAAGAGATTAAGACATTTAAATTAGAAAATATATTATATACTCCTAGAGTAATATATATTATTTATTAAATTTAGGATTAAAATTCATTATATTGTTTAATAAGCTATTATCTTCTTCATTTGTTAAATGTTCCAAAATAACATTAGTAATAATTGTAATAGATGGAAATGGATTAAAAAATGATCAAATGCTTAATTAGAATGTCAAAAGATTTTTCATATTTAGTAGCAAATGTGTGATTTAATTATATTAATTTTAATTTTAAGATATGTATAAATCAATTATTAGTGGTCATTTTCAATAAAAGATGAAGGAATAGTAAAAACTATTATGGAGATATATAATTCTTGGCTTAAATACTAAGTTAATTTGTCAAACTATATGCTTTAATTTATGTTTGAATTGTCATTTGTTAATAAAATAGATATTATTACAATAGTAACTTAAAAATGCATTATTACCATAATATTGAAACTTCTTTATATCTAATTATTTGATAAATCTTAATTTTAGTATGGTCAAAGCTACTTAAAAGTAGTAAGTGTAATAAGTTGTATATAAGTATTAACATCTATAATTGGATTATTTTTATTGAAAACTTTATTTGTTGGGCAAGTAAACATAACCGACTAGATGATTGTAGCATATACACTAATATATAAAATGAGCATTGAATATGGAGATAATTCTAATCTATTGATTTCATTAATAATGGTTTCACTCATTTTATATACTGGAAACATTTAGTATCAACTTATTTGTCTCTTTTAACCATTAAGTTTAGTATTTATATAGTTTATAAAATATTTGATGAACAATGAAATTGAATAATTTTAATTATTATTATATACGAATCTCATAGGATTGCCCATTTACATTATGTTAAGTTTGTTTATTTTAAATGTATAAAATATCTTTGATATGACATATTTTTTGTAATTATATTTATCTATTTAGCTATATTCTAACAATGTGTATTTCTTAAATGCTTGTTTATTTGGCTTTTGAAGAATTAAAAAAATAATAGTTATCTTATCTGTACATTTGGACTCTCTTTGGTTGTATACTTATGCTATGCTTGGTTTTTAAATATAGATAAGATGAAGTTATTTTGATATTTGGACCATTATTAGTGATATTAATAATGTTTGCATCAATAAGTATACAGAGATAGACTTGAATATAATTATTACATTAATAAAAATATGTTTTCATTATCGCTTCAATTTCATTTTACATAATGTCATATTAATTAAAACAATTTACATGGAAAAATTCCCTTAATTATGTAAATTATTCATTTATAAGAGATTTCTCGATCTTCTCACCTATAATTAGGAGAATATACCCAAAAAATAATGGAAATACTAAAAATCTTTATTCAAGAATAAAACATCATAGACATAAATAATTGAATTTATCTCTACCTCATTAAATAAGAATTCCAACTCTCGAACAAGATAATCATTATTTTTTGGAATAGAATGAAAAAAATATCAAAAGTTACCTCTAACCATTAAGAAATGCTGTTGCTAAAATTACAGAATAGAGATAAGAATAATAATATAGACGTAAATCAACTTATGGATAATTATTTGGTGAACTAACTAAAAAAGAAATGTGTAATCTTCCTACAATCGTAGAATAACATAAATAATTTAACAAAAAGGAATTAGCCTTAACAAGTTTCGCATTGATGCTAGAAAGAAAATAACGAAAAAAAACAACTAGAAAACTTTCTAAAAAATTATCAAAATAAGAATCTATTATTGGTAATTAACAATATCTAATTAATTAGAATTTGATAATATGGAAAGACCTCCTTCTTGCATCACTCCTCCTAAAATGGTTTTAACACCAAAACCTCAGTTAAAATCAAAAAATTAATTGAAAAAAGAAAAATATTTAAAAGACTAAGATTTTAAAATTGGGCACTTTCTAACAGGTAGATTGTAACAAAACAAAAAATCATAACCAGAACTCAATAATAAAATTCGATACCATTGTCAAACACAATCCTGTGCATCTCTACCTAATGGATAACTTAGTTCTTTTGCATCATCTCCTAAAGTTTTGACAACTATTAAATCAAATACTTTGGCTATTATCTAAGATTTCAAACTTATATCAAAAAAATCAACTATACGACCATATGCAAAACACAATACATTGTTATTAAAATAAATTTAGTAGACATTTGAATTGAAACCATTAAATAGATTAAATAAACATTCGATTAAAAATACTAAAACTATTTTTGAAAGCAATTAAAATATATATTGAGATCATTTCATTTAATTATTTTATTTCATTATTCTTATTCATCCCAAAGAGGGTTTTCTAATAAATTTAAAATTATTTGTATCTTTTGATCTACAAGATAGAATCTAATGTATGGAATGAGGAATATTTGATCTTAATCTATCAGTTAATATAGGTTTCTCATTTTTATATTTTTAATTCAGATCTATTATAAATTTCATAATTCATACTAGGTTTATATTCCATAAAATTATTTGCTATAAGTGTTCTTGTCTATTCCAACTTTAGGAATATGTTTTCTTTTGATAATTTCTTTTCAAATTCCTTTATTAAATTAGATTATGTCTTTGTTTTCTTAAATATAGTACTCTCTGTCTAATTTTAATTACAAATTTTCTAAATTACTACTCCTTATAACCAAGGATGATTTAATGCTTCTTAAGGTTTCAATCTATATTAAGGATCCCAAGTAAAACACTTAGATAAAAAATCAACAAAATCATCATCTGTAGTTTTTAATAAATCATGTAATTTGACTGAATTTGGATTTCTATAATTTTTAATTGTTTTCTTAGGATGTCCATACTCATCAAAAAAATGTTTTTTTCTAGGACATTTTTAGACAAATTCAATAGAAGGTTCTCCTATTAGTTCCATAATTAAATGAAATTATTCAACTTCATTTTCACCAGGAAATATAGGTTATCCAGAATGTATTTCTGCAATTAAACATCCAAAACTCCACATATCAATTTCCATTCCATATTTTAATCCAAAAATAACTTCAGGTGCTCTATAATATCTATAATAATTATAGGAATAATTTACCTGCTTTATATATATGTATAGACTTGATTTCCATTTAAACAACCAGAACCAAAATCAACTAATTTAATTATTTTTTATTTCATATCTTAAATCATTACATTTTCAGGTTTCAAATCACAATGAATGATATTTAATTTTTATAGATAATTTAAAGCAACTAAGATTTATTATGCAAATTATCTTAAAGTTTGATAATCAAATCCTCTAAATTTTTATTATTTTAAGATTTCAAAGATATTTTTTTCCATTTTTTCCAAAACTATACATTAATGACCACGAAATATAAATTAATCTTCTATTCTTACAATATTAGATTAATTTAATTAATCTTATTCTTTTATTATTTGTAATAGATTTGCTTCAATTTATGCTTACTTTTTTAATTTTTCTTAATTTCTGATTATTTTAAGAGCAAGAGTTCTTTAAGTTTTATGATCAAAAACTTAAAACACTTAACCAAAACTTCCTTATCCAATAAGACTAATAATTTCATATTAATATCTTATATGATCTTATGCATAACATAAATATTATCCATTAACACCATCATCTGAAATTTTAGATTTCTAATAATAATATACTTATTTTAATTCTGCTATTTCTTGGATTTCACTTTAAGTAAGATTATAAAACTTAACAAATTAATCTACTAAAAGAGGGAATTTAGACATTATTGAAATAGATTTATTCTCTTTTTCTTTATTTACTTTACTTTTGAAATTTGAAATGATATTTTATATTGTATTGATATTTTTACTCTTATTTGAATGAAAAGGTTAAATATGCTTTAATTTATTTTCAGATAATAATCTGTCAGTATTAGGACTTGTAGGACTTGTTTCAATTTTACGTTTTGTCGAAAGAGGATAAGCACTTGATACAATTTATTTAATAGCAGACATATCCAAATGAACAGATAACATTTTACGATCAGCCAATTTCATCAACAAATCTGTTAAATTATTTATATTATGAACTTATAAAAATTAATTATTATAATAATAATAAAGTTTTTCAGTTTCATATATATAAAAATTAATATTGCTCCAAATAAACTTATATACAATAATAATAATAATAATAATTAAATAACTTTACATAAATTCAATAATTATGAGACTGAGTTTATTATTTATCTCTACTTAAACAACCAAATGCTGAAAATACTTTATCCATAAAACCAGGTTCTTCTTATCTTTATGGTTATCCTTAAATTTCCTTTAATCCTTAAACCATTTATTATCTTTAAGAAAGTCTGCTAACTCTAGCCTTAAATTCTTCCTCTTAATTATAATTTGATGCAGCAGTTGATTTTCCATTATTATTGTTGTTATTATATTGAGAAACTTAATTTGAAGATTTTGATAAAGGTTTCAAATCAGAGTTACTATTTTAATTGGGTCCTTTAACAAATGATCTAGTTATGATATCTTCATTTTATGGAGATATAGATCGATTTGATGAATCATTGTGTTTATCTTCCTTACACATATAAGATCTGAGATCAATTCCATAACTTTTATAGAATTTCTTCATCCAAGGATGTTCAAAGATCTAATTCATTGATAATCTCTCATTAGGATTATATTTGAGTATCCCTTATATTAATTATTTACCATCAAAAGATAATGATGGATCATAATCTATTGGAGTCATCTTAACAATATTATTGCATTTTTCATTTTCAGTTTTCCCCTTGAATGGAGCAAAACCATGAATTAATTCAAACAACAATATACCTAAACACCAAATATCTAGAGTGAAACTATAAGGTTGATTAGTCAACATTTCTGGAGCCATATAATCTAAAGTACCACAAAAGGTTCTTCTTACTCCATTTTAAGTGGTTTCAGCTGACCAACCAAAATCACAAACTTTGATATTTCCTTATTTATCTAATAGTAGATTTTCTGGTTTAAGATCTCTATGTATTATATTTTTCTTATGTAAATAGTCTATTCCTAAACAAGTTTAAAAGAAGTAGACAAAAGCTTCATTTTCTGGAAGTCTTCTTCTTTTTCTAATATAGCTAAATAGACTTCCATTGTCTTAAATATATAGTAATTTATTATACCTGCTAATTCTAATATAAGAAATACATTTTCTTTATCTTCAAAATAATGAAATAGTTTAGTTATATGTGGATGTTATAATCTTCTTTAAATTTTAATTTCTCTCTTAAGATTTTCAACAGAACAATACTCAAATATTTATTTTTTATTCATCTATCATCTATATTAAATATTACCACTTTCATTGCATACATTTAACCATTTTATTTATCTTTGACCAATTTGACACAACCATAACTACCTTTTCCCAATTCCATTTTATTATCTTTGATTATTATTTCAAAGTCTTCTGGTTATCTGCGAATAGATTTCAAAGTGGATGCAGAGTCATTAAGTTCAGTTTGAAACTTTCCTTTGATTGGACGACAATTATTCTTATGAGATAAAGCCCTATTCAATAATGAAATTGAAATATACCAATCAGTGTCTTTGCATTTTTAAGAGCAATATTTGATATTCTAACAATAAGAACAAGAGTATATAGCATTACTAGTAGTAGTATTGATACAATATTTATATGAGCAGCCTTAATTCATTTAATAAAATATAATAACGCATTTAATTTATATCAATTTATGCAAAATTTTCCCATTGAAGCTAACTTCGATTTAGTATAAGCTGGAGTAGGCAAATCATTTAGATTCATTCCTAATTGTTTTAGTATATAAGGATTCTGTATTTGATTTGGATTAGGATTAGTAAGTGGATTATATAATTGATTTTGATCAGAAGCAACACTTTTAGCAGGTGTTGATATCTAATATCTATTAAATATTCATACATTATTTTGTCTATCAGAATTATACCAATAAACAGAATTAGCCTATTAATAGCCATATGATTTGGCATCATGTCTATTCTGTTTTCTCTTTTATTATTGTTCTTGTAATTGAATTGATAGTATTGAATTATATTTCTCCTTAGATACATCTTCTAATTCTTTTTAATATCTGTATTATTTCTCATCTTATTATTACTTTTGTTCTACATTTTTTAAGATGATGTCATCTAATCCTTATTTAGGATCTCTATAATTTTCTAAATACATAGCCTATAATTATTGTTATCTATTTTAGACATTTTGATAATACTTTTAATATATAACAAATTAAGTACTTATTTATAATTATCTAACTTCTTTTATATTTTTGTATTCTCTTAATGAACTTATTCTTAATAAATTGCCTAATCAAATTTTTTATAATTTTTTTCATTTAACTTTTTTATCTACACTTGACCATATTATTAATCTTACACCTTTCTATAATAATCTTTTTTTTATTTTTCATAGAATTCAGCCATTGTTTATCCTTATTTTGCAGTATCAACAATCTATTATTCAATTTATTATCTTTCTTATCTCTATCAATATAGATAACATTACTAGCTATTCTTGGATGATTCTTTAATTAGTTAGTGAATTTTCATACCATTTTGATAAATCCTTCTTTATAAATTATTTGTTTTGTCCTTCCATAATATTACGCATTTCTTTTTCTTTCCTCAAATTCTCTAAATATAACAATTCCTCTCTTTATTTTTGTGTTGTTAGAGATCTCTTTCGTTTCTCCATCTCCAATTGTTGGTCATATAGTTACTATTTAAGAAGCTCCTATTACACCAATCTGAAATCTCTTGCTTGATCATGCAATTAACGATTTACATCAAATTCTTTATAATCATCATATTTTATAGGCAAAATCATATTTTAATAATAAAAATTTTTGGTTCTTTATAATAATGAATTAAGGATCATCTTCATTTAGGAACAATTAAGATTAATAAATGCGAGATGTTTTATAATTAAATCAAAAACATCAATAACGAAATTACAACAATGATATTGCAATGATTCAGGCAGCCAAAGATGCAATTGTATTATTTAATATTATTTAAGTATAGACTTCAAGTGTACATATGAGTAATCTATTAAAAGACAGAAAAGATTAATATGATATTGTATTAACTTAGCGTAAGTACATATGGAAACAAGAAGAATAACTTTATAATGAAATAGATCAACTTAGAGATACTCATAGAAGATATTAAGAGAGTATAAATCGTTATGGAATTAGAAATAACAATTTAGAGACAGAAATACAAAGTAAATTTGAGTAAGTGAATACAAAACTGAATTTCATTTAAGAAGAAAAAAAACAAGTGTTAAATAACTTTAATCTAATTTAATAATCATTAGTGAATAGTAAATCTAAATTATCTAGTAATGGTTAATTTGTTATTGAAAGCAATTAATAATATGATAAATTAGTAGATTTCATACATAAATAAGAACAGAAGGTTAAATTGTTAAAGAATGATCAAACTAATTTAGCTATTAATTAAATTATACCATTTGATTCCAAACTCTAATAAAGTATGCATTTCAAATAATTTTTATTCAGTGGCTTAAGATACATATGAAAAACAGCAAAAATATGTTTATTAAGGAACAAAGTTTTAAGGAAATGAATTACAAAAAATAGCAGCATTTAGCACTTTGAGAAAGAAGATTGAATAACATATATAGAAAAAAGGATTCTAAGATGTAATTTTAGATTTGCCATTCAAATTAGATGAAAAATATTAAAAAGAAAATACTAAAACAATAGAATATGATTCTACTCTACAAGAACTTGATGAATTTAGAAAAGAGTATATTGCATAAGGAGGAAATGATCCAAAATTTCTATAAGAAATTAATGAATTAGAGAGATAATATAAGGAGAGTCATCCTTTAGGAATATTTGATTCATATAATTAAATGAGTCACACAAAATTACATAATCCAGATTAAGTATCTTAAAATCCAATATTTTCATATTTACCTTAATAATATCAGAAGGATATTTTAGATTTGGAATATAAATTAAAAGAATAAAAAGAACCAGATCTAAAGAATCCTTAAATGAATAAATAATTACTTAGATCTAAATTAAATGTAAGTGATTCAAGTAAAATTGATGAAATAATATTGGAGAATCTTAGATTTTAAGAAAGTGAATTATTATTGAAATCTAAAAATAATGAATATTACAAATTGAAATATAATGAAATTTAGAAATTAAAATAGATTCATGAACGTAATTATTTAGAAAAGAAAGTTTAAGAATAATTAGCTTAAAGGTAGATTGAAGATGATATGTTAAATTTTAAAGAAAAAGGATAAACAAATTTAACATATTTATAATAGTTATAGTAAGGTATTGGTACAAGACCTTTATTTTATGATTAAGATTTAGGATTTGTAATAAGAATTGACTTTGTTAATAAATTACCTATCTGTTATGATTATGTCAAAATAGGTTATGGTATATTTATAAAAAAGTATTGATTATTTTAAAATATTTAATAGTATTGATGAACCAAAGACAATAATGAATACGAATTAACATGAATGTGCTAATGAGAATATATATTCTAAGAAATGTGTAATTTAAGAGAGATTTGTAGAAAGAAATCATGATATCTTTAGAGATACATATCTTTATATAGTATTATGGTGTTTTAGTCAAGATTTTGGTAGTGGTATGGTACCAATATAAGTTGGTTGGTCAATACATAAACTATTTGATGATGAAAAACTAATATCAGGAGGATACTTATTACCTGTATATAATTCCAATTTTACATTTGACCTTCAAAGATTACCTGAAGTATAAGAAATTAAGATAGGTTTAAGGATATGTTTAGTAGATGATGAAAATTTAGATTTGGATAATAAAATAATGAATTTAATGGATTATAAAATATAAACAATTCATTTAAAATAATCAGAATTAATTGATTAAGAAAGATAAAATATTTTTAAAGAATATAAAATTATTCCACTTCCTGAAGAATATTTATTAGTAAGAACAAATGAAACAAAATTATGGTAATCTGAACTTCCACCTAATGTTTATAAATTGATTGATTATAATTTTATGAATGAAGAAGAAGTAGCTTTAAAATAATAAGAATTGGAATATGAAGAAAGGAGAATGAATAGATTAAATCGTCCAAAAAGAAGATTTATGGGAAAATAAGGTACAATAGCAAGAGGTTCTTCTGAAAGAAAGAAAACTACACTTACATTCAAATAAAGATTAGCCTTAAAGAAAGGAGCAGCTACACCAGGAACTACAAAAGCTAAATCTTCAGAAAAAGAATAAACATCAAAACCATAATCAAGACCATAAAGTAAAGCAGATACTTCTAGAAAAAAAGTAGATGAATCTAAATCTACTACTAGAGTATAGGAAAAAGAGAAAAGTGCTTTGATTCCACTTAAACCAAGAAAGTTAATGTTTAAATTAAGATCATTATCTTAAATTTATGTAGGAGGTATTACAACATTAACATTGAAGTTAGCACTGTTTTAAGGTATTTAATTATTAGATGATGATGATAAAAATATGTGTGTATTTAGTAAAGAATTAGATCCTGATGAAAAAGGTGACAATTATATAAATTTTAATGAATCATTTACATTTGAATTAAATTTAACTCAATATTTTGAAGATTATGAAGAAGCTGAAATTCTGAATACTTATTTATTTATAGCAATATTTAAAGAAGTAACTAATTTATTTGGTTGGCATGCAATTTAAGCTTTTGATACTTCAGATGAATAATTCAAAGTAAAAAGTGGTATCTATTATGAAAATTTATTTGGACCACCAGGTTAAGCACCACCTTTCAATTTTAATAAAGCTAAACGATTAAATACTTAAATTAATTTTATTATGATGCAAGATGATGATCGTGTATTACAATTACCAACTATTGATAATTATAAACTTGATTAAAAATGTAAAATATTAATTATTTATAATTTTTAGTATTGACTGAAGAAGACAAAGAAAAAAGAAAGAAAATATATTCAGTTGCTAATCCTAAATGGAATACTTAAATACGTTTAGACATTTCATCATTAAGAAACTTTTAATCTAAAGATGAATTTATAATGAAAACTATTGTAATTGAAGAAGAAAACATTATAATAGATGCAATAGATAGATAATGTATAAAATTTGATCATGTTTAATTATTTGAAGGTACAGGTAAAGGTGAATTTATTGCTAATCATTAAATAATATTGAGAATTGGTACTAGATATTTAGTAGATACATTTACAACTACTTTTAAAAAGTTAAATTATTTATTTAGTTTCTTTATTAAATAATAAATTGTAGGAGTGTGTAAATTTCCACTCTTTTCTGCAGGAGGTGCATTAAATGTTGGATCATAAAGATTAATGGTTCATGATCTTGATGATGGTGGAAACATTGGAAAGAAAACAACTAAAGAAATGTATATTTTCATATAAGAAGAATAATTAAATTTAAAGGATATTGAAGAAACTCCAAAATATGCCTAATAAACAAAAGAATAAAAAATTGTTAATAAATAAGATTAGAGTAAATATTTAATTATTGAAATTGATCAATTAACAGATTATTTAAGTTAAGAACCTATTGATTTTACTATTTAAGTATATAATGGAGAAGAACCAGCAATTGATTCAGATGGTGTTATTTGTGCTTACACAAGTCTTAATCCATATTAACCTAAGCCAAATTATTCTGTTCCAATTAATGAAGCAGTTTATTTTAAGATGCCAATTAATGCAATAATCGAAAGAAAATAGGGATTGGAAAATTATTAAGTTTTTATATCCTTTTCAGATTTAGGATGGATAAGTTTTTAATTATTTTTAAATGGAGAATTAAATAGTTCAGATTTTGTAGGTAAATTATTTAGAGGAGAAGTACCTGCTCCACCTGTTGATTATACAAATATGAAGAAAATTAATACAAAAGTTTCATATTATGTTAAATATGATTTAAAATAAACTGAAGAATTTAGAAGCAGTTTAATTGAAGATAGTCGATCAGGAGTTATGAGAAGTGAAGCTTAAAAAAACTAATAGTCATTACCAAGTGAATAGGCTGCAAAAATTGCTTCAAGAAGAACTATGAATTCTAATGATAATTTAGATAAATTATCAATAATGTTGATAAATGTTAATGGATTCTTAAATAAATCAAAACTTTAAGTAAAAGGAATTCTTATGATGGATGGAAAGACATTATTAGATAAATATAATATATCTTGTTCTTTTAAAAGTGAAATAGTAGATAATGTAAATAAAGTGGCATTCTTTAATAATGCTCGTTTTACATTTTCAGTGGATATACCTTCTTTATAAATGGAAACTTATTTATTTTTATCAATTTTAGATGAAAAAGAGACTGTAATTGCATGGTTTGGAAAGAGATTGGTATAAGCAGTTGGAAAAGTAAATAGAGGACAACAATTTGAATATCTTTTTTCTCCTCCTTTGATGAGACCACCATTAGATCATTCAAAAATATAAAATTTATAATAATCAATTCAATTTGAAGTGAAATGAATATAATGATACATTACTATTAATTAATGTTATATTGGATTCTTTTATTAATCTCAATTGTAGCAGTATATCTGATAGTGAATCCTTTAATCACTATGATCAGACTTAAAATTAAGTTTGGGAATGCAGTTTATTGCAAATATTTACCTATTTTTGGTATAATATAGGTTTATAGAAAATCTTTCAAACTTACAGGTAATGTACATTAATGGATTGTTGATATTGTAATTAAACATCCAGAAGTTAAGTTTGTTGTGGCTAACTCAATTAATAAACCTATAATAGTAATAATAGATTCTGAATATTACAAACATATATATCAAGATCATCATCTTGTGACTAAACATGATTAAAGTGGAATTAAAGAGTATAATATTCATTATTATAAATAGCTTTCTACTTTCAGGAGGATTATTATTTACAGAAGGACCTAAATGGAAATAATAAAGAAATTTACTAGGTGACCATTTTCTTTTTTAAAAATTGAAAGCAAGAATTCCTATGATAAATTTAGTGACTAAAGAGAAGATTAATGAGATGGCAAATGTTGAAAAAGTATTTGAATTCATTTGTTCTATAACAGGAGAAGTTGTAATTAGAAGTTTCTTTGGTGAAGAAGCAGAAGGATGGAAAATAAATGGAAAAGAAGCTTAAATTGAATTGGGATCAATTTTAGCATCATTCATAAAATTAAGAGTAACTAATTTCTTTGTCTATTTTAAACAAAAACTTTTAGGAGTTAAATCTTGGCAATATTGTACAAAAAAAGAAAAAGAAATTATGGATAGAGTAATTAAATTAAAAAAAGACATAATAGAAGTTATATTTAAAAGGAGAGATAAGATTAAATAACAAGGTCATAAGTAAGAAGGAGGAGACTTTTTGGATTTGTACTTAAAAATATTTATGGAATAAAATGTATATAGTTCTGATAGAATTGAAACTGATGAAATTGTTTCCTAATTTATAACTCTTTTTTTAGCTGGTACTGATACAACTGGAGCCTTAGTTGCTAATTCATTATTATTGATTTCTGAAAATAAATAATATTTATAAGAATTAAGAAATGAAGTCAAGAATGTAATTGGAAATGGAGATATCACTTCTGAAAATATTAATCAATTAGTTTTCATAGAAAGTTTTTTAAAAGAAGTTTTGAGACTTAAACCATCAGTAGTATATCCAATAGCTAGAAAGGCCAAATCAAACATTTAAATTAAAGATCTTTATATTAAAAAAGGAACTATTCTACTTTTGGGTAATTTCTTAGCAAATATCAGTACTCAAAATTATGATAACCCACTTGAATTCAATCCAAGAAGATGGTTATAATAAAAAACAATTAAATAAGATAATGGTTTCATTAATATTCCATTTGCTGCTGGACCAAGAAATTGCATAGGTTAACATATGGCTATGATTGAAGCTAGAATTATTTTAGCTCATATTGTTAGGAATTATGATATTATTAGAAATTCATAAGTTCCAAAAGCTCAATGGCCAGCAAGGGGAACATAAACTTATTTACCAGATAATGCTGTTCATCTTGTTAAAATATGACATTTACAATATCATAATCAATAAAATTATTTATTTTTTCTTCATATTAAAATATGACTCTATAATAACAAAAAGATTTATAATTCTAACTAGATTGATGTTCAATTTTATATGAGGATGTTCTATTAAGTAGTTAATCAATAAATCTTAAACTTTTAACGATTCTTTTTTTTCAAATTAAAAAAACAATTTCAGTTTATTGACATTTTATTATATGTATATATATATATATATTTAAAAAACAGTTTTAAAGCAAATAAATCTATATTAAGATTGAAGTTTATTCTAAGAGTTTGAGATAAAGACTATGATATATAAATAGACTCAAAATCAAGTTTAAAATTATAGCATCATATCAATTAGGAGAATCCACATTGACCACATTTTTATTAGTAAAAGTAATTCTAACATTAACAAAATTAGCATTTCTTTAAAAAGGAAAAGGATTTATTCAAATTTTCAGTTTTTTTTGATAAGTCTTCAAGAAATAATGCTTATGAAAAAACAACATCTTCATCATCATTGCTTTCTACTGAGCTATGACTACTTCCTCCTAAGTCCTATTATTAAAGTTTAATAGTTTCGAATATTTATAGCCCTTAATCAATTTTATTTGGAATAAATTTTGTTCCAGGAGCATCTCTTGTAGATTATTGACATCTGTTACAAAATTTTCGAAATGAATAATTTAAGTTTCTGCATTCAGAACATATCCAATCACAAGGTTTGTTTTACATTTTTTAAGTAATTGAGCAATTTTATTTAATTTTATTATTCAACTTTCCTTTTATAATAAAATTATATAATAATGCAAACCTTAATGAAAAAACCGACGTTAGAATCAATTTATATCAAACTCTATCTTTACATATTCTTTACAGTTATAATATAATAGTTAATATACTTGGTAGAATTAAGTAAATAATGAATACATCTTGTTTAAATTATAATGAATATATTTTGAAAAATACAAAAAATAAGAATTGTTTTATAAATTAGAAATTTTCATTTTTATTGATATTTCTTTGAATATTAATTTTAAACAGATATATACAATAATAAACATGAATCTTGTATTCAATTTACATAAATAATATGAGTATAAACAACATTTAAATTTCCTTAACTAATTTTATTTATTTTAATATATAAAAAATATACTAATTCAAATATAATTAATATAAATTTTTGATATTAGATAATTCGATATGCATATTAAAAATCAAGACATAATTTGTATTAGAGCAATACTGATCTAAAAGGATTATAAATGATTTATCGGTGTTGTATATAGTACCTCATATGAGTTTTCATCTGTTTTTTGTATTTTTATTAAGAAATGATCAGATGTTAGTTCTTTTTTATAAAAAATGGACCATAAGTTTTCTTTTTAAAATTTAAAGATGTTGTAAAATTCAAAGAATTAATTATTTTACTAAATAATCTCTTTATTTTTCTTAAAATAAACAGGAGAATAGGTATAAATTTAATTATTTTATTAATTTATTTTTGGTATGTGACACTAAACTATAAATATAATATTACTTTTAATTCATTGTTTTTGCAGATACTTCCTAAATATTTTCTGTAAAATGATTAATTTGTACATTTTTTTGGACTCATTCCACCATCTTAAAAAACAAAAAGCTTTCCACTTTCAAGTATTTTTATTTTACCTACTAAAGCCTTACTCTCTGATTATATAATATATTTCTAATTTAATAATCCATTTTTAGTAGCTTCCATCAACAATAGGTCAAAAATATAGAATTAATAAGAATTACCAATCTTTTTAATTTATGCAGGCATGATTCTACCTAAATTAATATATTATAAACTTCTTAGATTAGATTGGTTATTATATAAAGTCTACTTTATTAAATGGAATTCTAATGGATTATACAGAAATGATTTCATTTTAATTATCTAAATTGTTTTCAGTATTGATTCCTTAAAATCTTTGGTATAAACTCTGACTTTAATCAACACTGTTTAATGATATGTCCATTGCTTAGCTAAACTAGTTGAGATCACTTTGACTTTAAGATATCATAAGATAAAATAATAATTAATTAGAAAATTAAAGTTAATTTTGGGTCATATGCAACCCAAACTTTTCATTTTTTTTATTTCTTCATAAAATAATCAATTTTTATTTGCATGAACTTCTTTCTGAATAGAATTTGGTCAAAATTGTTTGATTATACTTTATGATTAATTTATTTTAAGTTTTGAATATATAAGAAGAAAAATTAATGATAAATTAAATTTATAGATTCTCTAAAACTATATTATAAGAATAGCTACTTTTTATTTGCAATATTAAGAGACAAATAATTGTAATAAATTTCTGCTTATATTGAATTTTCAATGTTATTTTTAGTATTACAATAATTTTAGAAAGTACTCAAATATTGATATAAGTTGGAACTTTATAAGATTTTTTTATATTACATTTTCTAGATCTACTTCATATATCTCAAATATTTTACAATAGAAATTTGATGTTAAACTATTTTATTTTACAATTAGAAATAGCAAATTCTTATAATATTTTACTAATCATCCAAATATTACTAATTTTGATGGGATAATTCTTTAAATATCAAGGAAAACAAAGCTAATTTAAAATAATCAAATAAATTCAATTATTGATATATCCAAATTATACAAAATAATCCTAATAAGGACATTTAGTTTTTTACATTTATGATTTAAGACTTTTTATAAATATTTTCAATAATTTTGCTAAATTGTTGTAAACATCATCTAAATATGAAATATTCTATATAGTAAATTGAATAAAACTTATAAATATTATGTATCACTTTTTGATCTATGTTTTTCTTTCCTATGATTAAAGATTAATTTACAATTTTCATTTTTGATTTAATACAAATAATATTTATATTCTATACATTTATGTATTATAACATTAATGATTAGATATCATTGAAAATGAATATTAAAAAAGTTAGAAGATTCACATATGATAAAGGAGAACATATAAATAATTATTGCTGTTTTGCAGAGCATAAACAATCAAAGTGATTTTCAATAATAAAATCACCATTCTCTAAATGGATCATCATTTGATTTGATTGGATCTGGTAATTCGGTACTATCTGGATAAACAGCAAAATTAGAAGTATCATCATCAGATCTAGTAATAAATAAAAGATTTACCTAACTGATGGAATATATTTAGGTCTAATTTATTTCTTAATCAAATTATCCCAATTCAATGTTTGATACCATTTATGTTATTTAATATCATTGGCTCCATTTTTTAAATTTCCTAATCTTTTTGATACATCAGAAACTAAAAGATTTTTAATTAATTCTTTAGCATCATTATCAAAATTTTTAGGAAATTTAACTTTTCCTTTTAATATTTTTTAATAAATAGCCATTGGATCTTCATCATTAAATGGATCGATTCCTAAATCTATTAATGAATATAATTACCAGCCAACATCTCATAAATTATAATTCCTAAGCACCACCAATCAACTGGTCTTCCATGTCCTTTATTAAGAAGAATTTCAGGTGCAAGATATTCAGGTGTTCCACATAGAGTATATGTATGATCTTCAACCACTTTAGCAAATCCAAAATCAGTCAATTTTAAATAACCATTTTATTAGATAAGTAGATTTTCTGGTTTTAGATCTCTATATACAATGGTCTTTGAATGTAAATACTCAAACATTAAAACAATTTAAGCAGAGTAAAATCTACATTATATTAAATAATATACTATGCTTCATCATTTTCTATTGTGCCTGCATTTCTTAAATAAGTGAACAACTCTCCACCTTGAATATACTCTAGAACAAAATATAAATATCTTTCATCTTAAGTGTAACCTAACAATTCAATCTAAATAATTAAATATAGATATACAATAAAAGGATGCTAAATCTAATGAAGTATTTTGAATTCAGAACTAATATGATCAACTTATTTTAATCGAAGAATTTCACATTTCTTTAACATCTTTAGAGCAACATTCTTTTAATTTGATTTCTATTTTGCTAATCTTACTCTGCCAAATGAACCAGTACCAAGAGTTTAGAGTATCTCAAAGTCTTGGAGTTTCACTTACTTATTCTGCATTTATTTTGATAATTAAAAATAAATAATGTCATTAGAAAAAAGATAATTGTCAAGTTCAAAACTTAAATTTGATGCTGATTATTTTTTAAATATTATTGAACAGCAAGAAAAAAAGAGACCTGGATCTTGTTAACCTTACTTATCAATTAACTCCTAGAAAATCATTCTATTATGGGAAATTGATAAGCTCAGAAAATGTAAATTATCAACATCATATAAAAAAATCAAACAATAGTTAATAGAAAAAATAATTAACACCATCAGTTACTTAATCTTCATCATTAGGTGTTGTAAGAATATTTTATTATCTATTTTAAAGGTGATTCCACTTAAAACTACTAGACCTTCATTATAATTTGATAAATAAATTATATTGACTAAATAGAATTCATCTTCTCAAATTTTAATTAAAATTTCCTAAATACCTAATCAAATATCAAAAGGAGAAAAAACATTAATTTAAAAATTGATAGAAAAACCAGGCATTTTAACAAGTCCTGGAGAATATGATAAATAATTTACATAGAATAATTAGAAAGAACTTATTGTAACTTAATCAGATATTTAAAATGTAAATATTCTAATATAGCAAGAGTAGTAGGCAAATACCATAGGAAAAATTAAAGTAATTTTAGCAATAATCATTTGATTAAAAAGACCAATCTAACCTATCATCTAATAAATGTAATCTATTATTATAGTTTCTCAACAAAAACACATAATCTAAACATAATAGATAAAAAAGTAATAAATATTTAATTAAAAATAATTGATATCTTCATTCTAAGAAAATCAGTCTTAAGGTTTAAATGATTTTCCAATGACATCTGGAGGATAAAATCTTTAATAAATCTTTTCATCAATATAATTAGAATTAAAGGAAGCTGTATAATAAGCTGCATAAAATCCTAATTTAAATATGAGAGGTAAATATTCTATTAAATCCTTCATTAGAAATACAAGAACTACCTGATGATGCAAATTCATCACTTGATTAAATTATTTTATATTAATTTTAAAAGTGATTATTAAATTACTAAAATGAGTTTATATTTGAAATCTTTTTTAAATTATTTTGTATTATTTTTTATGTCAAATCTCTATACTTACTTTATTATTACAATAATATATAAAAAATCAACCAAATATTTATAATTTTAACATTATTATTATTATTAATCATAATTTATATGACTGATTCCTCCTCAGAATATGATAGCATTAATGAAGGCTAATATGAAGCTAAAATAGGGGAGAAATTAAAAAACAATCAATATCAAATAATAAAATGGTTAGGTGATGGAACATTTTCAAAAGTGTGGCTAGTGAAAGATTTAATTACTTTGTCTCATTATGCTCTCAAGATTTAAAGTTCATAATATTCAGATGCAGCCATAGAAGAAATAGATATATTAAAGTATTATATGATTATAAACTAGAATTTTGAATGAAAATGAAAATTCACCTTAATGGCTTGATATTCAAAAAAATAATATTGGTAATTAATAATAAACACATTGTGTAAAAATGGTTGATTCTTTTGTTCATATTGTTAATGAAACCTTGCATCATTGTGTAGTAATGGAAATTTTGGGACCTACTTTATTGGATCTAATTAGATTTTATGAAAAGAAAGTATATGATGTTATGATGATTAGAATTCTAGTATGAGTATTTAATTAGGAAAAGAAGTAACTAAATAAATATTGATTGGATTGATTTATTCACATGATGTATGCTAAATTATTCATACTGACATAAAACCAGAAAACATTATGATTGAATTAAATGAACAATAATTAAAGTAGTTAATTAATGATGATGAGGCTGATGATAAGAAAAAAAAGTAATAAGAGAAAATATTTAGAGAGTTAAATTAAATAATATTAATATTGGTGATATTTTTATTTGGAAAGAGAATGTATTAATTAATGTAAACACTGAACTTAAATTTAAATTAGTTGATTTTGGAAATGCTTGTCAAACTAATTAATAATTTGAAGAAATTTAAACTAAGGAATATAAATCTCCTGAATCTATTATATAAGCTTAATATTCAACAAATACAGATATTTGGTCATTAGCATGTGTAACATTTGAAATATTGACAAATGATTATTTATTCAATCCTGAAGGAGAAGATGAAGAAGAAGAAATGGATGATCTATTAGCAATGATGATAGAATTGATAGGACCTCCAACATCAACTTTCTTAAGTAAAGGTAAAAGAAGTTCATAGTATTTCGAAAAAAATGGAGATTTAAAAAGAATTAAAGTATATTAGTTTATTTTAATAAGGAATTACAAAAATTCACCCTAAGTAATACATTAATTAAAGATTATGATTTTGAAGAAAATGAAGCAAAAAATTTAGAAGATTTCATTCTATATGCCTTAAAATGGGATCCTCTTGATAGACCTTCCTCATTAAATATGTTCTTGCATCCTTGGCTTAAATAATGAAATAATTTTAACAATACAACAATAAATTAATTCTTTTTAATATAATAATTATTATTAGGTAAGTATTTAATCTTTATTTATAATACAAACTTTAAATCTAAAATATTTTTGTTTTAAGAATAAAAATATAGTGATTGATAAAAAAATAAATCTCAATTTAAAAGATATTAAAAGCTTTGTAAATGACTTTTAAATGATTATTACCTTAAATCAATATTTAATATAAGTTATATGCAATTATAAATAAATTAATTAAACAATTTTAATATTGTAAATTATTTTTTCTCGCATAATTTATTTCACATAAGGTTTGATAAAATTCAACCATTTTTCTAAAGGAAAACTTAGTTGCAAATTGATTTAAAAACCAATTAAAATCCTTATTTCTCAAATTAAGGATATGATTTTCTTTGTTTTAAATAATTGGAATTTTAGAGTTCTTTCAATTTCATTAATTAAAGGATTATCAATAAACTAATGCTAATATTAATATGTTTTCTATCTTAAATAAATAACTATATTTGATGATAGATATATATTATCCCTATACATTGTTGAAGCTTCTTTGTATAGTTTTCCAACTTATTATTAACATTTCTATAAACTATATTTCATTTAATAATAGATTTAAAATTGAATTTATTATTTTTGATGTTTAATAATTTATTAATAAATACAATTAGAAATGAATTTATTAAGATTCTCAATATTTAGAAGAATTGTATAAATTAATTAAGATAATCTGATAGTTCTATTATAGTTATACAAATAATTTCTAATTTATAATATGTCTATAGAATAATTAGTCTTAATTAGTATAGAATATTAAATTATTATTTAAAACAGTAAAAATCATATTTGATTAAGTTACTTTACTATTTAAATAATCTTTGACAATTCATTCATGAATTAAATTGATATTTTATTATTATTAATAAAGAATAATTTATGTACAGGAAAAATAAAAAATAAAACATAAAACATCATTGATTAAGATATTCATCTTTTATTGATTGAACTACCTGGATCCAATTTATAGGCTTTGCTTCAGCATCTTTAAATTTATAAAAAAACGAGGAAGATTCTAACACCTTATAATTTCTAAAGTATGTACATAATGAACACCGTCATTTGATATCTTTATTGTATCATCAATAGGTAAATATTTTTTTTCTCCTTTAATAAAATCTATCAATAAACAGGGAGGCTTTAAATATCCAAAAAGTATTGCAATTTAAGGTATACAGAACCATCTATTTGTGTTCAAATAAATAAAACCAACGCATTTGTCAAAATGCTTAAATACTGAATTACAATGAGATTCCATTTCCTAATTACTTGAAGATTGATTTATAGTTCGTTCAGGTTTAAAAATTGGTTAATTTGGAGAGCAGTGAATTTTTTATGGTCTTATTAATCCATTTGGAATAGGTGTTACAGCTTCATCAAGCTCTTCCATTATTGTTTTTAATCTATCTTATTTTTTCTTAACTAATTCTTATTTCATCTAAATATTTGCAGGTGTAAACTCCCATAAAATACTTGATTTACTTTAACTAGGTATAATCTCTTAAAATAAATCTTTATATTCAAAGGGAATCTATATTTCAGTTTGCCAAGGAATATAATCCTATTTAATATCTTAAAAATATTAATGTTAAATAATCAATTAAGTATCTTCTTATCCTAATCTTTCAGATGGATTCAATACCAATAAAGATCTAATAAGATCTTAAGCAGATTATGGTATTGAATTATCTAATTCATAATTGAGAGTTAAGATATTATTAAAAATAGCATTTTCACTAATATCAGTGAAAGGTTATTTTCCATGATAAAACTAGATAATTATTACAATAATACTTCATACACAATACAACCAAGAGCCCATAAATCAGCCTCTTTAGATGCTCTACTATTATTGAGCATTTCAGGTGAGATGTATTCTGGTGTTCCAACAAAATTTGATCTGTATTAAGTTGATTCACTTTCAATTTTTTTAATAGATCTAACATGACTTTACTAAATTTTCTTTATTTAATCAATTAAATCTGGGGGTTATTTGTTTTCTTCAAAAAAAAAGCAAGTTGCAAAATCTGTCAATTTTAGATTGTAATTTTTATCTATTAAAATATTTTTAGGTTTTATATCTAAATGAGCTATACCTTCATTATGCAAATAAATTATTGCTTAAATTATTTGATAAATGTAAACTTTAATGAAATATTCAAGTTCTTCAGATCTAGTATTTCTGTAAATTTAATAAATGTCATAAATAATATTTCCTAAATCTCCATAAGGACAATGCTCACTTACAAAATAAAGGTATTATTTATCTTAAAAACTTCCAATAAATTCAACAACACCTAATGAATTAGATTCAATTTTACTGGGATACTTTTGTGAATACTACTTCATCATATGTCTTTCAATATAAATTTCTGATTATTTGTTCGACAGTGTAATTGATTCTTTATAAACCTTTTTTATGGCTACTTTTCTATTATTTTTTAAGTAAATAGCCTCATAAACTTCTGAATACGCACCTTCATTATTATTCATAAATATACCTTCACCAATTAAACCGACTATATAGAAACTTTTAATGTTCATCTTCTTATCTTTTTTAAGTTGGTTCTATAACTAAATTCCTTTCATATAAAAATTAAATTTTATTATAAATCCATCATTCACAGATGGAAATCAGCTTAAAATAATGACGTTAGAACTTTTTGAATTATCAATTTTTACTATCTTCTGATATGTTTAACATTGATTAAGAATTGTTGAATAAACTAATTCAAATGAGTGATTTTTTTAAGAAGAATAACATTCAAAAAGAATTTCTTAAAATAAGAGTATAATAACTTCTTTTTCTTGGTTTAGTATATATATAGTTAAATGTTAAAATACATAGGGGAGACTATATTTTTAATATAAATTAAAATTTAAATAGAATCAGAGAGAGAGTAAATTATTTTTAATAACAAAATTGTAATATTATTATTATAATTTAAGAAGTTTAGAAGATAATGTTATAACAATTTCTTTACTTTAAATAATATTGTAATAATTAGAAATTATTTTTAATATTATATTCTCTAAATTTAATCAATCTTGTGGAGCCTCTATAGGTTATTAATCTGTTATATTTGCTTTGAAAAATTCGTTGTCTACTTTTTGATTTCTAGCTGCCATGAGCTTAGCCAATTTAAGTTTCTTATAGTAAAGAAGTGCAGCAATCAGCAATGAAACTCCAACAACAGAGCAAACTACAGCTACAACTATGGTCACTGTTGTAGAACTATTATCTGATTTCTTAATTGATTTTTAGATGGTTCCTGGATTAGTAGAATTATTATTTCCATTATTTGTGCTTTCTTATTAATTAACTCCTTCATCAGTTACTAGAACCAAATCATCATCATTATTTGAAGGATTACCATTATTATTATTATTGTTATTATTATTGCCATTATTGTTATTATTACCACTATTATTACCAGTATTTCCTTGTCCATTATTATTTGTATTACCTCCTGGAACTAAAACAATTTCTAAAAAATATAAAATATAATATTACCTGATGTTTATTCTGTACTCTTGAAATTAAGTTCTGAAATTGAAGAAATAGTAGTTGATTCATGTTTGAGACCAACAACTCCTAATTATTATAATTCTTCTGAAATTCCCAATGATTCTAGTTTACTAGCCATTTCAGCTAATCTTGATTAAGATTGTTTGCCTTCAGAAGTACCAATTTCTGCAAAATCTGCAATACCCCAATCAATAAGAATAGACTCAGCAGATTCTTCCAAAAATCTTCTTCTGTATTTCTTGGTTCCAATAATGAAATAGTTATAAGGATCTCCTCCTAATTGTGCTCTTGCATATTATAGGAATTTATCTCCAAAGAATTCTGATGTTGTTATTTCTAGTCTTGTTGAAACTTAAAGAGTGTTTTTCAATGCTATCCTTATCTTGCAATCCAATTTACCTGTTAAAACAAAATGTATAGTTCTATTTTCAAAGAAATAATTATTTGCACCACATTGATTAGTCATTGACATGAGATCATGATGTTTATTATGGGTTGTAAGTCCTGGTTATACAACTCTATTATTGACCATAACTTGAATAATTTATGGAACAGAGAATTGCCATTACAAAATAACCCAATCTTCTGGACTACCTGCTTCTGATCTCTTTGATAACCAATATTCAGATGTAGTTGGATTCATACCAGCATTTGACATATTAATTACTGTGTTGACTGATACTAAACCAACGAATTTTGATTCTCTTAAATTTAATGGTTCAGGACCATCCCAATTCCACTCAAAGTAACTATTGATTTCATTAAAGAATAATCCATCTGTCAATTTGATTGGTGAATATAATCTCTTATTAAAGTCTGCAGCAGTACTCATAAAATTCAATACAGTCGCTTATCTACCTGGACACCAATATCCATTCCAAGAATCTTGTCTTGAACAATAAGTGACATTTGGACCAAAGTATGTATTATTACCAATACCTTATCCAATTTGTCCAAAGAAATGACCAGTTTAATCTTCAACCAAAAAGTTTATTTATCCTGTGCATTCAAATGAACCACATCCTCCAAACCATCCTAATTTACTATAATCTGGATTTCTAGTTTTATATAATAAAGCATTAAATTCACAATTAGTGCATGGAGAATTTACTAAATAATGTTATCCTGTCATATCATGTGCTCCATGATGTTATCTCAAAGCAGCATTATTTTAACATCTTGGTATATTATCATAAGTTAATCTAAAGTTATGGAATTCAACATTTGTTAAGTAAACTCTAAGATCAACTCTTTAAACTGTACAAATTGTATCAAATGCAGAAGATGGTTTACCTGAAATTGGAGGGAATGCTGATGAAGATAAACTACCCATTTAAATACCCATTTAACCTCTACAATTAGGATTAAGAGAAGTAGAATAGCATTTCACACAATCAGGTCTAGCCAAAGCTGAAATGAAGATATTATTTAACTTCATTTTATTGTCTTATATGCTATTTGGAGCAGGTTTCAAAGCTATACCTCTATCATTCTCAACTACTATTGATTTTTCAAGTTATATCTATTCACTAACAACTGCATACATAATACCAACTTCACTATGATGAGCATATAATCCTGATATATATGTACATTAACCTTCAGGATCTTATCTTACACCAAAACAAGCCAAAATAGTACCTGAACAATGATTATTATAGAATGATGATTAATATGCATCTGAACATTTACTTGCCATAACAAAGAATCCTGTATCTTATGATCCTTATCCAACATTACCAGATACATCAACTATATCTCTTGTCATTTAAGTTGGTACTAATTCATCCATGTAAACAAAATTACCAAATACTGCCCAATTAGCAATACCTCCATCTGTTAATACTCTCTTTTTAACATAGATCAATGCATTATTCTAGAATTTCACATATTAACTGTTATTAATCTAAACCAAAGCTTTGATACCAGTGAAGAATATATTATTCTTGATTGTGATGTATTATGAATCTTAAATTGTCATTAACATACCAGTAGTATCATGGAATGAACATCCTACAACTTCACTTGGAGTCTTTATTATATCACTATTAAGATTTCTAAAATCTAATCCACTTCTTTGAGTATCAAATTAACCACAATTATTAAATTCAACACCATGTAAAACAGTGTATCCTCTTCTTGGGAATCCTAAATTAGCTTCAGGTTCTTCAAATTAATAAATTAAAACTCTGCATCCTAAACCATGAATACTAGGTCCTCCTTCAATCTTAATCTTTCTAGTTAAATGTCCAACAACAGCTCTCATATCTAATTATCCAATTCCAGGTTTATCTATTGTTACAGAAGGAGCTCCATAATGATCAAATTCAAGTGCTTAATTTAAAGTTATAACACATCCAGAAATAGATGCAATAGATCTCTTCTCTCTTTATTCTGGATCACTACCTGAAGGACCAAATACAATCTCATCACCAACAGCCCAATCAGTACATTCTGCTACTGTAATAGTTGTTGCACCAGCATCAGCATAAGCAGCCAATCTAGTCCATACTGTTCCAGGTGGAGTTGAATATAATTCCATAGCTCTTGTGACAGCAAGTACTTTATTACCAACATCTAAATTAGCATCAATTACTAATGGATTATCTCCATATTCTCCATTCAAAATAATATTAATTTTTCCAGGGAAAGGATGAGTTGAATTACCAGCCAATAGTTTTCCTGTTCTCACCCAAATTCTCTCTGCTTCTAATTTAGTAGATGCTCTTCTCTCATCAAAAATAAGTGATCCCAAAATAGTTAAATTAGCGAGCTTAGGTGGATCAACATCCAAGATAACTTGATATGCTGCCTAAACAATTGGACTATCTCCTTCAACAGGTACTTTATTATCTATCCAGGTAGTAGGATCACTCCAATATCTATATCCATCTTCCAAGGGTACATCTCCTAAACTATCACATTCTTCTCTACAAATAACTCCTCTGACCTCAACATATTCATATTACTTCTTATTCTTACCAGATAAGCAAAGGAAGAATAATTTATTTGTTCTATCATTATACCAATCACCTTAATTACAAGTCTTAGTATCTGGCATTTATTCTAATTTTGTGTAATTTACAGGGAATTATCCTCCTATGTTTCTCATAATATCAAATGTTTCTCTGTTGGCAGAATAATTAAATCTAAGAATTACAGCATCATCTGCTTAATTAAAGTAAGGGGATGCAAAGATACCCATACTTAATGGATCACTTGCTCCAAATTTAAAATGTACATTATAAGTGAAACCTGTAGCAAAAACACTTGCAAATGATAATTTAACATCATGACTCTTCTTTATAATTTTCATGGTTTCAGCTTCTATATATCTACTTTCATCAATTGAAGAATCCATTTTGAGTCCAACATTAGTGCTGTCCAATCTATAAAGTTTCATATCAGTTCCTGTGAAATCTTGTTCTGGAGTAGGATTATTAATCAAAACATCTCTAATAGTAACTTAATTCATTGCACAAATAATAGAATTATCCCAATAAGCTTCTGGATGAACAACACATCCTGGAATTCCATCAATATGTTTCTTATATGGTATAATATATGCTCCTCCAGTTACTCCTGATATAGTACCATCTTAATCCCAAAAGATTTCTCTTCTATGTTTCTACCAGAAAATACGATTAGCTGAATCAGAATTAAATACTTTGACATTCAAGAATTAGGTATTTTTACCTCCTTATACCCATAATTTTGGAGTCCAACATACAGAGCATGATTCAATTAAAGCAGAATTACTTCCATAATTATAAATTCTAATATTCTTAGCCAAAAATCCATTTGTTCTTGGTACAACCATAGCTCTTGATCCATCATAATAAGTATCATCAGGATTTGCATTATTAATTGATTTACCAATAATTAATGCATTATCTAAAACAGCTCCTTCAGTTGAGAAATTACCTTTATGAGCTTAGAAACCAGCAAATTTAGAATCAGCAATCATAACATCTTTGAAGTAAATGTTACCCAATTCTTCTCCTAAAATACCACACTCGTTATTTTTCCATGTATAGAATTTTTCGAAAACTGCTTAAAG